GATTGCAAGGATACCATGCATTGCGACTACAAACAGCAAGACTGCTCTAGAACGGAGGGTCACCCTCACATAAGTAAAAAGGCATGACAGCCAACAAGCATCCCATGCTCTTCTGTCTATTGGTTTATTTCCCTTGCGTCACTAGTCATCCAAAAATGTCGAGTCTGTAGTATGTTTAGGTCGACTAGTATACGCACGTCCCTGCACCATCAGAAAGGCCGGGAAACAAGCATCTATCTTGATATCTTTGCTAGTTGCCTCTTGGAGAGGCGATCTTATATCCCTGCGGCGTTATCCATTTGTTCCGCAACCACCTTAGGCGACAGAGATTACCAGAAACGGGTCTTCATTTTCCTCATTCAGCCTCTTGCCTAGGACTCTGTAGAATAGACCACGGAGTATTTATCTTTATTCTGATGAATCCCTTTGAGCTCTTAAGAGTGACGAGCGAGGCTTCGAGGATCTCGATATGACGAACAAACGTGCATCAAGAGGTCCAGATCAGAGCCTGTGAATCGAAGCCTATCCAAGCTGAACTGATGTTTGTATTGAACATTGAGTAAGCGAGGTGTTTCGGTGGCCCGATTGGTACCTCTTGAAATTTGGATCTGCGAACCCTGTGGAGGAGCAGACCTAGAACTGTTGCTATTCGGCCGTGAATCGTGGAATTTCTCGTGTCTATCAAAGCAAACTAAGCAAGAATTGGGCTAGTCAGTCTCCTAGAACAATAATAGTGAATAATAAGGAAGACGTCGAAGAAGATTATCACATTTCCAGATTCGAATCTTGAAGAATAGGTAAAGAATCTAGATGGTCAGAACAAGGGATTGTTGTTCTTCGTCTATCTGCTACTCCGTAAATATTATTCCAATGACCTACCTCTCTCAATAATCATTCCTTTTCTGTTGGTTTGCCATTGCCCTCTTTATCAGTCTGGAATCAATAGGTAGACTACCCAAGTAAGGTAGATACTCCGGTTCTCACTACTCCTAAGCTAATCAATATACTTACTAGTATAATGGTCTTATTATTCCTTTCCCCTTCCTTCTCCCTTTCCTGGACCACTATCTGGTCGCTCTACTAAATAATAAGAGTTAACTCTCATCACTGCCCCTCCCTTCATTAAGCCGTCTGGCACCGATTATCAACTAAATACTCTCCTTAAATATCTTTCCTAGAGACCCCAATTTCTGCTGAATCCATAATCATAATCATAATCATAATCATAATTTCAATTTCCAGCGACGACCCATTCCAAACTCCTTCCATCCCCTCTTCTTTTTCTATTCCCCAGATACCGGACTTCTGCAAGGGGCTCACAAGCCGCAGGGGACTTGATACGATCGCCCTGGATCCTCACCAATCGGTCCAACTCGCACATGCATCAATTCTTCGTTCTGGACTTAGAATTCCACCGTTGAGCCAGTCTTATCATTTTCTTCTGCAGGATAATGCGAGATTTCACCCCGCCCTTCCGCATCAATTGCCGGTGACTTTCGACTCTCCTTCCGAATCTGGCTGGAGGGTTTCCTGGAATTCCGGGGTTTCCTAGAAACCCAGGTCCAAAAAACTTTTCCTTTCTCAACACCGAAATCCCAAAAAAGAAGGAGAAAAGTTCAGAGTCAAGAGAAACAGAGGGGAAGATGGGCGCTATGGAAGAATTTCCTGCGCCCACGGCGCATGCCCCTTTACAACAAGCGTCTTCCTCCCTGCTCGCACGACGTCGCAAATCTCGCTCGCATTCCACAAGTCGGGCGTCAGTTGACCAAACATCCCCGGAAGTTATTACGTCTTTAATCTCGTCCCTCTCTACGATCTCTGTTCCGCTGCAATCTCATTTCGACAACGTTCCGCGCCTCGACCTAGATACGGATCCATCTTCCCCCATATTTTCAGTATTCTTCCCATCGGAGCCACAACCTCCTACACAGCACACATCAGGCGATCATGGCTTCGGAGTAAGCTACGGAGGGCAACAGCATTCAGAGAACGAGACGCATAGCCCTTTTTTACATCCGGACGATGCAGCTGCTGCTCCGGTCATTCGCATGGCCAGGGCACCTCCGTCTCCAAAGACGAAAAGTACTTTCGGCCCTTCTCTATCATCCCCGCGACCTGCTTCCGGGAGCTCATACACATCGGCCAAAGCCGCGTACGAGGACAGCGCATTCGGTACGATCACAGCCGAGCCCGGCCCTCGAGTCTCAACAGCACCTAGTATCGCATCTACGGCTTCTGGAGGCCGAAAGAGTCTAAAAAGCCAGCTTGGACTGCTGAAGAAATCCTCGCGCGAATTCATGAACGATATGGAAAAACAGACAGATCGTCTACGGAAAACGAGTAGTTACAACGACAGCCTAAGGCATAACATTCCCCGCAATAGGACCAGCTTGCGCTCTATGCATTCTATGGCTGACGTTGCCGAGGAGGCCCGACTGGATCATTTCTCCATGGGCATCCATAGTGAAACTGCGGCCAGTGCCCCGCCTAGCAGAGAACGCCAGTCATCGCACAGCGCCCGAGGGAGTGTAAGCAGCACACCTGGAGGTATTGGGAGTGGAAGGGTCATTCCTGCGCGCGAGTCCTCGTTACGTCACAGTTTTTCTTCCAGCCCGAGGAATCGCAGATCCACTCGCCATACCAGGTATTCATCCACCGCTAGCAGGGATACGAAAGTTGAGTCCAGCCCCGGCGAAGCGGGCAACGAAGCTGAACAGGTCACGAGGAGAATCCAAGAATTGAAGGATCAACAGCAAAGGATCAAAACCGAGTTGGAAACAGACGACAGCCCAGACAAGTGTACCAAGGATTCCTCAACTCGGCCAAGTCAGCCCCTTAGGACATCAAGCCTCACAAGCCATCACCCAGCGCCTCGAGAATATGCGGAGGCAAAAGGAGCTGTCGTGTTTGATGAGAGTGCTCCGGCACCGGCCGTAATGACCGGGAAGAGTAGAACAACGAGGCGAAGTGACTCTCCGCTTACATCCAAAACCCCCAACTTGCCACTGCATAGGCAATCCTTCGATAAGCCAGATCAGAATGATAAACTCCGCTCCAGACGATCACTGGAGTCTTCGGCCCCGAAGCGACACCACAAACGTGCCCCATCCGGGCCTGCTTCTCCAGTCCATGCTTCGGTCAGCGACGAACGACCGTCGAGTGCTGACTCAATAGACCTCGCGGTCTTAGAGTATATCTCATCGCCCAAACTTACTCAGAAAGTTCCCCACCCAACAACAGGCCGCGCCATAGCATTTTCTGAAGTTGGAGATCCAAAGGGCCACGTTGTATTGTGCTGCCTCGGTATGGGCCTGACCAGGTATCTGATGGCGTTTTACGACGAGTTGGCGCGGTCTCTCAATCTCCGACTAGTGACCTTGGATCGCCCCGGGGTAGGCGAAAGCGCACCTTATACAGAGGAGGCAGCAAATCCTCTCAGCTGGCCTGGTAAGAGGATCCGGCCTGTCTTCGGCTCTTCCGAACACTTATTTTTTTTTTTTTTAACTGACTGAGGATAGATGATGTTGCAATTGTGTGTAATCACCTCAAAGTCAACAAGTTTTCGATACTGGCTCATTCTGCCGGAGCGATTTATGCGCTGGCAACGGCGTTGAGGATTCCACAACACATCCGCGGTCGTATCCACCTTCTGGCTCCTTGGATTCCGCCGTCTCAACTATCGAGCATGGGGCCACACAAGGAACCGGTACCTACCAATGCTGTTCCGTATTCCCAAAGGATTCTGCGAGCCTTGCCTGCGTCATTCCTGAAGGTCGCCAACTCGAGTTTCATGAGTGCCGCGAGCGCTAGTCTCACATCCAGTTTGCCGAAAGCTCCTCGCCGCACCCGACGTAAGACAACTTCAAAAGATATGTCCCCTGTCGTGGCGACGGAGCCGAAAGGGCCTGGGCGGGCTCAGTCCAAGATACATCAACAGGGGGGTGATATCAAAGCACTCCAGGATTTGAAGGCGCCGGTCGTCTCTCAAAGAACAGATATCAAGCAGGTCGAAGTCACCACGAGTCAGACAGCCATAGTCTCATCCGAAGAACGCGAACGCCAGAGCGACTATGATAATAGGCTGACACACAAGATATGGGAACTGGCCACCACGAACGCAAACCCGGCAGTTGATCTTTTAGTCTGCCTAGAACGCCGCCAAACGATTGGATTCCGCTATGTGGACATCACTCGCAATGTTGTCATCCACCACGGAAGTAGAGATACTCGTGTCCCTGTCGACAATGTCCGTTGGTTGGGCAAAGGCATGCGACGTTGCGAAGTTCGAGTCCTCGAGGGCGAAGGTCACGGATTAATGGCTTCTGCCACAGTTATGGGTAATGTGCTGATGGAGATCGCCAAAGAGTGGGAGGACTGGATGACCGTGGTCCAGGGCAGGCGACGAGGGACAGTGGGACCGCGTCCGGGTTTCGCATTGCCAACATGATTTTGCACACCTGACGCTCACTATACGCCTTTCTTATGACAACTACAAACGCAATCGCCCATCTACCCTCAGCCATTTAGCTGAGAGATCCCTATCCTCACCTATTGTTTTAGTATGACGCCGCTGCAGGTCTGCGGCTGTCATCTTGCTGCAACCTCGACATCCTTGATGATGGTCCCAACATCGAGTCTTGTTTTCAATGTCGGGACACTCTCGCACGTCGTCATCGAGAGTTATGCCTTTCACTTTTCCTTGAATCATGATACCATTAGTCTTGCTCTGCTTGTTATTTGTTACTCCGACAATACCCATTATAGCATAGATAGCCGAGCTTTTAATGTAGTTCTAATGAATAAAACAGCAAACAACGGCATTGAAACCCTCTCAGAAACATTCAAAGGTGATAAATAGAAGCTAAGCTGTTGCGTTGAATTAGTATAATCCAGCCCTCGGAGAGGTACTCAATCATGTGACGAGTACTTACCATGACGTAATTTGAAGCGCGAGCTAAGGTACAATGTACCTCTGCTAGTTCCAATGGACGATTTCGCCGCCTTTCTCATGTCAAATTGACCATATATTAGAAATTGGTCAATTTGCGTCGGCTCCAGGCGGACCTAAGGATTGGGATAGCCAAGAACTTATTCAGGCCGTTTGTTCTCCCTGTGCTCTGTCCCTTGTGTGCGGGGATTGATTGGCGCGGTCAATGTGCAGAAGCTACCCCTGGTACGGAGCTGGAACGAGCGTGATCACACTCTACATGCGAATCTCATGCTAGACGCAAGAGAACTACAGTCGCGGTCAAAAAAAGATACAATAATCAGATTGTCAGCGCCGGAGAGGTGCGATTCTGACCGAAGAGGTTAAGCAGAACATCGAACAACATGTTCTCTCAGCGGCGGATCCGGCTTCTGCTTATAGCCGCGGTGGTGCTGATGGTCACCATCTTCTACTATTCGGTACCACCACCCTAGCCTGCGAGAACTAGGCATACAGTAACTAATATAGTCTGCGAATGCCAGGGCGACGCCGGAACAATACAAAACCAGAGATTCTATCGATCTACCGTCGCGGCAATAGACGCCCATAGAGACGCAAAAGAGGCTGCATCGAAACCGAATGTGCAGCCGCAGAAACCCGCCCCTCCAAAGCCCGTCGAGGAGAATGCCAAACCTGTAGTGCAGGAAGCGGACGGAGTCAAGGCGGCCATCCCCGAAGGCGCCAGTGAGGAGATGGAAGAGATCCCAATTGCAGGACGTACGAAGATGACGGTACCAAAGAACAGGAATCAGGACTCGCCTAAGCAAGAGCCTGCCCAGGCACCTTCTGAGGATGACCCTGAAGTTAAGAATGAGCTCAATGTTATTCTTAAGAGATCGCCCAGTACGTTATGTCCCCTAAGACCCGTATCTGTTATCTACGAGAGGGTCACTAACACATCATGCTCTCCTGCGCAGTCGTTATTTTCTCCAAATCCTACTGTCCTTATAGCAAGCGGGCAAAGTCTATCCTCCTCGAGAAATATAATATAGTACCCCCGCCGCACGTGGTCGAACTCGATCAGCATGCAATGGGACAGCAACTGCAATCGCTCTTGGCAAAGAACACCGGCCGACGTACTGTACCCAATGTACTCGTCAATGGAAAGAGTATAGGCGGTGGTGACGACGTGACTGCACTTGATGAGAAGGACGAGCTTGCCTCGATGCTGAAGAATTTGGGTGGGAAATGGATACAAGAGGTCAATCGTAAGGACTAAAAGAAGCAGGCTGAGTGATGGCAACGTCACGACATCATACAGGATGCAGTACAGTATGGAGTTTGGTCAGGTGTTTGGGCAACCTGGGTTGCTGGTTTCTTCTCTTCTCACGACTTCTCTAGGTATTTAATGCATGATCTCTTCGCGATAGACAGGGAAGTAAGTCATTGCATCCAAATTTAGGAAGTGAACGACTTTGACCTTTCTTAATGTCCTATGATGTTCGAGTGGCTCTTATAAGAATGTCCTGTTGATGCCTCAGGCGCCAGTTCAGCGACATTCAGCGACGACGTAAGAAAGAGAGGTAGCACCAGAACTTCGAATAAAATCCAAATAGACCGAACATCTATTATCAATGATGACAGTAGATATCTAACATTCTCGTAATAACAATAATCAAAAGGTCACCTTAGCCTAAGCTAGATAGAGAGGTAGATACAGTAGGATGTCCGCTGCCAGCAGAGCCCTAGAAAACGCGCTAAGCCGGAATGGTTGTTAAGCGACGCACAACCCGCCCGCCCTCGATTTTCGCTCCACCAAGACCAGGCCGCCTCCGTTGAATTTCGATCCTTTCGACGACCGACCGCACGAACGACATCGACAATTCTCCCCTCGGACATTCCACAGCCCACGCAGTCAAGATGCGGTACATTTACTCCGAGGAACGGCTGCCAATTCCCGAGAATGGTGAGAAAGCGATTCGTCCCTTGTTGTTTGAGGTCATTGGAAGAAAAGACGCCGGGGCAGAATGGAAGACAAGTAGCGTTGCTTTTTTGGGTGCGCTGGGAAGTTGTCGCGCCAGTCTGTCTACAGGAACTGTTTGCAAGGAAGACCGCTGCTACGTCTCTGTCGAAGAGGAGGAGATGCGAGAATGACCGCTGTTTGGGATCAATGTCTTGAGATGAATAGGAACTAACCCGGATTTCCGTCGTTTAGTGAAGGTTCACATTCGCTCGCGAATTGTGACCGTTGAGGGACCCCGAGGTACGCTGAATACAATACCCAATGCTTGTCACGGTCGGGAATTCTCTTCTCGAGCAGAGAGAGAAATTTCAGTCGAGACGAGTGGCCCGTCATTCGCTGGGGATCAACGACAACTGACATGGAACTCTTTCACGCGAATCAGGCAAGCTCGTCAAGGACCTCTCCCACATTGCCGTCACCTTCGGCCGCCCCGAGAAGAATGTCATCTCCATCGAGATGCACCACGGTGTCCGCAAGGGCATCGCTACCCTCCGTACCGTTCGCACCCTTATCAACAACCTGATCATCGGTGTCACCCGGGGCTTCAAGTACAAGATGCGCTACGTCTACGCTCACTTTCCCATCAACGTCAACATTGAGAAGAACTCCGAGACTGGCCAGTATGAGGTTGAGATCAGGTACGCTGCGCATAACCCCCAATTGAAGGAAGCTGGGGCAAGAGAACTAGCCATCCTTTCAACATCTTGAGAGGACGGGCCTTTGGCCACGCGGGATACTGTCGCATTCGCTTTCTGGTTGAGGAGCTGTGCTGACGGGCTTTATTTTGCGCTTGTTAGAAACTTCTTGGGCGAGAAGATCGTTCGTCGTGTCACCGCCCAGCCCGGTGTCGAGGTCGCTATCTCCAGCAACGTCAAGGATGAGCTCCAGCTCACCGGTAACTCCCTGGAGGCCGTCTCCCAGAGCGCCGCCGACATCCAGCAGATCTGCAGAGTCCGTAACAAGGATATCCGGAAGGTATGAATGCCGGCCTGTTACGTTTGGCGAATGTCCTGATGCTGATTCCATATCTAGTTCCTTGACGGTCTGTACGTTTCGGAGAGGGGCAACATTGTTGAGGAATAGACGATTTATGGGTCCGTCCGCCGTGCTGGGGAGTTGAGGATGTCTGGAGAACTTCATTTCGCACTACTTGCATTAGGGAAAAAGCAAAGCGAAAATCAATGCAAAACTAAAACGGAATTCGAATGCCCCTTTACGTGTCCACGGATATGGCTTTTCTCATCTTGGGGACATAGTATGTAGGAAATATCCGGCTTCTACGAACAATCCAAGTTTCCTTTACTTCCAATCAACCCTGGTTTTACACTGTTGAATCTATATCTCGAGACTTTTGTCCCCGACTCGTTTCTGCCTACATCCGACGTATCGTAGCCGGGCCAGCAGTCGCAAAGACCCGCATTCGCTGCAGGGCGACTTGAGGCGAGAGCCCAGAAAAACCGCCAAGTGTAGCCAGACATATGAATCTCCTGAAATAGACACCTATAAACCATGAACGCACACTGGAACTAACGTGGGAGCGGATACTTTCACTTGGGGCGGAGAGTTGCAGTGGCAGCAATGCTCCGACAGATCCCATGTCTCTTTCATCTTCCATCCCTGATAACCTCCAACAACAACTACTACCTCTTCTCCTCTATCCATCTTCTACAGAATCTCAATATTGGGGCTTCTTTTATTCTATCAGAATGATTGTTATCCCAATTTGACTGCCGCTAGAAGCAGAGCTGAGAAGAGAAGAGAAAATACCTCGTCCGCGTCATATGTCATACCCCATCAACTCTTAGCATGTGAAAGCAACAACACCCACATGCGCCGTTCGCCATCACGCTCACCACCGCACACCGTTCGTAGTCTACTATAAAAAGGATGAAGTCCTGGGTAGCTGTGTCTGGTCTTTTCTCTGCGATCTTTAGCATGGTGCTCGATGTCGCGCTGTTCTGGAAACATGTATGCTCGTTTACCTCCGCGCAAAGATGTTCCAATGGCCGTGCTAATCAAGGTCGCCCTGCAGAGGTTACTGGCATGGTGGTTTTCAAAATCACCTAAAACTAGGCTGCGGCATCGTCTGGCCACAGCGCAGACATTTGAGGAATGGGAAGAGGCTGCCTTTGAGCTGGACGAGCTCCGGAGCGCGGATTTATGGTAAGTTGATTTTCGATCTCGCCTGCTTGGACTGATAACGGCAGTAGCTAACTGTAGTGCAGGCGCCAGAACCCGACAAGTCGACATTACGACTACCGATTGATTCTGGGGCGAGTGGAAGCTTTGATGACTGCTCGTGAGGAGGAGAATATCCTGACACTGGCCAATCTTCTTCGCTCCGGACTTGTGCGCAACCTGGGCAACATCACCTCCCCGAAACTCTTCTTACATGCGTACGCTGGCACGAAACTCCTCATTGATGACTATATCACACAAGTCGCACTTTCGATTCAGCACATAACGACTCTGCAGACCGCTCCGGTCCACGAGAGTGGGTTCACCTCGCAGGCCAAGCTGGAGCTCCTGCATGATACTCGCCAAGCTTTCGGTAGAACAACATTGCTCCTGCAAGGCGGCTCCATATTTGGGCTATGCCATCTTGGTGTGGTCAAGGCTCTGCATCTGCAGGGTCTTTTGCCTAGAATAATCACGGGGACGGGAACAGGAGCGCTGATTGCGGCCCTGGTTGGGATCCATTCAGAGGACGAACTGTTGTCATTCCTTGATAGTGATGGGATCGATTTGACGGCTTTTGATCGCCGACGAAGCGAGAAGCTTTCCGGCGAGCAGGCACAGAAATTGCCTTACAGTAGCGAAGACAGTTGGCTTGGGACGCTGTTCCGTCGGGTGAAGCGCTACATTGAAAAAGGCTACTTTCTCGACGCTGGGGTTCTGGAAGAATGTGTGCGGGCGAACCTGGGCGATCTGACCTTCGAGGAAGCATATGCACGGTCCAAACGGATCTTGAACATTACGATAGCGACATCAGGCAAGAATGGCACCCCGAACCTGCTGAATTACCTGACCGCGCCGAATGTTGTAAGTGTAGACTTCAAGCTCAACTTTGAAGCTTTCAGTTTTAGAGTAGCCACCTTGTTTTGTGAACCTCACTGACGCACTACAGTTGATCTGGTCGGCGGCAGTTGCCTCGAATGCATCCACGGGTTCCTTATACCAGCCTGTGATGATATACTGCAAAGATGAAACAGGGTCAATAGTCCCCTGGCCACACGCTCAGGACGCCACCTTCCAGTCATGGCGCCACGTACATTATAGTGACGGGGAGTCACCACTTTCCCGCATCGCCGAGTTATTCAACGTCAACCACTTCATCGTGTCGCAAGCGCGGCCGTATCTCATTCCATTTCTCGGCTCGGATCTGAACCTGCTCGACCGCCATCAGACAGGCCAGTGGAACATCACACGGCCGCTGATGCGCCTAGTCGTCGTGGAGCTCCGCCACCGACTTCGCCAGCTGGACTACCTCGGTCTCCTGCCTCAAATCATCGGCCGACTCCTCATCGAAGAGACGATCCCTGGATCGAATCTCACGCTTGTCCCCGATCTATCTTTGAGTGACTTTACGAAACTTCTGCAGAACCCAAGCAAGGACAACCTGGCATATTGGATCTTGAAGGGCGAAAGGGGCGTATGGCCGGCCATCGGCGCGCTCAAGGTTCGCTGTGTGATCGAGATCGAGCTCGACAAGGGGTATCAGCGCGTGCGGCGACGGCGGCCAAGCGAGAGCGTAGCATTGCACCGGCGTGGTCCCAACGAGGGTGTGCCCAGGAGACGAAGGGGTATAGTATAGACAACGGACGGGATCTGAGCAGTTTGCTGGGGAGTGCGGACTATCAGCCGGATGTGCTGAATTCATGATAGGAAGGGGTAGCCCGTAATCCAAGGCGACTGTCAGTCTATCGACTCAGCAGGGCTGCGTGTTACCCTACGAATAGAAGGACGGCCTATTGGCGTGTACACTACACATTGTAATTCATTATCCGGAATCCTATGTCGACATAAGTGACTACAAATTACCAAGACAGACAGACAGACAGACAGGTGCAAGTGCTAAATCTCGACCAGAAGGTCCAGGACGATATCAGTATTTTAAAGTCCATCGGACTCTGGAGGTCCTTTGTATGCTACAAGGTACAGACAGCGCATGAGCAGATGTCCCATAGATAAAAGAGGCAGACAACAAACTTACATTTCCGTGCATATACAGCATACCAACCGGCCGCGATGGCCAAGAACCCCACAAACACGACGGACGCATAATTCATCGAGACCCGCGTGACGGGCAGCACGGTGGGCATGCTGAACAAGACCAGCTCGAAGCTGATCCAGCACAAGGCGACGACGTTGACAATGGGGCCAACGACGGGCCCACAGTTCCACAGGGCCTTGGAGACCTCTGTGCGGCCGTTCCGGAGGCTGAGGAAGATGGGGATGGCGTAGGCGACGGCGAGGGCGATGACGCCGACGGAGACAAAGGCAGTAAAGGCGCTGGAGCTGCCGAGGTTGATGAGACCGAGAAGCATCTGGATGACGGTGAGGAGGAGGAGGGACCAGACGGGGACACCGAGGCGAGGGTTGACGCGGGCCCAGAGGCTGGCGAGCGGGATGGCATCGTCGCGGGCGAAGGCCCAGGTGGAGCGCGAGGCGGCTACGGTGATACTGATAGAGCAGAAGAGCGTGATGACGAGGACGAGGGTGGTCAGCGCAAGGCCGCCGCCGGGGCTGCCCATGACCCGGTGGAAGATGTAGGGGAGGGCCTGGGCGGCGGGGGCCGTAAGGACGTCTTCCAGTGGGGGTAGAGTGAAACAGATGGGGAGGATGAAGAAGAGGCCCGCCAGACCTCCGACTGGGACGCAAAGGCTGATGGCCCGGGGCACGTGGACTGCGGGATGGGCACACTCCTCTGCCATGGAGGAGACCATGCCGATGGCAGAGAACGTGTAGGCGGCGGGCAGAAGTCCGATAAAGAAGGTGAAGCCGCCCCATCCAGAGAGACTCTGATCGTAGTGGCCCAAAGCGTAGGCCGCGCTGTGTCTGCCCGCGTCGGCCTGGACGGACAACGCAATTAGGCTGATGAGGATGGTGAGTGCGGTGAAGGTGGCACAGGCAATGTCGACCTGGGGAAGGTAGCGGTTGCCAAACGTGCAGATGAAGAACGAGCCTATGCAGATGGCGTAGAAGATTAGCAGGAGCTGCCAGTCCGTGGCGGCCCAGTCCGGATGGTACATCGAGACTGTGGCCGAGACCAGCGATGCGAAGCCAAAGTTGACGGAGAGCGTGATGGTCCAGTTGCCGACCAGCCAGATCCAACCGTTGATGAACGACATCACCGTCTTGGAGCTCCTTGTGATCTGAAACGACCAATAGTAGGGGCCTGCAGAGGTCGGCCAGCGAGATGCGAGCTCGGCCAAGGATAACGCTACACATTCATCGAGAACACAGACCATGATCCAGCCGACGAAGATCGAGAGAGGACCCCCGCCGTAGATGGCATTGAGTAGAGGACCTCCCTCCCCGTACGGGATGGCAGCAATGGCCAGGGTCTGGAAGAGCAAAGTGAGAACGGAGCGGTTTCGATGGAGCTCCTGCTTGTACCCTAGGCGGTCGAGTCCCTCGCCTTCCTGGATGCTGCCGGTCTCAGGATCAACATCTTCCTTGCTAGGCGCGCTGCTGGAGGGATCAGGTAGTTTGTAATCCGCTTCGACACCCATGCCGAAGGATGAATTCTACAATGAGCACTGCAGACGTATCCAAAGGTCCTTAAGAAAAGAGGCCGAGGTCCTGTGCTGTTAATCGAGTCAGCAAGGGACGTCTATTTATTATCCAGAGCTAAGGTTGCTCACAATTCGAGCATGCATGGATGCTTCTTTCCAGGGTGGTAACACAACTGATAAGACGCATCGAATCATCACAATTCGAGCCAATATCCGGTGTTAAAAACCCAGCTCCCGCTCATTCCAAATTCCAAGCGGGGGAAGGATATGGTATACCCATTGGGAACGTGAGACGTAATGATGGTCGCAAAATAAGCACCTCGCGTATCAGGATCTATGATTAGACGGGGTGGAACTCAGATAATAATGTCCGATGAACCATGATACGGGATGCTGGACAATCAATGGAGCTTTCACTCATTGTCCCCCTTGCTTTGACACCGGTAGAGCTGTTCACACCTCTCAGCTCTGCAACTCCAACCCCCTGTAAGCTACTCTGTGTCTTGAAACAGAGGAAAAAACCAAAGCACCACCGATGGTCTCTCGGCATTATGACATGATCAATTGGTCGTCGTAGAGATAAGGAAGAGATATTCAGCAGTAGTAAGATAAGCCCTGGGGACGGCTTGAGACTATCAGCAAGTATCCGGATACTGAATGCAGCCGTTGACTTAGCCCGATGCAGTAAGGGAATCCGTTTGATGATGTTTATTAGAGTTTCTTCAATGACTATCGCCTGTCTATCGGAAGTTTCTCTGTCAGTCAAGAGCCACATCGTGAGGGGTCTTCAGTATCGTCCCCGCATCATAGAAAGAGCCATTCTGTGCGGGGAAATACTTTGATGCTGAGGAGAAGGAGACGGAACGAGTTATCATGATCGGTGACAGAAGCTTGACCAGAGGTTTTTTTTGTTAGAAAGTCGGGGATGTGTGTGGAAGTGGATGATGAATGGATGAATAGTAGTAGTGCTGGGGGAGGAGAGGAGTCTCGCTTCCTTAGTAGTCGTCTTATCACCGTCAGAGTGCAACTCCCCAACTTCACTGTAAACATCCCTTCTTGCTTGACAATACCCCAGATGACGACATACACGTTGTTAAAGCTATGTCTCGGAGGGCTAAATGACTGAAAAGGGTCCAGTTGTTCTACTATAGCCTTCTCCTAGATCATTTGATCGCGATGAACCCTCATCCCCTTCATGAGAGTCGCATTCTTCAATCAAATGAATTTATCCAAACGCCAAGGCACAAGCCCTGGTGATTGAAAGAGAGCACACCAAATGTTCATTATGGTAAATAAACTTAAATCGGGATATACATCAGCCAATGAATTATAACCAACAATATCAAGAAAAGAGAAAAGACGGCTCGATCCGCTGCACCGCAGCGCTGATTGGTAGAGAGAGACTAGTGGACAGCAGTATGAGGGCGAGCAGATCGCGAAGAGGGTGGCCGAAGAGAAGGAGCCCGCAAAGAATGCGCTTGGCGAGAAGTGGGCCGTGAAGGGATCTGTGCTGCAACATATGACAGGGGAGGGACTGCGCCATTCATGTCAGCCGTTATGCTCGAAGCAAACGGAAAGGAAGACGAAGGAGAGAGTAGGCAAACTTACTGCTGAAACCGTAGCCCTCGGTGACCCCGTCGGTGTTTTGCGGGTCAATCTCGACTCGCACGGCCACGTCGAGTCCGCCATGCATGCGACTATTGCTGGTGACGCCGTCTGCAGCTGAATGAGTGGAGCCCGCATCAGCTTCGCCCTTGTGCAGCGGCGAGTGGCCGTTCTTAGGGATGGGGAATGATTGGTCTCCGTTGGCGGTATCGCCGTTGGTGATGGGGGTGTCAACTTCGGTGATACAAGCGTAATTACGCGACGGCATGGTCACCTTGTTCCAGGGAGCACTCTTTTCCACGCCGCCGGGTTGTTTGTCGAAGAAAGCCATCAGCGTCTCGTCTGTATCCCCATCCATGTGGTGGATCTTGTTCCTGCGAGCTAGGAGGTTTGCAACAGCTTTGGGAGGCGGCTTGTTGGTTATTGCACTGCTAATGACGTTGACCATGTATCGAGGATCACTCTCGCTCGGGAATCCAAGCTTGGGGTTCGAGTAGAAGCGCCCAATCGCGGCGAGGTGCACGTCTCCGCCCAAGATGGTTACGCGAATAGAATGCGTAGCGGCAAAGTGCTGAAGACGCTGCATGAAGATCCGTCGCTCTCGCTTGTGCTGGCGGGCAGTGTAATGGTCATCCAGGTCGTCCAGCAAGTCGACCTGGCCGTCAAACTTGTTGAACAAGCCGCCGGCGAGACCGAACCGCTTGTTCAGCAGGCGGATTGGCGCAATGACGGGAGAGCTCAAGATATTTTCAAGCCAGGCGAGACGGGGATATGCAATGGGGACACCGAGAAGAACCACAAGGTGTTTGATATCCCCATTGGCGGCTGCCACTTCACGCTCGAGACGAGAGAAGATAAGATCATAGGTTTCCGGGTAATTGACCTGGTGCCTGGTCCGTTCTGTCCGCGCATCAACGCCGATGAACGCAATCCGCTTGCCCAGGCGCATATACAGATTCCTGCTCTTCTCCTCTACATAAGGACCATGGCTTTTCCCAACGATCCAACTATTGTCCTCGGGCTGATTTTCCAGAACAAACGTGTTCTCTGTCTGACGAGGGTCTGCACCTGCTGTGCCGTTGATCGCTTGCATGGTCTGCGGGGCATCCGTGGTGAAGGTAGACTTTGGAGGCGCAAGGTGGTGTTGAAACAGGCAGTAATACTTGTACGCCACGCCTCCAATGCCGCGAAAGACGGCGCACCGCATAAAGTGGTCCGTGTATGAACCAAAGCCGTCAATGATGTCGTGGTCGTCCCAGATATTGATCTGAGGGATCTGTGCATTAGCGGTCTTGAACGGCTCGGTGGAGTACCATCTCATGTAGTTTGCATAGTAGTACTCGTCGCATTTGGCTCGCAGGGAGTTATCGAAATTGTGTGTCCGTCTTTTATGGGGATTCGCGATCGCCGTCCATTCCTTCAAGGGGCCATCCACCCGGACTCCGTCATTGTAGATTTGGTCACCGCCACCGATCATGACGTGGAAGGGCTTTTGCGCATGAACGCGAAGGACATCATTCCACAGATTGGGACCCAGCCATGCATCCATATCTGTGCCGACGGAGAAACCGTTGCAGGAGTGGAACATGAGCCGCATGGACTGGTTCACGGAGGGCACCACAAAGTTCCAGGGCGTAATCGTTCGATTGGCATCCGCATACTGGAAGCCGGGAATGTCATACTCCCAGCGCGCTTCATATGATTCCAGGGGGACGGTGATGGAGAAACGCCAGAAGGCTTTCTGGGGATCCTCGTAAAGGCGCAAACCATCAATTGCGATGGGCTGACGGGCCGATAGATCGCCATTGACCGGAGCATTGCTACCGCCGACCGGACCACTTTGTCGCAGGAGCAACTGGGGCTGTCTTTGGCCGGGTTTCGTGACAATCAAGACGCTTCCATGCCAGAGGGAGGAGGAGGGGGTGACGGTCATGTTCTTGTAGTTGATCAAAGGCCCGCAGACCACTTCAACCTGCGCATTGCTTTGGTATGCTTGGCCATTTGGAACGGCGTCTTAAAATGGAAAGTTATACAGTTAGTCATGGGCGACACGATTACTGTAAGAAGAACAGAGAGTTTGATCAGTAATGGGTGATGGGTAGCTCACCATAATCATGACTTGGCTGGCTGGAGTAGTGAACCATGACGGGAGGACCGTGATGAGGGTATTAGATACGAGTTAGGTTGTTTGGGTTATACAACAATAATACAAGGGTAGTAAGGTAAGCCTCTTAGTGTGGCTGGTGGGCAGGAAATGAAAGAAGCAAAAGGGTATCAATTCAACAGATTAAAGTAGTTAGAATGCAGTTAGACGAAGAGGAAGAGAGAAAAATGAGACAAATGATTGTAAGAAAGTGAAAGAGACGAGGAGATTAGTATTATTAAGGAGACCAGGGATTGATTCTCTGGCTCACGATGTACAAGCGAAGGGGCAACAGGGCTGATTAGTTGGTTCGGATCAACGAGCGTATTTTGTCCTTACTAAGGAGAGGAGGAAGAGATAGAGAGATAGACAGGTAAGGTAGGTAATCTTATGATCTTAAGGTATCCGAAGAAGGGATCAAGCCAGGAAGAAGAAATGCGGATTGTTTGTAGACAGCTTGAAGCCTTGAAGGGAGAAATGGATGATGAGATGACGATAGGGCTGAGTACCAAGGAAGAAAAGCCAGCGACCGTCGGCCAGTCAATAATAATCATCCCATACTAATAATAATAATATTGTATCCATGCAGACAGAATGAAGGTATCATCATCAGGCTGAACCGAACCACGAACCACAGCTTTCGCAGAGTGGTAGCTCCTAAGAATTTGATTTGCTTGGCATTATGTACGGTGAGGTACCTAGGGAATCTCAGAGGCTCGTGTACCTAGATAGCGAGTGGATACCGATGGAGTACGCCGTCGAGGGGTACACGGTTAGACATCGGAAGTTGGATACCCTCCCTGTTACCTAGTATTAGGTAGATGTTACCATACAAACGTACTCATGCAGCACAATGCAGACTACTTGAATCAAAGAATGACATTATTGATACTGGACAAGTCCTACCTTACCATACATTGATAGACAACAAGAATGTAAGCTACCTCGGTTGGTACCTATCAATGTGGCTGGAGCAGCTGCCTGCGGGGATTTCTTTCTTAATTGACCAATCATACAGTCCTAAAGTGAACTGATTCGTGCGGCGGAGATTTACCTATCATTTGTGGTCACTGGCTACTGGGTCAGTATCCACTAGATAAGTACCTAGGGTAGGTAAGCATCCTCTTCCCTAGCCACACTCTCACAGGCAGCCACATTTTTGATTCGAATAGTGAGGTACCTCAGTAATTATTATGATTATTATTGATCCACATGAAGGGCGATCAGTCAATCATCATTTCCCAGCTTATCGTAGTGTGTCCGATTCGCAATTTGAAAGCTGAAGTACGGAGTAGTCATTATTACCATGTAGATGCCCATGCTAAGGCGCCTTCATATGCAAGTGCCGTCTGTTGATATCTTCCCTCCACTGCCACTGCCTTCTCCGTCTGTATCCCTGTGTCCAGGATGCTCCAGGCAGTGGCAGAATAGGTTAGGTCCGTCTACGCCGCAGCGCAACTGGTGGAGACCTATACAAGCGCCTACCATTCGTCTAAGATGCTGGTAGTAGGGCTAATCCAGGATAACTGTCCTTGCACGTCGTTGGCCGTCCTATCTGCTGACAGATGGTATAATCCTGGCACATCCAAAAGCGTTCCCCGGGAAGTGCGTTGGCGCAGCTATCACCTGCCTGGTGAAAAGCTGGTGCGCATGGTTAACTTCGGTAAATGTGGGCTTGCTGGGCATCTAGCTGACGACGAGGAGAGATATGGTGAAGCAGTCTTGTCCGTTTTCTGAGTGGTTGGACAAGGACGGTTAGAAACCTCTATCCGTTGCTTCTCAAGATTTTGCTGATGCCTGACTGAAGAGGTTGTTGTACAGCGCTCTCAACTGGGAGCAGTGACACACATCATCGATGATGGAGTAGGCACTGGAGTCACACTACCAACTCGTGTGGCTGTGAAACAGATCAATATGAATACTGGACTTCATATTCAGCTCATCAAAATTGGGTTCATTGACCAATGCCATGACAACTGACTGATCATAATCAGCTGCAAATGCCCTGGATTTGATGGGATCCGGTACCTAGTATGGAATACCTGCTTGATCACATGTAGCCTCATGACCCTGCGTGCTTGCCCCATCTTTTTCCCAGATCAATGAGGAATTTATCTTACAATTTCATCACTTCTGTCTTCTTTCTCCATCGTATCCGATTCATGGCTGATGGCAGAATATGAAGTACTTACAGCCCCTCTAGGCTGTTCATACTGATGGAGGCAAGCACCGCGGACTATGTGGTTCCATTCACTGTGGTCTAAAGATACACCAGTCTAGCTAGGACATCGACCCTCAGCGTCTTTTCCCATCCTCATACCATCACCGTCGTTGTGCATGCCGGCATGCCAACCAACACCATCCCATCACCGGTGATGGGATGATGTAGTTGATGATGATTATGTTGTTGTCCTTTTGATGTTTGATGTCTGTGTTTTTGATTTTCCTTTGATCCTTCTCTCTTTCTTTTGTCATCCTCGGACTTTTTTCTGGTGGTTTGATTCTGTTTCCTTTTTTTTCTTCTTTTTGTCTTTTTCTCTTTTTCGTTTCCTTCGACAATTGAATCGAATCATCAATCCCAAGACTCTGACATGTGTTAATACTCTGACCAAACCGTCAAGAGGAGAAGCCGGACTTCTATCCCCAACAATCTCTGAACAAAAGATCTTTGGTGGCCTCAAGGCGTGTCCAGTCACAAAAGTCGACAGATATGTCGACACCAGTAGGGGTTCATGCCCCAAAAGAAATTTTTGAATGCAAACGAAAGCAGAATTTGTGCGAAGATGGACAACCGATTTTTGAGGATGGAATGGGGGCGAAAAGACAAACAATAACACGAGAGGAACGGGAGAAAACAGCACAGGAAAGGAAGCAGGTGCAATTGCTGAAGGGGTATCGTACTCTCACAAAAAGATTAGGGACAAATTCGACGAACAATCAAGTCGAACCAACATTCAAGGGGATGGACATGAAAAAGCGTCAGTAAACACAAACGCGAGGCACTGAGAAACGCAACAGAAGAAGCTCAACAGACAAAGTGAACAACACGGAAACAGTAATCATTCGGAAAAAAAGTACACGGTCTTGATAGAACCGGCACCTGTCGCGACATGAACATGTCCTCTAGTCAAATAGAGGGGATGGAAGAAGACAGCGAGGCGGTTGGTCTTCTATCTCAGGCTGCGTCTGCACTTCCAACTTCCAACTGTCATTCTCATAACCAAGTGACGACGCAATGGTGAACTCATCAACAGGCCTCTTGCGGACACGCACTCGAAGGTCCGTCAAAAGCGATCCGAATCGGCCCCTGTTGTCGAGCGAATCCAAGTCCGGCCTTTCTTCAAGAAGCTCAAGCGTACGGCGAAGAAGAAGAGGCAGGGGTATCTTATGATATTCAGTCGCCTCAAAATCATCGAAATCCTCCGTTGCCGGACGAACAATGCCCGGAGAACCTGGGCTCAAGCATTGTATCTGCTGGAGAACCGATCTGTGGCGGAATGGGGGCGAAGGGGTCCTTGGAGCGTCAGGGGGATAATTCTCATCAATTGTGGGATGCTCTCCAGCCTTGATCATGATATTTTCGAATTCCTGGCCAGGGGACTTGATCTCCGGGAGGTCGTCTGGTACAGCAAAGAGACCCTCAAGGCGCCGGGCAGCTTCCTCACGGCGCTTCTTTCTGTTTTCCTCGCGATGCCATCTCCAAGTTTCAAAGTCGGCTGCGCACCACTCGCCGCCCTGCATCAGAAAACCGTGCGACTGCTCCTGCTCCTGTCGCTCTTCCTCTTCCAAGTCATACAAATCCTGAAGGAGTTGTCTGAATGAATCGTCGTCATCGTTTTTCTCGGTTCTGTTCTTGGCTCGCGGGGATCCAGCGCGGAGGGCAAACCAGGCCCGATACGATGCGCGCTGCATGGTTTGTCGGCATTGGTCTTCATAGTATGCGAGTTGATGACGGAACTTCTGCTTCTGATATTCTTCTTGAATGAAGATGACATCAATAAAGTCCGCAGCGAATTGGGCGAACATAGTGACAATGACCATCTCCATGCCGGGATCATCGCTCACTTGAAGGCTTGTGCAAAGAGGATTTGAGCTCAAAATTCCCTCGCCAGCCCTTCCGGTCCGCTTCTGGAATGTTGACTGCAGGAGACTAAACAGCCTGGAGATGGAAATGGTGTACACAGTTGTGCCTTCGCTCCACACAGACCAAATATCACGAATGTCGTGGGGCATCCAATTGAAATGGCGGGCAAACAGACTTCTATATTTCCAGTCATAGCCCAGGACATAGTTACGTTCGCCGAAAACTGCACCTTTTTCCGCAATGGGCAGGATGGCGAAGAGCAGGCGGGCTCGCTGGCTGTCTTCTTCCATTCTGTAAATCTCGGTGATGAAAAGATCACAGTATCGGATGGGTTCACAGTCTGTGCCGTCGAAGAGATACAAGTCTTCGCGCCTGATATGCATGTCTTTTCCCGCCTCAAGACTGTTCAGGTAAAGGTGATAATCGATTATGCCCCATGGGTGTTTGACGGAAGATGTGAGTGCCTGTGGTTCAACTACGTCGATGTCTTCAGTAGCACTTGATGGGACCCATGGCGCGAAGCTAAAGGAACCCTGTGACTCGTCGTACGTTTCGTCTTTGACTTGCAGAGCCATCACTTCAGCAAGTGCTTTCCTGGTGGCAGAAGTCCCGTTGACGAGGTGGATGTCTCTGTCACTTCTTCTCATCTGGAAGCGACGCAAGCTACGAGCCCTGCCGATTTTCTTGAAACGCTTCAGCTTGGAAGGCATGAGGGGCATTGTAAGGGAGGCAGGCCTCCGTCTCTTGGAGTCGCTCGCGTTGAGAAGTGTGAAAGTCAGGCCTCGATAAGGGAGAGATGAGGGAGACGAGGTGAGAGAACCAAGGATACTGTGAGACAGTGTGGTTAAGCTAACGAAGCTCTGCAGATATCTGGAAAGCTGAGGAAGATGATTGTTGATAGAATGAAGTGTTTGAACGGAGGAGATGAGAAGGAGAAAGAGAGGTATGGGAGATGAGAAGTGAAGAGACTGGGCATACAGTGAAAGCAGAAGCGATAGGACGCGCTAGCGTGGCGAAAAATAGCAGGGCAACACCAGAAAGCAATGTTTTGTTCTTGTCCAAACGTCCAGAGTGGGCTCTACGTGAGTCTTAATGATTACGTCTTTCGGTCACTCCAGAAGACCAGGAGATACAGGGCTGGTTGAGCACCAAGGACCTAGGACTCAAATCTTTGACCACAGGGACTTACTCACACTTAGGTTTCATGCGCATGAAGCTTAATCTACAAATATAGCTGTCAATGATGCGGTCCCGCGTAACCTGATCGGGGCGCGTGAGGTGAGGCATCGTAGATCTGGACTCTGTATGAAGCCTTCACTGCACAGCCGGTTCCGGAAGTCTGTTTGTGCCTTAGGCCGGCCCCCGGGCAAGGACCCGTAGCAGACAAACAAAGATCTCTCTAGACGTTTCGTAGAAGGTCTAGATTGCCTTGACGTCTTTCAGTGCCTACACGGCTTTGAAGCCTCGATCAGTAGGTTACAATATCAAACAGTCTGTCTTTCTTTGTCTCTGGTGCTTGCTATCGTCCTTTGATACGAACCAAGGCAGATTATCTACGATTGTCAAGATGGTGTTTCGAAAGAGGAAGAGCTTGTAGGCTGGTGCACCCAGTTGATGTGTTGTAGAGACTCCCTTCGTGCTGGGAATATCACCTCTACAGAGCAGAGCTGCAGGCTTCGAGACAACTTCTATATCTGGATCTCTTTGTAAGTTCCAAAAGCCAATGAAGCGACATGGTTTTAGAAGTATCACAGTAAGACCCATGTTTCAACCAAAAAAAGAATTGACTCTACGGTCACATCGAAGTCAGCTATTTCTTCTCGTGCAAAAAGCTGGGTATTCTTCTTGAAACGAAACATAGCAACCTATACTGGGACCTTGACAACGCAAAACTAACACATACTAAGACAGGTGAGAAAGATCTGTTACATGAGATATGCATAGAGTACATGAGTTTATCACCGTGGTCTATTCGGACATAACTCGTTCAAACCAGGTCTTGTTCTGCCGGCGTTTCTTCTGTTCGCCCTTCCACGCCAGAGCCCATACAGCGCCGATCAGATATCCACCCAGATGGGCAAAGTGATCGAGCTTCATAACACGGAAGGGGGATACGAGGCTGAAAATTTCAAAGGCGACGAAGCCTGTCAGGAGGACCCATCCTTTGGCAGATATAACCTCTTGCCATTCCCGGGGGAGGAAGAAGACGGTGAATCTCTCCCTGTTGTGTGCGTAATCAGTCAGCATTCTAAAGAACTCTCCAACTTCTGAGAACTGTAAAGAAACAAAGATGCAAGATTCTAAAACGTACTGGCTGTGAAGTAGACACCATGCCGCGACGATGCCGGAAATCGCACCACTGGCTCCCAGAGACGTGATCATCAATTGACCCATTAGGACGTGACCTGTCAAAGATACCAGGGAGCCAAAACCGCCTGCAGCCATATAAAGACCCAGGAAATTGCCTCGTCCTATATCATCGTGGACTGGGCACAGTCAGCATCAAAAGGCCCTGCGAGAGATTTTACCAGCACTCACGTTTCGTTCCGATAAACCACAACATGAGCATATTTAATGCCAGATGTTTGAACTGCTGATGACTGAAGACATTTCCGACAATGCTCAGGGGATGGGGCTTGAAAGGAACACTGATAAAGTAGCGATTGAGCATTCGCCACGCCGGTGGGAACTTCCAAAGAAGGAAGATGGTCAGATTCGCACCCATGATGGCGAACGCCGTGGCGGCTGCTGGAGGCATATCCGGCCACATGCGGTCCGCTCTCGCTGGGGCTTCATAAGTTGCGGCAAAGGCATAGCTGAGGCCAAGGACGAAGAGAGTAAGCGCGAGACTTGGCAGAATGCGACGAGCCTGTTTGACAGCAATGAGTCTGGGTCCCTCTTGGCTCAAGCGAAAGACTCACCGTGCTCAATTTCTCTGCCGCTTCTACATTCCAGTCTGTCGCTTGCAAGTGGTGCTTCTGGATCCAGGCGAGTAAAGGGCGTTCTGCAGGATCTGCGCGTTCTCGTACTAGACACCAGCCAAACTCAGCACTTCCATCAATGGTAAGCATCCGCCACTCAGCCGGATCTACTCACCCTCTAGTGCCGAAGAGTCGTCGAACTTTTGCAGAGCTGTATTCTGCTTGACCTGGCGCAACAGTTGTTCTCGCTCTTTATTCTCATTTTCCAGCCATTCCTTGCGCTTTTTCTCTTGTTCCGCTAGGAGTCGCGCCTCGTTCCGCTCCCGAATTTCCTTCAGGACACTCTTGCCGTAGGGGTCGTTCGAGTCACCGCGCTCAGCACCGAAAGTTCCGGATTGAGGCTTGTACAGTCCCAGTTCTTCAGCCCGCTTAATGAGCTTCTGCTGCTCCTCGAGTTCTTCTCTTTCGATACGAGCGAGAATGGCAGCATCCTCATCTAGCGGATAGTTCCCGCGCAGCCACTCCAGGGCGGCATCACGACTGGCCGGCGGAACAGAGCGAGTTATGTCTTTGGGCAGGTCGAGGTCGAGCGTACCGGCAGTACGCCTGCCATGTAGTACAGCAAGGACACGATTGCCCATCGCAGGAGATATTTTTGCTCGGGGTCCAAAGATTTCGTTGATCTCAGCCGGGGAGAAGGGCTCGGAGCGAGGCGGGACGCCATGTTCAGCGGGAGGAGCAGACTGGGAAAGGAAAGGAACGGAAGCACTGAACGACCTGACCGAAGCTGGTGAATGGGTCCGACCAAATCGACTGGCGATCAGGAATGGCACTGAATGTGGTCTCTGGTCGAATGTACAAAGACGTCGTCTGAATGTACTATACGGACGGCATGTGAAAGAAGTGCGGAGATCGCAAAGCATGGAGCGGAACATTGCTGATCTGAACGGAAGCAAGCCCGAGGGTGCAAGCCCCGAGCATGGAGTCCGCCATGCTACACAGAGCGCATTGCTCATATCCTGCGATTTGGAGGTCCTACTGCAAGGATTTGCTAGAGGATGATATTGTTGATGGTGATAATGAAATGGGAGAGTTCGAGAAGTCCCATGTGGATGCGATATACAAAGCGGACCTCCGAGCGGCCAATCAATTTATCCGAACAGACGAGGTTCCTGAATCGAACCATACATATAAAAGGGGGTCTTTTGAGTGCAGAAGTACCTTTGAGAATCAATATACATTTTCATTTCTGCTAGTGACACTTGAGTATATTAGCTTTCAAGGTAATGGAGATGTAGTCGCTTGGAAAACTACATGGACTATGCTTATATATATATATATATATGTTGCGGTTTCTACCGCTAATTTGGCTACAGGAAACATCAGAATGGCATTTCCCCCGAAATACTGCAACAGGGAGCTGCAATCAGATACTTCTCAGCATAGCCTGGACCAGGGACCTTAGCAAACGCCAACTTAGAACCAACATGTTGCTCATGCCAAACATCCCAAGACGAATTCTATAAATGTCACGTGGAGATAACGATAAGATTGAGCATGGCCTTCTGGGCGATGAGAGATCCCAGATATGATAACCCAGTATAGTCACCTTTAGACGAAGAAAAGTCCTGGTGTCTGTCATTACTCTAAGCTCAAGAAGATTTGTTCCACAGCTAGCCCAAATGTCAGAAGAGGCCCAGCCCATCACCCTTGAAGCTTTTGCCGAAGCCATCAAGGAACTGCCCCTCTCCGCGGTGTACGCAAAAGTCTCGGAAATCAGGAACTCTATCGCACACCTACGCCGCTCAAATAGCGAGCTTAGAGCGTTCGTTGACGGGGCTTGTGAGAGTGAGAGCGATAAGCGAGAGCTGGAAGGGTACATCGCAGAAAACGAGGGCGTCATCACCACTATGAATGACCGAATTGGACTCCTGAAGACCGAGATTGAGAATCGAGGCGAACGATGGATTGAAGAGGAAGTCGCGGCGGATACTAAAGTGGATGGAGATGAAGTATCCGCGTCTTTATCAGAACAGCCTGTCGTCAATGGTACTGCGGGGGATGAACGGCCTGGAGCACATCAGGACGCGACGAGAAGGCCGGAAGATACGCAGGCCGACGAGGAAGAAGGCGTCTATCTGTGAGACATCAATGCTGCTGGTTGGCTTTCCTACCAGAAAATCGACTTTGGAGGATTTATTCTTTTGTGCGCTGTCTGAAGCGACATGGCACCTGTGGAAGACGCTCCACCCGACTGCTTCATAGTTACTGGTCTGGATGGGGGATCTCAGTCGCTAGGTACTGAGTTACTTTCACCAACTCCTTGAGAGAGAGAAACGCACACCACCTAGAAGGTCACCTAGCGGATTCCAGCTGTGGTTGTCCCTCTATCACCACATAGACTGACTCGGATTGCACTCGCCCTTGGGTCATGTCGCTCTTTACATGGCTTCTTGCACAATGTCGCTGTTTGCTAGATTGAACGACAGGCATCCCATGTTGAGCCTCGGAATGAGTACATCAGCAAAACTACAATTGCATATGTTGATCGATTCATTGTCTCTCCTGATTCTCTCAGCTTAATGTTAAAATGTATGCACATCACAATAATTCCCAGAAGCAAATATCACAAGACAATGCTACCCAGCAGTAAAGTATTGCGACGGTGGTATGCAGAGGAGAGGTGTGAGATGCGAAATGATGTGGTATTCCAGCCGTACAGGCATTGATGACAGCAGATGTTCCAGGAATCCAGACAGACAAAAACAGACTTCGAAGGAGTCTACACGGACGGGAAAAATGCTCAAAGAAAAGTCACGGTCATAGCACCTGCTAGCAAGAATACCCGGAATAGGAAACGCGAATCATCCAAGATCTTCATGCGTGACCGTATGATGAAATACCAGTTCCAACACAGGTCAGGACAACCGCTCAATGGTCGCTCAAAGTCAGAAAAGGCATCCTCTAGCTCAGCTAGAGCTTGGCTGTCCCCAGTGACCTCCCGCAAGCGCCTCCTGGGGGATACGCTGCTGTTTGATGAACAAGTCAATCAGGGGCTGCATAGGCTCCATCTCCTTGTCGGAAACCAGCTTGAAGTATTTGGCCACGGTCACGAAATGGACGAAGCACATGTTCAAGATGTCATGTTTGTTGATGTGCCAAAATGGATTCAACCAATGTGCGTGGTACAGATGAGCATAGCAACGGAACATCTGTTTCATGATGCCTTGACAGTCCTTGTAGAAAGTCTGAGGAAAGCCGCTGGACTTGCCAATCCACTCTTCGCCGGTAGAATTCGCGTCGGCGCTACCGGGATTGGCATTTGTAGCTTCATGCAGCGCAAAGGTGTCTGGGGTGCCGGTGACCTTCTCGGTAGGGAACATGACCGGGTCATGGATCTTGCTGACAATCCACTTTTCAACGCGGTTGATGAACTTGGGAGCGGAGATCTTGGCGGCACGACCGTCTACAAGCCAAGTATAGGTCAAGCTATTGGGGAAGTCAGTTAGAGGGGGCATGAAGTTTGGGCGTGTTCGTGGGACGTTCATGACACTTACCGACCCGCAGACATAGTTGGACAGGTGCTTTCATTGCAGATAGGCAAACCAGTGACACCATTGACCTCCTGAATCACCTGAAGCATGCCGTGGAGCAAGCGGTATTGTTCAACAACTGTATGGGGTCGGACTATCAGCACCTAGGATCTGACCACACGGGGATGGACAAGAATCGCTTACTTTGATGAGCCAGCCATTCTCCAAGCTCCACGTTCTTCGGACAAGCACACAGGGTCAGGAAGTTACCCTTTACATTCAAAGGGGCATACTTCTCCTGGAAAAAGTACTTGGGGCCGTCAGGGTCGTAAGCTGCGGGGCTGTCCACGCTCGGCGGAAACGATGGGGAGTTGGGTCCAGGAGCCACTTGAACAGATTGAGAGGCCGGCGACTGAGCAGAATTTCCGTTGTTCATCTTCTGGGCGTTGTTATTGTTATTCTTGTTATTACCACCTCTGCCAAATCCTTGGCGTCTAGGAATATTCGAGTTAGCAAGTCAATTCACAACTCCGAGACTGTATGAGCGGGGAGAAAGAGGTCGAGTGAGGAGTCCTTAAAAGGGGTAGTACAAGAAGCGCAAAGAAAAAAAAAACATAAGGGAAAGAAATCATGCAGGCTCAGATGCAGGAAAGTTTTCTTTCTGCATCTGCAGCGCCGAGTCTGATCATTCTGCTGCCATATTGGGAATTCAGGGGACGGTGTGAAGGGGGTGTACAGGAACAAATCCGATCTAAAAGAGAGCCGCGCAGCACACTTACACACTCTGAAAAAAGGTCGCCATTGTTGTTCACAGGGTCCCAGACAGCCAGCTAGAACAGACACCTAAGTAAAGAAATTGAGAAGAACAGGAACAGGAACAGGACAAAGAAGAAAGAGAGTAATACCGACTGCCACTCCTAAGATTCTCCAGTTGTTGATCTCCTCTATCGGTCTGGCCCTGTGGAGCTATTCCCGCCGCTAAACCCTATTGGGTCCGGAACGGATTATCTGGCCGTTCCTGGAGACAATCAATACTCCATAGCTCAATCTCGATGGCTGTTCCTCCGACGAAAGCTCCGCAACAGGTGCTACTTTGACAGTTCACCTCGATTGCGTGAGCGGAATCTATTTCTCTATTCATATCTGCGATTCAGGCTTCGGGAACAAATTTATTTGAACTTGCACTGGTGATCTCGCCGTTTGCGCGTCGGCCATAGGCGTTAATCTCTGTTACCCCAGAAGGGCCAGAGCACATTCAGAAAACACACAACATGTCTTCTTCCGATGAAGATGTGGTACGCCGGCCAGGAAGAACCACTGCTGCTGATCGAGCCGAGAGCCCTGGCGGTAGCGAACACAGCAACACTCCCGCTGCGCGCGATCCGAGTCCCTTTGGATCTGATGCGGGAAACATGAATGGGGACGACGACGCTGACCTGTTTGGATCTGACGGGTCGGAAGGGGGCTTTGGCAATGAGGAGAAGTATGAAAGGCTTTTACAATGTTTTCAGTATTAAGACATACTGACCGCTTGTCAGTCGACAAAGAACACTCGACGACGACGAGTTAGATTCGGGAGACGACATTGATCGCTACGACAGAGCCGGAGATCGCATGGATGAGGATGGCGTGGAAGGGGATTACCAGGAAACTGTGAACATTATGGACCTGAGTTTAGGCCGGGCGCCTGAGCCAGTGACTTCAAATGGCGAGGTACGTGGAGTATGGCCGAAGGGGAACATGCTGTCCTGTTGGCTGACTCTATACACGCAGGTCTATACAATGCCAGTGCCAAATTTCTTGTCGATAGAGACGGAGGAATTCGACCCGGAAACGTACGTCGCGCCTCCGTTCACTACTGCGGCGACTTCCTTGTGCTGGCGGCATGACCCGAACGATGAATCTCTCTTGCAATCAAACGCTAGAATTATCCGGTGGGAAGACGGATCTTTAACACTCCAGCTTGCGTCGGCACCCAAGGAGCAGTACAGAATATCCACTAAGCCCCTGGCACCCACAAACAAGACAGGCGAATACGATACAAAACTGGACTCACATGTCTACTTGGGAGCAGCTGCAGAGACCTCGTCGGTTTTCCGACTGACCTCACATCTAACCCATGGCCTTACTGTTCTTCCTACGACCGTGGAGACTGACGATGCGGTGCAGCGTCTGCAAGAATCTCTGGCTGCGGCTGCGCGAGGTAGCAAGAAGACAGCGGATGGATCGGCGCCAGTTATCGAGGTTAAGGAGGACCCTGAACTGGCCAAGCGACAGGCCGAAATGGCGGAGCGGGAGAAACTCAAGGCTGCACGTCGCCGTCAGCAGCTCGCAGAGCGTGAACTCGACCGTGGTCGTCGTGTCGGCTTCTCCCACCGCTCAGGTGGTGCTGGTCTGACCGTAGGTGGTCTAGAAGATGACGACGGCCTACTCGCTACGCGACCCCGCGCACGCAAGCCTCGCAAACCCAATCGTCGTGGTGAAATTTATACCGATGACGAAGAAGATTACGATCGTCGCGGACGCACGAGGGAAGATGAGTACGACGAAGACGATGGCTTCCTTGTCGGCAGCGACGAAGAGCCTGAGATTGTTGAAGATGACGAGGACGAGGAGATCCTCGAGGATGACGAGATGGATGCAGAAGGCGAAGAGGAGGAGGACGGCCCTGCCCAGAGACCCGCCAAAGAAAAGCGGCCGTCACCAGAGCGACCTGTTTCGGAAGCAGGAGCATCCGGAACACCACCGGTGAGGAAGAAGAATCGCTACATCGTTGATGATGACGATGAGGACGAATAATCTTCCATCGTAGGCCATTTGCACGCCCTCCAATGGTCCTTGTCCTCGTGATTACGCTCTCCTAATTAACGACCCTGCATCCTGTAACAACTTCTCGGAATCAATGAAATTGTAATTAGTAACGACAAAATTACAGGCCACGATGAAGATCAATCGTCCATTGTCGCCCTAGTATACAAAGATCTCCGCCGCTCTACGTAGGTTCTTACCCGACTAAAAAGCTCTATGGAAATCATGTATTGCTCCATTGCCAATCCCAGGAGCGCGAGTCAGGCATTGGCAAGAATGGTATTGATTGGTTCGGCCCATAAGGCAGCAAATAGAAGTGGTATCTGGCACAGTATGTCGTCGCGCCCAGGACAAATCCCCCGCAAGCCTTAACCCCCCAGCATAAATTATTGCTTAATCCAATGACACCAATCACGTGGGTGAACAAATAGATCGCTCATACCGGAACCGCACCCTCCGGGTACTCGTGCGGTGCGAATTCAAACTTGGCTATAACATCTCTGGCGCTTCGGATTACACGAAAACAAAGCATATCCTCTTCCCGATGGTCCTCATGGGAGACAGGTGAACAAGATCTGGGTTCGTTTGGGGATTCCACGGTTCGAGATCGATGCCATCTATGCTGGCGGGCCTCCATTTCCTCAATGAGAGAAAGCAATGTTGGCGAATCCGAGCACTTGACCTGCCCGGCAGGATCTACCGGGCCGCCTGTAATAGCGCTTCTGACAATTTGTCGAAGCCAGTCCTTCCAAGCCTCTGCGGGGTTTGGGGAGTTCTGCGTCACTGAAGCCACATAAGCTGGCGGGGCTGCTAACTTGCCGAGTTCTTCAGCGTCAGCTTGCGACACTCGCAGCCAGGCATCCGCAACGACGTTCAAGAGGGTTCCAGTAAACATGACATTCTGCATCCCCAGAGCAAAGCTTGTGGGACAGACCTCACAACGAATGACAGCCCGCGCTGTTTTGGCGGCAATAAATAACGAACACAACGTGTGTTGAGATATTGGAAAGGGAGCAAGGGAAGAAAGATGACTGAGACATAGATACAAGTATGATAAGCAGGTACACTGAGAACTGTTACCACCGTCCGAGCTGGGGGATGATACGCTAGGAGAATCAATGAGCGTCAAGCTCGACGGGAATGTGAACGGAGAAGACATTGCGGCCGTTACGCTGGAGAAATCAGGCCAAGGACCGGTAGTCGCAGGGATAGGGTCGAGCGATCTACCGGCTTCCAACTGCCATAGGTGATTGTGACTATCGTCAGTAGATAATAGGTTAGGAAAGGCCTGTGGCATTCGCATTGGTGCGGTGTACACTGGAGAATAAAGTCGCAGGGCATCTGATGCCGCTACAGCTTCGGCCCCGGCTTCCTCAGTCAAAATCCCACCATCATCTATATCAGTCCACATCCCATTGTCTGTGATTTCATATACGGATGCATCATTGTCCTCACGGGGTCGCTTTTTCGGTGGGCGTCCCATCGGCTTCTGTAATGAATAGTGGCAAGGAAGTGACTGCTTAAGGCAACGACTACAGCCCGTAGCTTCACCAGAGCATTTCAACTTCCGTTTCCCTATTAAAGCTTGTCAGGCCACGGTGTTCACTTGAGAACGATCCTGCATCGAGGAGTACCTACTGCACTCGTCACAAGCCGCATGCCGTTTCAAAGGCGGTACCGAGGCGGTGTCATGGCTACTGCTAGGAGGGAGAGGTAAACTATCGAATTGCATGCCGAATGATGTGGATGGAGATTTTACAACACAGTATTGGATGAGCTCAAAACTGGTCGTTGGCAATAACCATAGTGCTGGAGACGTACAGAGATAAATAACAGAATAATGATGACAGCGGGGGCCTATTGATATTATCCATGGAAGATCAGCGAAATGCGATAAGATGAGGCTATCAAGGCGATGTATCACGTGGGCGGTCAGCAATCTCATCTTCGGAGAAAAGCAAAAAAAAACAGAGAGAGAAAAAAAGTCCGCTTGAAAATTGCAGCTTATCGTTCAAAGCTTTCTTGTTGGACGAACGCAGCCGCTTTTCGACAGTATGAATGCTTCAAAAGCTTCCAAGAAGCGCAAGGCAGTTACCCGTGATGTGGAGGAGGAGGCAGGCGTGTTTTCTGGAGATGAATTGAACACAGACAACCTTGACGGAGCGCTTTCGGATAACGCCAACGACCTGTCGAGTGACGAGGATGAGAGCGATTCAGAGGTCGAGTTGATCGATGATTTTAGTGATGAAGAGGATGAGGAAGAAGAAGACGTACTTGACAGTGACGAGATTCCGTCGGATGGAGAGGATTTAGCCAAGAAAAAGTCAAACACCACGCCTGGTGAACTTGGCGCAGCGATGGATGATGGTGAGAGCTCGAGCGAGGAAGAAAAGTTGAACTATCGCATTGAAAAGGACGCCAATGGGAATGACCGCTTCGTCTACGACGAGATCAATCCGGACGATAATTCTGAGTATTCTGATATCGACGAGAACGCAAACACTATCGGCGACATTCCTCTTTCATTTTACGATCAATATCCTCATATAGGTTACGACATCAACGGAAAGAAGATTCTGCGCCCCGCGAAAGGCGAAGCTTTAGATGCGCTGCTCGATAGCATTGAGATACCCAAGGGTTGGACAGGTCTTACTGATCCTTCCACTGGCAAGCCTCTGGAGCTGAGCCAGGAGGAGCTGGAGCTGCTGCGCAAAGTTCAAATGAACGAAATTCCCGAAGATGGTTACAACCCATATGAGCCCACGGTTGAGTGGTTTACCAGTCAGCAGGAAATCATGCCATTGAGTGCTGCGCCAGAACCCAAACGGCGGTTTGTGCCCTCGAAACACGAAGCTAAGCGGGTTATGAAGATTGTGAAGGCAATCAGAGAAGGCCGGATTCTCCCGTTCAAGCCTCCCACGGAGGAGGATCAGGAGGATGATACGGTCATCAAGTACGATCTCTGGGCCGATGAAGCGGAGCGAAAGGATCATCCTATGCATATCCCTGCGCCTAAACTTCCACCTCCAGGCTATGAGGAAAGTTACCATCCGCCTCCAGAGTACTTGCCTAGTCAGAAGGAACGAAAGGCTTGGGAGGAAGCTGACCCCGAAGACCGGGACCGCGAGTTCCTCCCTAACGATTTCGGTTCTCTGCGCAGAGTTCCCGGCTATGAAAACTTTGTCAAGGAGAAGTTCGAGCGGTGCCTGGATCTTTACCTGGCCCCTAGAGTTCGTAGGAGCAAGTTGAACATCGACCCTGAAAGCCTTTTGCCCAAGCTTCCGAGCCCTGAAGAGTTGAAACCGTTCCCAACTGCTTGTGCTACTGTGTTCAGAGGGCATAAGGGTCGGGTACGCACACTGGCTGTTGATCCTTCCGGTCTGTGGCTGGCTACTGGTGGCGATGACGGAACTGTTCGTGTCTGGGAACTTCTTACGGGCCGCCAATTGTGGAGTGCCAAGCTGAGCGAGGAAGACCCTGTTAATGTTGTCCGTTGGAGACCGGGCAAGGATGCTCTTATCCTCGCTGCAGCGGCTGGCGACGACATCTTCCTTGCTGTTCCTCCAATTGTCGACCCAGCAATTGAAAAAGCTAGCCTGGACATTCTGGATGCGGGCTGGGGATATGCTGCATCTGTCCCTCCTCCGACTCCTGCTGAAGCGAACAAGAAGAACAACCCTCCCAAGTGGATACGTCCTTCGTCGTCCCTTGCCGATTTGGGAATTTGCGCTGTCATCCCTCTTCGCTACGTCGCCAAGTCCCTTTCGTGGCATCGCCGTGGTGACTACTTTGTTACGGTTTGCCCTGGCTCATCAACCCCAGCTTCCGTGGCCATTGCCATCCACACTCTTTCCAAGCATCTGACTCAGTACCCCTTCCGCCGGCGTATCAAGGGTGGTGGTCCTCCTCAGGCTGCTCACTTCCACCCCTCGAAACCGATCCTCTTTGTCGCAAACCAGCGAAGCATTCGCGCGTACGATCTTTCACGTCAACTTCTCGTCAAGATTCTACAACCTGGTGCTCGCTGGATTTCTTCCTTCGACATCCACCCGACTTCCTCCACCGCTTCTGGTGGAGACAACCTTATCGTGGGCTCCTATGATCGCCGTCTCCTTTGGCATGATCTCGAACTGTCGCAGCGGCCTTACAAGACGCTGCGGTACCACCGCAAGGCCATCCGTGCTGTCAAGTTCCACCCAGGCGGCCGCTACCCCCTGTTTGCAGATGCCAGTGACGATGGCTCGCTTCAAATTTTCCATGGCAGTGTTACCGGAGATATGCTCAGCAATGCCACCATTGTACCGCTCAAGGTTCTCAAGGGACACAAAATCACTGGCGAACTCGGTGTGTTGGACGTCGACTGGCATCCCAGAGAACCATGGTGTGTCAGTGCAGGCGCGGATGGAACTTGCCGCCTCTGGATGTAATTACATGTGGATTCGAAGCGTACATATTGGGTTTTCCGACTGTTAATTTATCATGTCATGTCTACATGAAAGGCGTCTTGGCGTGCATCAATTTTTTCGTCAATAGATATATCCGCTTTATAAAAGTTATTTGTCCTTATAAAAACTGATTTCCTCAAAATTAGGTCCTCATCTGATGGTCCGAGCAACCTGCCAACCGCATCTCAATGCTGATTTTTGGAGACATCACATGGAAAATGAACGATTGGTAGACACATTGATTGCAAATTTCAAGCAAGCGAGGAGATTGCTAGCATCTGCAATTGCAAAGCTTTTGTATATGACCATTATCCCGTACGTGCACAATGCTTTGGTTGACTTTCTACGCCGCTCTAATCGGATATCTACAACACGCCCCCGCTCCACTCCCTCCTGAGCTTCTCATACTTTTTGAGATCGGTAACACTGGGCCGAATGAAAGCCTTAGCGGCAACGAAATCCTCAAAGTTGATCTGATCACGTCGTTTGATCGCGGAGTAACCGGCACGGCGAAGCAAACTTCCCAGATCCGCACCGCTGAATCCTTCGCATTCTTCTGCGAGCCTCCTCATATCTTCGTTGAACTCGATAGGAAGCTTGCGAACAAGAGTCTCTAAAATCTCCACACGCTCCAAGGGATTAGGCAGGCTGACGTAGAGAAGCGTTTCGAGACGACCTGGACGAAGCATTGCAGGGTCGATGATATCCGGTCTGTTTGTGGCGGCAATCACGTAGATCCCTTGACGACTGCTGCCGAGGCCGTCAAGTTCGGTGAGCAGGGTATTGACGACACGTGCGGAAGCTTCGGACAGAGCATCATCTCTGCGGGGAACCAGGGCATCAAGTTCGTCGAAGAAAATAATGCAAGGGACTGATGAGCGGGCACGAACAAAGACCTGCCGTACTGCACGCTCTGACTCCCCCACGAACTTGTTGAGCAGCTCAGGTCCCTTGACGCTGATGAAGTTGGCGCGCGACTCGTTGGCCACAGCCTTGGCCAGCAACGTCTTACCACAGCCCGGGGGACCCCAAAGCAGGACACCTGTGGGCGCCGTAATACCCACGTTCGCATAGAGCTCGGGAGATTTGATTGCGTCCACGATCGCAGTATTGAGTTCTTCGCGAATCCCTCCCAAAGCACCAATGTCTGCCCATGTAGTGTCTGGTATAGTGGCGAAGCCCTCACGCTTGGAGGAAGGCTGGATTTTGGGAAGAGCGGTGAAAAAGTCTGCATTGGAGACAAAGACCGTCTGCGTCTCGTCACCGAGGGGGGTCTCCTTCGCGTGATTGATAAGCCGTCGCAGCTCTTTGACTTTAGGGCTCAGATCATCGAGGTCTTCTATGTCCATCTCTTCCCCACTATTCGATTTGAGTAGTTCCAGGTATCGTTTGATAGCCGCAGAGCCTGCTGTGGAGACCAAGTCGTTGAGATCAGCGCCGACAAAGCCCGGTGTCCGTTTGGCCAGAGTCTTGAAGTCTAGGTCGTCAGCGAGGCGCATTTTTCGAGTAAGCGCCCTCAATATCTGCTCTCTGACTGGTTCCGAGGGAACGGTCATGTTGATTTCCTTATCAAATCTACCCCCGCGACGCAGGGCTGCGTCCAAACTATCCGGTCGATTGGTAGCTGCTAGAACAATCACGGGCTTGCCGTCGGTTTTGTCCAGTGCTAAGTCGTCCATGCATGTTAAGAGCTGAGCAACAATCCTTTTCTCCATCTCTCTTTGCGCACTTTCTCGCTTCGGGGTGATAGCGTCGATTTCGTCGATGAAAATGAGGCACGGCGCAAGCCTTCTGGCTTCTTCGAAATGCTCTCGTAGAGCCTTTTCGGACTCTCCCGACATTCCCGACACAATGGATGGAGCAGATATTGGGATGAATGGGACGCCTAATTCTGCCGCGAACGCATTGGCGATCATTGTTTTACCGCAACCTGGCGGACCATGCAATAGCACACCACGGGGTGGCTGAACATTTGACGACACGAAAACTTGTGGACGGGTCATCGGTAGGATGAGGAGATCTCCCAAGCTCTGAATCACGTCGTCCAATCCACCCAGGTCCGCAAGGCTCACATGTGTCGGAGGCGAGCGATCAACGGCCACGTCGGCCTTGCGTCGTTTGGACGATTGAGATTCACCTCCATGTTGCCGTCTCTTGGTCGGGACTGGTGCAGGCGTAGGTGCGCTTTCAGAGGCACTGGGCTCGGCCGACTTTTGCGGTTTCGAATTGGCATTCCATGCGCCTACAATGCTCCGATTGAGGCTGTTGGATTCCTGTGATCGTCAGAAATGCAAACATGGAGAGATGTTCATATGTCGCGTACTGGAACCGGTTGTGCTTGCTCCTCCAGACCCTCAAAGTCGCCATTCACAGAATCTTCTTCATCTTCGCCGAGCACGTCGCTTTTGACCACTTCCACGACCCTTTCAATACTGTCCTCTAATATCCTCTTCGGCTTCCTGTTCAGACTGGAATTTGATCGCTTGATGGTATCATAGATCGCGGGCACCGAGAGACGGATCCGATCGTTCTCTCCCTGATCATCGATGATCTTGCGCACAATCTGGTAAACCTAGAATAAAAGAAAGTTAGTTTATTATTAGATGTACGCCGACTCGGCGAGCATTATCTTCGGTCTCTCCTCACCTCGCGATCCAAGCCTTGCCTCAGACTCGACCTACCCCCACGGGATTGACGCATCTTCTTCAAAAGCAGGGGCTGTCTGCGCAAGAACAGTCCCGTCCAAAGCGTGACACTAATAGTGATGCCAATCTATTAGAAACCCTCCGATTCTCTATATTTTTTGGGTCATCGGGGAAATAGATTTACCGTGGTCGGCTTTGTCCAAGATCAAAAATACCATGATCCCAGAGTCCGCTTGTCTGATTGGTCACAGCTCCCTTGAGATAAAATTCCATTACGCAAATGGTATTTTTCCTTACGCCGCACTGAGTGTTTTGAAGAGAGTACGTCATTTTCCACAGTGTTGTGACTTTCTTGTAAGGAAGGTGTCTGTACCTTACTTATCGCCGACTTATCTACCTACACTCCAGATTGACACTGCCAGTATGCCGCGACAATGGGAAACACAAGCAGTTCTCATAAGATCTCTGCTCAGGATAGGTAGGTTCGCCTTTCTCTTGTGTTTCAGCTACTCCTCATCTCTTATTCTGCAATCTGAGCACCCTATCACGGACCGCATGTGACGCCAACAGCGATCTTATCCCCCGTCTGCTTGAAATCCCCGGAACCGCCTGCAGAATGACTACTGACGAGGAAAATTGCTGGTATTAAGGGCCATTCTGGATCTGAAGAATCAGCGCGATAAGCTTCGTCAGTATCAAAAACGAATCACTGTCCTCACAGACCGCGAGACCGCCATAGCAAAGGAATGTCTTGCGCGAGATGACCGCCGACGTGCCCTGCTGGCTCTTCGTCGCAAGAAATATCAAGAAACTCTCCTAAGTAAAACAGATGCGCAGCTGGAGCAGTTGGAGCAGCTGACGAGTCAGGTGGAATTTTCCTTGGTTCAGAAAGATGTTCTCTTTGGCTTGCAACAGGGAACAAAGGTGCTCCAAGCTATCAACAAGGAAATGGGAGGTATCGAAGCTGTAGAGAAGCTGATGGGCGAAACTGAAGAAGCCAGGGCCTACCAAGAGGTAAAGTGACGGCGTCGTGAATGGGATAATCGTTGTGCTAACCACATGCCATCACAGGAAATTAGCCAGATGCTTGCGGGCCAGTTGTCGAACCAGGATGAAGACGAAGTTGAGAACGAGTTGGAGAGATTACGGCAAGAGACAGAAGCTATCACCTTACCAAAGGTCCCTACCGCTCCTCCAGTTATGGTCAAGGGCGAGGAAGAAGCCGACAAAGAGGAAGAGGAGATTTCAGCCGCCAGGATGAAGACCCGTACTGCAGTTCCTGCCTCCTGACGTATGCATTACATACGCCTCTGCCGATCTCATTATATATATACAGCAGAGACTCAGGCATTTTCGGGCGCTGGTGGTTTTATCCCTCTTTTGTTGCTCTCTTCTCTGGAGATAGAACTTCAGCCATGAAAGCTTAAAGCTTGCATCGGCCATATTTCCGGTCGAATTGCGTCTATTATACAGCAGACGCCAGTTTCATATCATTAGTTTCATCTGGAGTCATGTACATAATCGAGTTGAGCCGCTCCAAAAAAGCAACACGACAGGCATGGAAACACTTCTACCTTAGCTATCTGTCGTCTCGTACGCCATAATTTCCAGTCATGGAGCGAAGGACTCATTGACCAGGCATTACTCTCCCTCCTACTCCGCTGACACCGGGAATAGCTACATGATCACTAGGATTTGCAGCAGCTTCATAGAGGAAACTGACCGGTTCACGGTTCAGAGCCATAAACTGGCCTTTGAAACCGATATATCCAACTTTTGTCACATCCTCTTCTCCGCCGCTCCAGTTGTCTTCGAAGAACAAGGTGATTGAAGTAGTCGCATTCCAATGAGCGCGATTGAGGGGCAGCTCAAAAACGTCAGATCCTGGAACTGGCTGTGGGATCTCGATTGTTTGCGTGGGTGTCAAATCTGAGGCAGTTGCGAAATCTAGATCATTCCGGTTCTTGAAGAGCTTCAAAGTTTTGGGTGCAGATGGTGTGGGTGCGGTGTAGATGAGCAAGGAGTGCAACTTGACTTGTCCAGTGAATCTGTAGTACCAAAGAGAGTCAGTATTACTTCATCCCCACAGCTTTTCTGGCAGGGCTGGCTTCTGTGGTACTGGTGCGTTATGCGACAATCGAACATTGATAAGATGAGGGGCAATCAGCGGGGTAAGCAAAAACATGAGAATGATCGGAGACAGCCAGCAGAGCTTCAACTTGAAGGAATAGAAGGTCGAAACGTACGGGATGTACATTAAGAGCTGCTCATCCGCATCGCTTTCGAGTTCAGGCTCATCATTTAATCGGTCAGCCCATGTCTTCTGCACAATAGCAGTTCCTGATTTAGGTGTGGCTTCTGCACTTTGCGTCAACGAGCATGTCCGCGAACGACCCTATAAAAAGCTACCGTAGGCATACCGTTCAATGTGGTAATAGCATCGAAAGCAATCTGTGAGTAAAGAAGGGACTGAATAGCAGGGGTGATATCGTTCGAATGATCATGTCCATCCTCTCCATGGCAATGTCCGCCATGGTCATGATTGTGGTGGTGATGTCCTGACATTTTGTGTCAAGACAAGACCGGTATCAGAATGTTTTCTATTGTTAGCTTGTATTTGAGATGAGTAAACGATTGTTGGATCCAAAATTTGAGAGTATCGCGTTGACCTTGGGGAGAACGGCGGACCTTCTGTGATTCCGGGGCGTAATGCTTGTCTCAACTTTGGAACATTCGCAGATCCCCACGAAATGGAAATCACTGAGATTATCTACCATGCTCTCGCACCATCCATGCTATGTATAGAGATTATTCATCTACTGGGTAACGTCATGAGATATTCAGCATTTTCGCTTGCCACACTGCACGAATCGCAATATCACCCTGTCAACGATATGCTCCATTATACACACTGTCTATCACGAAGCCCATGTTCAAACCGGTTGATTGAGACTATATGGCGACGAAGCTCTGCACATTGCCTGCTAGCTTGCACTCTCGGGTAAGCAGCACCCAGGCTCGACGCTCCACAGAGGATCGTTTCACTGGACTTTGTAAAAATCCGGCGCATACTCGAGCAGGTAGCTCTTCTCGATCTTGGTGATGTCACGAATATATGTTTTCTCACCGGTTTGCAATATCTCATGGAAGATGACCCAATCTGCTTTACGGTTCTAAATATCAATCAGTCAGTAAATGGGAGAAGTATGGTGACAGAGGCCGACAATGGCAAGCACGTACAAACATTAAGGAAGTTGGATGCGCATGTAGGGTAAGCCCTCCGCTGACCGTCTTGAAAGTCCCATCGGGCTGCATCTTTGCAGCATGTGCGAAGTAGCCAGTTGTCAGGCATCTTTGGATTTGTTCGGCCGGTCTGGCTAGATCAGCCGTTCCATGGCGACCAGAGAGAGTCTCGTCCACTTGATACCCAAAGCGCTCAAGGTAGCGTTTTAATTGAGCTCTTATGCTAACAGCTCGTTGCATCGACCGATAGTTTAAGAGATTATCCCGACACCATTTGGGGTCTTTCTTTCCTTTCGCGACAAACGCCTGGTACACATTGAGGTAGGTCAAGTGATCCCCTTCTTCAACGGCAAACTTTCTGCGGCTGCTCTCCGCCGACTTCTTATCGCCTTCATGCTGCACCCACACAGAACCTTGGAGACTGATCATAGCAGCTATGGAAAGGATCTCACTCAAACAGTTGAAGGATCGAGCGCTGAGAAGGACTTTAGCCAACATGGGATCTAAGGCGAGTTCGGCCATTCGCATCCCCAATGGATTCGTAAGTTTGGCATAGTCATCCACTGCTCCAAGCGAGTAAAGAAGCTCAAAGGCGCGTATCACCAAGTCTGCAGGAGGAGGTGTCAAGAAATCGAATCGTACTATATTGTCAATACCCAGGGCCTTGAGCTGCATGATCACAGGGGCCAGGTTCGAGCGTTGGATTTCAGGAACGGTAGCGTCCGGTAATTTCTCATAGGCCTGCTGAGTGTACAAACGGAAGCACTTGCCTGGCTGCGTTCTACCAGCGCGACCTGCTCGCTGAACAGCGGCTGCTTTTGATATCGGGACAGCCGTCAATGTCTCTATGCCTGTGCTTGGATTATAGGCTCGGAGCTTGGCGAATCCGCAATCGACGACGTATACTATACCGTTGATAGTAACCGAGGCTTCTGCGATGTTGGTCGACACGATGACCTTGCGAGTGTTTTCAGGGGCTGGCTCGAAGACGTACATCTGCTGATCCGTTGTGAGGCCAGAATAGAGAGGAAGCGGTAGAAGAGCCGGTGTTTTGGGATGCAGAGTAGCAGCGCGTTCGGTTATCAATTGAATTGTGGTCTCAATCTCCTCTCGGCCAGTCAGGAAAACCAAAATATCACCGTCCCCTTCTTGCAAATGTATGTCAAATACAGTTTTGACGGCTCGTTCCACATAATCTTCTGCTGGGTTTTCGAGGTACAGAATGTCCACAGGATACATTCGTCCCTCAAGACTAATAATTCTTCCGATGCTTCCTCCCACTTCGCCGGCTTCTCCGTCGCCCTGGGATTCATCCCCAGCGAAGAATTTCAGAAAGTCTTCAGCCTGCAAAGTCGCACTACTAACCACGATCCGGAGGTCGGGGCGTCTCTTCATGATCTTTTTGAGTATTCCAAGAAGAATATCGGTACTCAGTGATCGCTCATGTGCCTCATCGACCATAATTACCGAATACCGAGAAAGAAGAGGATCTACGAGAACCTCTCTGAGCAACATCCCATCAGTTAGGAACTTGATTCTTGTAGAAGCAGATGTCACATCTTCAAAACGAATCGAATATCCCACTTCTTCGCCTAATTTGCAGCGCATCTCCTCGGCCACTCGAGCTGCGACAGTAGTGGCAGCCACCCGACGCGGCTGTTACCAGCTTAGCAATCACATACTGGCGTGCTGGGCCATGATGGAGGAGATCAAACGATACCTGAGTGACAGCTATGGCCTTTCCATCTGCGCACCAGCCCGCTTGATCGAGATACTGTGGCAGCTGCGTTGTTTTTCCGCTGCCAGTTTGTCCAACGACAATCGTGATAGAGTATGTTTCGACGAGATAAAGCAAGCTTTGGCGATGTCTTGCAATTGGTAGTAAAGCAGCCGGTTTGTATAGTGCTGGAATGAAGGTGGAAGAGATTTCCAATTCGGAAGCCATTGTTAACGCTGGTCTATCAACCACTTTCAGTTATGTAAAATCAACCGGTTAGAGCCTCGAGGTTTAAAAAGGAAACGCAATTGAGGCATATTGAAAGGTTGAAATAGGCCCCCGTTTATGCAGAGTGCTCAAGCCATGTATATTCCAGCCCAGAAGGAAGTAAGCTGCAGATTTACTGTAAGTTATAGTAAATTATTTTTTACTTCCTCTGAGGAGGTACTGCTTCCAGATATTTGAGGCTCAGAGATATGGATAGCACGTAGATTAGGTAAGGCGGGACTTCTGTCTCACGTGCCACAAACGTCACTGTGGGCCAGAACCCAATCACAAGCGTCCGTTGTCTGGAGCTTTGGATAGGAGGTGGTCTTCCAATAATAACGGGGACGACCCTGAATTACTTTCTGCCTACAGATACCTTCATATAATACTTTGTATTTCACCTTGGGACGGACGCCTCGCGCAACAGACTCTCATACTCTCTGCGCAAGTGCACTCATTCGACCAACTTAAATCCAAATCATTCCGAGCCAGATGTCGGACGAGGACAAGATGGTAGGCTGTCATGTGCCCTTTGTGACAAGATTACAACTAACCTGTCCCAAGACTCCCAGCAAATCGGCAGCTGGCCCTAATAGTCCTAAACCGGAGTCGCCGACTACTGCGCGCCCCTTGGATTTCGATGATGAACCTCAAGAAACCGGTGTTACCACTGCCCCTCCCCAGCAAACTGGTACAGAACCTGCCCCGCCAAAGCCACCCCGTCCAGTGAGCCCGCGGCAACAGGCAGAGAACACCCTCAAAGAAGCCTTCCCCACCATCGAAGCATCTGTCGTCAGGGCAGTTTTGGTGGCCAGCAACTGGGATGTCGAACGGGCTTTTCATGCTCTGCTTGGTATGTGAAACTGAACCTGTGCCGGTCTTGCGGTCATTAACAAAATGCTTTCTTAGGCATGACTGACCCCAACGCTCAGCAAGAAGACATAGCGCCTCCAAAGCCTCCTCGTCCGTCTGCGGCTCAGAGGCAATTGGAAGCGGATGAGCTGTATGCCCGTCAACTAGCCGAACATTACAACCGCCGTGCGCCGCAAACCCGCTGGGATGAATCTCGACATGACAGGGCTAGAAGAGGAAGCGATCAGTCGGAGGAGCGGGAATATAGCTTTTTTGACGGTATGTGACGCTACTCGATATCGCCAGCCTTGGTTTATTGTTAACGCGCGTTGGTCTAGATGATCTTCCGGTGATCCGGGAGAACATTCGCAAGGGGTTCCTGGAGACTCAGTCCAAAGTGAACTCTTGGGTCCAGAATCTCAAGAAGCGACTTGACGGTGAAGACGTCGATGAGGGACCATCTAACCAGCGCTATGATGAAGGCCAAGGTTACAGTCGATCAAGAAGGAGTGGCGATATGGGTCGTCGCAGCGGTGACCGCGAACGTTACGATGCTGACCCTCAGTTGTTGAGCGACGACTTCTCTGCGCTGGAACTGAGAGACTCTGAAGGTCTGCCCAGTCCTGTGAACCCTATTCTTCGTGCGGCCATTGCTAATTTTCCTACAGCACCTCCGCCACAACCTCCAAGGAGGCCACTTGCCAACGCAAATTTGTACAAATCAGCTTCTCCCTCACCTGACAGACGTAAAGTATCTTTTCAGGAGGGTCCCCCATCTGAGATTGGCAATCTTTATGATACTTCCGACCCGGCCAAACGCACGTCCACGGGAGGCAAGTCGAGCAAATGGCAGCCGCTGGCCACAGTGGAGCCATCGCCTGTCGCAGAGAATGATCCGTTCAGCCTGGGAGACAGCGATGATGAGAGAGATACTAAGGGCAAAGAGCAGAATAACGCTGACGAAGCTGATCGTATCAAGAAGGCTACAGCAGAGGCGATGGCCGGTGAGCTTGGTTCTACAAATGATAAGGATCAGACAGAGACTGCTGGAAAGTCATAGGAAGCGGCCAGGCCAGCCTTTGAGCGCATATCTTTCGCCAGCAGTTGTGGCCGTTGTCATCTGTTGCGTCTCCTCCTTTATCCTGTCTTTTTACCACCATTCTCTATTTGTGTTTATAGTCAATTCTATGATACCAGGGGTGCCATGACGCAGGCAGGGGAAATCAAAGTATTTAAAGCTTACAATTCGGAGCATCAATATCAAATAGTAGTAGTGGCTATATTTCGTAAAGGGTATCGTCCTGTCCCAACTCAGATGAAGAAACGTAAAAGACTCGCAAAAAATAGACAGAAGAATCAGGAAAGCCAGACCACCTTGACGCCACCAAGAACCATGATATGCCGGCTAGCTGAAAGCCGAATGAAATAGCAAGATGCATATCTTGCAAACAGCGAAGCACATAGAAGCAATTACTCAGGCATGGCGTGCTTATTCGCAAGACCCCGCGAGGTTGCTGCAGCTTCCTTCCTGAGATCAGTTATAACAGTCTATACCCGGTCAATGGCACAGTATTGTGTTAGTCCTTGCATATCAATCACGCCGAGGCGTGTCTTTTTCCAAGAGAAAAGAGGGATAAAAACTTACCGCCAGGGCATCAGGATTGACTCCATTTTCGATGAGAGACACGCAGAGGGAGAGCTCTGTTCGGTCCAGATTCGTGTTCTAGAGGTTCACGTCATGCGTCAGTTGTCGTCTCAACTCCTGCCAGACATCTTTGCCGAAAGAAGTACATAGCACAAAGCCATAACAGAGAATGGAGAGGTTGGAAGCACATACCAGGAGGGTTGAGATTTCGTGAAGAATGTCGATAACTTCGCGGGCGGCCTGGCGCTTGTCCTCAGCTTGCGGGGCATTTCCAATGATGATTGATGCAATAGCCGATGTTTGACTTGTGCAGCAGTTGGGAATCCGATGGCCTTGGTCTTGTATTTTGAGAGTGTAAACTAAACCGTACCCAATATACCCAGGTATTTACCTACCACTCGTTGGACTGTTTATGTATGTACTTGCTTGATCGTGTGGTGGGGGACGATGGATGAATCTGATTGGTTACTTCAGCTATCTCCATGAGCTTTTCTTCTGCCTCAGGCTTGAATCCTCTTTCTGGGCGAAAGTTCTTCAGTTGAAAGTCTGCTTGTTGCCAAAAGGTACCTTAAGTCTCCATTCTTCAGGGTGGTGTGTTTCCGATTACCTCCTTCATGCCGAATTGGCCAGGAGAGTAGCACCCCTGAAACACTGTGGTCTCCTGTCTCTTACGGCGCTGAATGTAGATCATCTGAGAAACTTTGCAGCATCCACAATGTCAGTCAATTTAACCATATCAGACATTCATGCTTTAGGCAAAGATCAGGCATTTGACATCCTCGCACAAATTGCACGGATTGAGAAAAAGACTTTTCCGGCTAACGAGGCATTCCCTTTTGGAGAGGACCTTTGGAAGAAGAAGCCTAACACCAGGGTCTTGTATGCGGTCAGCACAGCTTCCGGTGTACCGCATCGTTTAGTCGCCTATGCTGTCTATGTTCGGCAGAAAGGAGTAGCTTTACTGCACAAAGTCTGTGTTGTAGAGGCATTTCGTCGGCAGGGCATCGGGATGCAGCTTTTGAACTACATTCGGCAACGTCTCCAGAAGGAAGGCTGCCAATACATTCAATTATGGGTGGACAAGGCTAGGGAGCCCGCACGTTCATTGTACAATCGCAGTGGGTTTGAAGAACGAGAGGAGATTGCCGACTACTACGCGCCAGGTCGTACTGGAATTCGGATGGTCCTTGACCTCGAACGCGGTTGAGACTCCCTTGGATTTCTCAGGCTTCAATCTTTGAACCCTTGGAGCCTGTCTTGACCAAAAGCTCTTCCCTTGAGCTCCTTAAGATTCGAGATAGATGCGACAATGTCTTTTCGTTATCTCTCTTATTAGTTCCCACTGGGTGCTCCAAGGGATAATCTTGAGACCTAGGGGTCGCCTTTCCTCCTTCGCTTCTGGGTGGTAGGATCAATTCACACCCCCTTGCAGGACCGCGCATATCACAACGTGATTTTAGTCCGTCGCGCGGATCGGAATTTGAACCAATTCTTCGCTTCCATACTTGGGTGACGTCAAAAATATTCAGGCATGGATTCCTTGAAAGGGTGGCAGTCTTCGCGCCGCTCCTTTGTCAGATGGCTGGTCCTTGGGCGGAATCACCGTGAAGAAGGGTGGGTAGCCTACGACGTCCTCCCATACTCGTCGCCTTCGTTCGTTTCCTCGTCCGACACTCTTGTCCGAATCCAAGTGTCCGGTGTCTGGATGGTCTGACAGTTAACCCAAGCGAGCCTCCTCCTCTGTGACCCCAGAACAGCATTTGAGGCTTCGACGAGCTATGGCACTCATCGCATTGGTCGTCCTGGCACTGCTGGTCGCGGTCAACGCAAGTCTAGTTTCAAACTACCCGGTAAATGCGCAATTACCACCTGTGGCTCGAGTCTCACGCCCTTTTCACTTCGTCTTCTCACCAGGGACTTTCAGCGGTACAGAAGCGGGAACACAATATTCGTTGCAAAGTGCGCCTTCATGGCTACACCTAGACAGTTCAAGGCGGACCTTGTCCGGTACTCCTACAAGTCTAGATACCGGACCGAACAAATTCAAACTCGTGGCCAACAATGGGCCAGACTCTGCAAGCATGGAAGTTACTCTGGTCGTCACGGCAGAGGATGGGCCGAAGCCTGGAAAGCCACTGCTGCCACAACTTGAAGCCATTGGTGCTACATCAGCACCATCAACAATCTTCGTGCACTCCGGGGATTCGTTCGTGATCTCGTTTGATCATGATACTTTCACGAATACTCGCAAGTCGACCTTTTTTTATGGCACATCCCCGGAGAACACCCCTCTGCCATCGTGGGTTCGGTTTGACCCGTCTAATCTCGAGTTCTACGGTACGACCCCCAACACTGGGCCTCAGACATTTACATTCAATCTTGTCGCCTCGGATGTCGCCGGCTTCAGTGCAGCCACCATGAGTTTTGAGATGACCGTCAGTCCGCATATTTTGTCATTCAATCAGAGCACGCAGACTCTGTTCCTCACTAGAGGAAAGCACTTTAGTAGTAGTCACTTCCGCGACATTCTAACCCTAGACGGCAGACAACCAGGAAATGGTGAAGTGACTTCTACTGAGGCCCAGGCTCCGAGCTGGTTAACCTTCGACAGAGATACTATCTCCTTAAGTGGCACGCCCCCGCCAATGCCATGAACGAAAATGTCACAATCTCCGTGAGAGACACCTATGAAGATGTCACTCGAATGATTGTCACTCTGCAATATTCACAATTCTTTACAGACGACATCAAAGAGTGCAACGCAGTGATTGGTGATGACTTTGTGCTGGTCTTCAACAACTTGATCTTGAAGGATGACTCAGTCCAACTCGAAGTGAATCTTGGTCAGCAACTGCCCTGGCTACGGTACAACCCTGATAACAAGACCCTTTATGGACATGTCCCCTCGGATCTTCAACCGGGCAGCTTCCCCATCACGTTGACTGCTCGTGAGGGGACTGCAGAAGACAGCGAACAGTTTATCATCCGTGCTGTGCGAGGGGACCGACAAGACGGTAGCGTAGCTAAATCAACAGACTCGAACAATGGCAGTGGTGGCCACGGAAAGAAAGCCGGTATCATTGCCGTCGCGGTTGTGATCCCTATTGTTTTCGTGATGGTTCTCTTGTCACTCTTCTGCTGTTGGCGCCACAAGCGCAAGACGAAAGCTGCAACGCAAGAAGAAGGGCAGTTTCCGACTGAGAAAGATCCGAGACCAACTCCTTCGGATCTCCCTCCGTGCCGGCCATACGAAGCGATCAAACCCGATGACCCCCCATCATCTTCAGGAGCCCGTCTCCATCATCATCAAAGCCGCCAAAATTGGAACTGAGGCCTTTGTGGAGCGAAAAATCGCTGGAAGACAGCAGGCAAGCGCACGATTCGGATGACAAGGAAAACTCTCTTTCACATTCGACGATAGAATGGGACTTTGCCCCCTTGACACGCCATAACCCGCATGAAGAGAAACAAGCAGAGGATATTCCTCCCCAGAATAAACGGCTGTCGTTCCAGAGCAGTCCCTCATTACATAGACGAACAACGGCCAATTCCACAAAACGAGAGCCGCTCAAATCTATACAGCCAAGAAGATCACTTAAGAGAAATTCGGCGGCCTCGTCTAGGTCCCGAAGGTATTCCAGGCGCTCGAGCGGCATTTCATCTGTAGCCTCGGGGCTACCGGTAAGGCTGAGCGGCGCAGGTCATGGAGCTGGAGGATTCGGGCCTCCTGGACATGGAGTGGTTCGCGTATCATGGCAAAACACTCAGGTGTCTCTGCAAAGCGATGAGAGCAGCGTTGGAAACCTTGCTCCCCTGTTCCCCCGGCCTCCCCCTCGTGGGAGAAACAGCGTGGAATTCAGGATCCTTGACCATCCAAGACAGCTCACTGTGCGGGCCGTGGAGCCAGAAAGCCCAACTATTTCAGAATCCGATTCACTGGAAGCCTTCGTTCATTACCGGGCGAAGAATAGAAACTCCTCCAACCCCATGTTCTCGGCGCAATTCGCACGCCGGACATCCTCTGGTCTCCGCGCCCTGGAGAGAGCTCGAAGTACGGCTAGTCGCGCGGACACAATGTCCAGTTCTATCTACAACGATGGTCGTCGACAGTCGTACACCCAGGACCGTCCGGGTTCGATGGCGATGTCAGCAATGTCTGCGTCCGTCTATACAGAGGACAACCGCAATTCGACCTTCTTGCAGTCACTAGGTCTAGAAGCCCGAGCGTCCGACCTATCGTTCCATTACCCAAAAAGCAAAGCCAATCTAGCCTAGCGCAGAATTATTCCAAGATCATCTCGCCGCTTCCCCGGTTCTTCAGCGAAACAAGCCTGAGTAGCAATCGACGGTTGGAGCCTGGAAACCTGGTCGATACCTCAGACGAGTCCCAGAACGTAAATGAAGATTCTTCTGGGAGTCAACGTCAATGGTACCGGGGAATCCTTATTTCCAGGGAGATTTTAGCACCCATCGATTTTCCCTGCGGAGGAGTCCTTCAACCTCATCGGTTCCAGTCGACAGTACCGTACGCCGGGTGAGTCTGGTGCGGTTCGCTGGCATGGAGAACCGGGGCGACCAGACCATGAATAATGACCAACGATGGAGAAATCGTCAGTCTGTCAGCATTGAGCAACCCGGCGACAGTGTACAAAGAGACGTTGTAAACAGTGTCAGGAGCGGCGCTAATTTCGTGTGATCATGTCCAGTGAGAAAATAGAGCATTCATCATTCACACTTCTTGTGGCTGTGTTATCCTTTCATGGTCAGAAGTTTCAGTGTTATACCTAGCTGTGCCGTTTTGGGTTTCTTGTCATTACAGGGTGTATTATTGATTCCCAAGGTGGCTGTTCTCTTTAGATACATAGTGGCCGGCCACGGTGTTTGACGTCCTTAAAGAACTCGTTTACTTCATTTCTAAGGTATTTCCGTCTCCTGGTTTGGTTCATCCTTTAAGAGAGTGGTACCTATATCATGATGGTGTCATCAATACAGCCATACTTGGTAAACTAGTATCAACCAACTGGAAACATGGAAGTCGAACCATTCTTCACTATGAAACTTGGAAGCTATCTATCTAGTCATAGTTAATGTAGATATGCAAGTGATTAATAAAATCCCTTTATATTAGGTTTTATGCATATCAGGAGATGCCTGATTTACACAGATACTCGGTAATGCACATTTCCAATGTCAACAGTTGATGGATCATTCCATGGATGAATGTACTAGCGCAGACACATGACCTCCTTCTGCTTAGAGACCGTTCTGGGCATCAGGCATCAGCAAGGGTCTATCATACAGCATTAAATGTGCAACAATAATGGAACCAGGAGATATACTTCTTCAATAATAGTCAGGAAAGGATCAAACCTTGTACCTTAAATCGATTACTTCCGGTTCCTAGGTAAGCGGATCGCTGAATTCAGAATACCGGCAGTGTCAGCTCTGTATTTCATTCCCAGGAGATTTGAACACGCCACTACTTCGTAGAAGACTTGGGAAGTCATTTTTGGGAGAGAGTTGAAAAAGATGATATTGCCAACTTGGGAGTCGTTTAGAGGACAAGATAGACTGGATAGAGATACCTACCTAGGATCCTGTCACATATGCAAGGATCCCTATGAGTGACAATATCTGAGTAATTAAGAGACCTGTGTAGCTTCGTTTACTGTCTACTCCCCTCAGACAGCATAAAGGAGATAACAATGATAATGCCTCAGGTACCTGTGCTTCAGATACCCCAGGAGGTATCGTAGTATTGAAAATGTCAATGGAACCCTAAGGCAAAGCCAGGCCAGTACACCTCGTGACGGCGACCAGTTCAAGATTCTTAGCCTGAAGAAGATGAAAAAATAAAGGACGTTTCTTTCTCGCAAACCTCTCCTTTCTCTCTTCACTGTTCAAGAGTGTAGATGATATTCTTTCATCACTATCGTCATTTTCATCATCACCACTATCATCATCATCGGTGGATCACTACCGCCACTCAAGAGGTGATCCCAGCTCCAGGTCTGTAGCTAGGTGCCTAGGTAAGGTAGGCAATAAATACCACCGCTTACTGTACCTTACTGCCATACTGCCTGCCCTTGCCCTCAGCCCAGTTCTTCGTGCTTTGCCTCTTCCGCCTTTTTCCCCCCTCCTCCTCCTTCGTCCCCTCAAATCGATCAACGCCGAGCCCTTCCCAATCCCCTTTCAATTCTCCTCCCTTCACTTTTGTGGATGCGTGACTTTTGGCCCGAGAAAAAAAATTCCTTCTCACCATCTTTGATATTCTCAAGATTTAACAGTTGACCTGCTATACAACATGGGTCAGACCTTATCTGAACCTGTGGTCGAGAAGGTAAGCAAATCATCTGTTCTTTCATCGTGCTTTCGATCCCCCACATTGCTGTCTTCGTTACGCAATTTCAACCGCCCCTGTTCAAAGCCCGCGGCTCGCCTATACAGCAAAATTCTGTGCGCAACACAGCGTCCGATTTTGCTACAGTTACGGTTGATTGTATAATTTGATTGATTTACGAGAATTTGACAATTGTGCTTTTTCCGTCTGAGGTCTTCTGGTTGCCGCCTATTCGTGATGCGGACCTGTGGGGTGCTCACACGAAAGACCGAGTCCTGCGGCGGACACACTTCCCGGACAATCAGTCACCATTGCTTATTCGAACATACCTCTCCGATCACTGCTGACATTTTTCATGCTTGTCCTTGAATAGACTTCCTCTGAGGGTCAAGATGAATGTTGTTTGTATGGTTTGTCGGCCATGCAGGGCTGGCGAATCAGCATGGAGGACGCCCATACTGCAGTCCTAGACCTTCAAGCCAAATCCACAGGAGGTTCCGAAAAGCCTACAGATCCCGATAAACGCCTCGCCTTTTTTGGTGTATATGACGGTCATGGTGGAGATAAAGTAGCGTTATTCGCGGGAGAAAACGTGCATAAGATCGTCGCAAAGCAAGAGGCCTTTGCGAAGGGCGATATCGAGCAGGCCTTGAAGGATGGCTTCCTAGCTACCGATCGGGCTATTTTGGAAGGTAAGTGGACGCCACTCTGGGGCTTCTGGAATTCTATTTCTGTTCCCTTGTCATTTTTGGCTTGGGGTTCTCAACGAAACTGATCTGTCTAGACCCGAAATATGAGGAGGAAGTCTCCGGTTGCACAGCTGCCGTCAGTGTTATCTCAAAGAACAAGATCTGGGTCGTATGTGCCTTCAACCTCTGCCTTACCGCTATCACATCGCAATCAGGAGAAAGGCTAATCGGGATGGTAGGCAAACGCGGGCGATTCACGCGCAGTATTGGGTGTAAAGGGCCGCGCAAAGCCTCTCTCTTTCGACCACAAGCCACAGAATGAAGGTCCGTGTCTTGTCATTCAACCCTCCGAACTTTCGCATCTAATATACGAATATAGGCGAGAAAGCTCGTATCAGTGCCGCCGGTGGCTTCGTCGACTTTGGTCGAGTCAATGGTAATCTGGCCCTGTCCCGGGCCATTGGTGATTTCGAGTTCAAGAAGAGCCCCGAGCTCTCACCTGAGCAGCAGATTGTCACAGCCTATCCCGATGTGACAGTTCACGAAGTGACTGATGATGATGAATTTCTTGTTATCGCCTGTGATGGTACGTCTTTCTATAACGCGGGCTTGTCTGCAGATTGCACTGTTGTTTCCCTTTGCTGATCGAATTGCTTGTAGGTATTTGGGACTGTCAGTCCTCCCAATCCGTGGTCGAGTTTGTTCGGAGAGGTATCGCTGCAAAACAGGAACTTTACCGTATTTGTGAGAATATGATGGACAACTGCCTTGCTTCTAACAGTGAGACCGGAGGTGTTGGATGTGACAACATGACCATGATCATCATTGGCCTTCTTAATGGCAAGACCAAGGAAGAATGGTACAATCAGATTTCTGAGCGGGTAGCTAACGGCGACGGCCCATGCGCGCCGCCTGAATACGGCAAGTGTCTCGAGGATCCCATGGTCGCCGAAGGTTACTGACTGAGAGATGGTTGTTACAGCTGAATTCCGTGGGCCTGGTATCCGCAATCAATTCGAAGAAACCCCCGATAATTATGATCTTGAAAACGACCGCTCCCGCGGCTTCAGTGTCCGTTCCGGCCGTATCATTCTCCTAGGTGACGGCACTGAACTAATTCCCGAACAGAATGACGAGGAACTTTTTGACCAGAGGGAGGAAATTCGAGATGGCACAAATCATTTGCAGCACGAATCGCCCGATTCGTCGGCTCGAGGAGATCGTGAAGGTACCCCGGGACCCCAGTCGAAGAACGAGACCGCGAGTAAGGCTGAGGGGTCCTCGACTGCCGCTAACCTGTCCGAATCACCCTCAAGCACAAACAAGAACTCTTCTGGCAGCGGGGCTGAAGCCGCGGAGAAGTCTGCCTCCTCGTAGTGATGACGATTCATTTGAGTGTTCTTCCTCCCTGATCTGGTTTTGCGAATACATCCTGCGCGTGACTGAACGGCCCGCCCTTATCCTCCACTCTCAACCCATTCCGTTTCCTCAACCCTCGCAATGTCTTTCGATATGACCTTCAAAGTCTGTGTCTTCCGTCACTAGCGACGCCCTGTGACTGTGGATAAGGCGAAATTCAGTGGGATGCTCCTCTAGCCCTGGCTAGGTAGACTTTTCTATGTCGTGTCGGAGGGATTCTTTGGGGGCTTTCCTGAGTGATAGGACGTTTCCTCTTCTATTCTGCTATGTTCTGTTTTTCCGTGCCGCAAGCGGCAGACCTGACGAGAGTACGTTTATTTTATGCTTTGATCCAACGCAAGATACCGCACAAAACACCCACCGATGATGAATCTTGACATGTCTATGAATTCGGTTCTTACCTTTCCCAACCCATTGCTCTTACGTCACGCTTTATCTTTATTCTTTGCCCTCTACCATTCTCTTCCCCTCATACTGTGATCACCCGCTGGTGTATCTCCTCATCATCGCGCTCTCCGGCTCTGGACTTGGAGGGTTGCCCTGTGGGCCAGGAAAGCGCTCGATCAAGAATTTCACAAGTCACCGGCGTTGTAAATCGACTGGTGGATGAAGGGAAACGGGACAACACGGGTCTTTCATATCTCTCGGCGTATCTGGAATGTCCATTTACAGCATCAAGATCATTCTCGTCTGCGACGGGGCGGCACTTCCTTCCAATGCTTCAACAGTGGGGTTCAGGGAAATATGACGCATTCCAGTAGGCTATATTTCTTTTTTGGATCTCTTCCGATATCGTACACAGGAGCGGCCACTAGAAGTAATATGCGAAGAGCTTGCGATCACCGATAGACTGGCAGAACCAAATAGAATCTACTAGTAGTTCGAGGCAGAGAAGACTACGAGTTGTCAGTTTCATGAATTGTAAAATTACATTCCCTCATGGCGACAGAATCCACCTAGGTAGATACCTTAGCTGTGCACTATTGAAATGGTTGTATGAATTGCATTAAAAAGAGAATGCCCCATGGGTTGCATTGACATTTTCATACAACACTTGTCTAAATCCTTTCGATAGCGCCTGGTACCCAGTTCATACCAACAGAAGTACCTTTCCAGTATCAACAAGGTATCTGACTTTACCTTACCGTACCTTACTGGCTTAGGTAAGTGGAGTCTGATGTAATTGCTGTACTCCGTATGTTGATAGAGCGGTCTATACCTTAGGTAAGGTTAACTCTGTTTATCACGAGGGTGCAAAAAAGTTCTTGTCCATTGCATATGACAATTCTCTCTCAGTTGTTCCTCTTACTCTCTACAGAATCACCTATTCTACCCAACGAGGATCGAAAAGAAGGATCTGAGACTCGGCCCCGTTAGTACTGGGCTAGATAGCTTCCTTCCGGGACTGTCCCCCGCTAGCCTGATCAACCGGTTAGTCTAGTCTACTCCGTACTGCTCGTTCTTCCGCCTTGTGTCTGTCTCAGGGTCTTCTCCCTCTCTCCTTTTAATTATTATTAGACTAACTGACAAGCCTACCTTAGCTCTCAGCGCTTTCCCTGTCCCCATTTCCTCTCCTCCATTTTTTTTTTCAACCTCCTTCTGTTCGTTGGTTCTCCAAGCTTGAAATCTCTCATGGTTTTTCTCAGACTAGATACCCTATATCTTTCAACACCCCGACAGAAGTAGAGCAGTGCTCCTCGGTCAGCCAACATGTCGTCTCCGTCCACTGCGGCCAAACGCAAGCGCAGTGCTTCTCAACATTTACCGGCCGACATTGCCAAATCATCCACAGCCGATCTCCTCCAACCATCGTCTCGCGATGCGTCCGGTGAGGAAGGAGACGACTCCGCCGATCCGATCACCCCAACAGCAAGCAAAAGCAGGAAACATACTTCAATTGATGTGACCTCGACCGGGGGTCCCAATCCGCCTTCGAAACGGGCTCGGAAATCGTCCTCTGGCGAGGCTCAGGCCGCCGCGCCCAACGGAACCACCGAATACTCCTCAGCCATCCATCAGGAAGATCCCGGCGAGCCATCTGAGACCACTGTAGCTAGTAGTGACATTGAGCATGGGGCGACGGGTCGACCGGGGTTGCACATCAAGACCGCCGGCGCCGATGCAGAAACGAGAGAGCGTCTGATGAAACCGCCCGAGAGAGCTGGGCTGCAGCATCCCGTTGGGTACCACACCAATCCACCTCCGACAGGGCGACCGGTTCGCGTCTATGCGGATGGGGTTTTCGATTTGTTTCACGTGGGGTATGTCTACATTTCTTTTTTTTTTTTAGGAAAAAAAAAAAAACAGCTACTTTCTGCAGTAATGGACTTGATGCTCATTACTGGTGGTTTTTTGACAGACACATGCGACAGCTGGAACAAGCAAAAAAGGCTTTCCCCGACGTGTATCTCATTGTCGGCGTGACCGGAGACGAAGAGACTCACAAGCGCAAGGGTCTTACCGTGCTCAGCGGTCGGGAGCGTGCAGAGAGCGTCCGCCATTGCAAATGGGTGGACGAGGTGATTCCTGACTGTCCCTGGATCGTGACTCCGGAGTTCATTGAGGAGCATCAGATCGATTATGTCGCTCACGATGACCTGCCTTATGGGGCTGCGGAAGGAGACGACATTTATGCACCGATCAAGGCTCAGGGCAAGTTCCTGGTTACGCAGAGAACTGAGGGTGTCAGCACAACCGGCATTATCACCAGGTTTGTCTTTCCTCCCCGTTTGGCAGACGTGGTTGCTGACCATTTCGTTTCATCCAGAATTGTCCGCGACTACGACCAGTACATTGCCCGTCAATTCAAGCGAGGTGCCTCGAGACAGGAGTTGAACGTGTCGTGGATCAAGAAGAATGAATTGGAAATCAAGCGACATGTCATGGAGCTTCGAGACAACATTCGCAACAATTGGACAGCCACTGGCCAGGAACTGGGCCGAGAATTGCGACAATTATGGGCAAACAGCCGGCCTGGCAGTCCTGCCCCGAGCGCCCGGAACAGCATGGACCTGGGAAGTGTGCGTGGTGGTAACGGTGGGCTGACCAGTCCTACTGGTGGCCAGAAATCACATGTGTCACGACTAGAAGCACTGGGTCGGCCTGACAGTCCAGTCGGAACAAACGGGAGAAACGAAGATTTTGCGACTGGCTACAGTTTGGGCTTGATCGGCGGTGTGCGAGCATGGGTTTGTGATTACCTTTCCTGCCACGATGATAGAATCGAGTGTTAACCATATTTGCAGATGATGCGCAGCCGACGATCGCTCATGGAGAGCCGGCCTCACTCGCCCACGAGCGAGGACGATCCTGAGCCCGAGTTAGAAACGACCAACGGCCATACTGATTCCGAGAGATCTTTGCACGCATCGTCGTAACCTGTTGCGATCAAAAGAATTCTTTTCCTTGGACATGATTCTGTCTTTTGTGTCCCTGGCTACGGCACGGTGTCTTGACCTGAGTATAATGTAATATTGACATTGGGCTCATAGACTGGGACGAAAACGAATGACAAAAAAACAGTCAGAAAAGAAATAAAAGATCAAAATTGTTTTCTTGCCTTCTTTTTACACCTCCACTTCTAAAGGCCTGTCACTGTGTCACTGGAAGAAAAGGCAGAAGAAAAATGAAAGAAAAACATCAGACCCCTCACTATACTCGAACGATCATCTCCTCTCTTGTCCTTTCTGATTGATATTGGATCCGTCGCGATAATACCTTGTTTTGAGACAGACAACGATTGATTGCCTGGTTTTGGCTCTGAAATGGACTTGGACGCATTTTCTTGGATGGAATAAATCGATACACGTGGAATTGACTGGGTTAAGGTTGGGTATGCTGGAACATTTTGGGGATTTGGGGGATTGATTCATTCGTTTGTGCATTTCGTTTTTTGTATAGGTTCCACCTTCTAGTATCTATAATACCTAGATTTTGTAGATAGGTAAAAACTGATTGCTTGTTTGCGATGTGCCAAGTGCAATACGACGCATCTATCCGGTACAGAATATAGCACTTTCCTATCGCTAAAACGGCCAACACATAATCCACAGTCAAAATAATCAAAGAATGGCCGGGGAGATATATCATCAGGGCATCATAAACAGTCTGTATAGGGCAGGCAGGTGATTGAACTCCATCCGGGGTATCCAGACCCTCTATAGATTCTTGGGAAGATTCGTGACAGAGCGCAATCTACTCAGCAGTAATAGCCAGACGAGGCCTGCTTCGATGCCATCGGTCAGGCTGCACCTGCTCGTCGCTGTCCTCCACGGAACAAGGCTTCCAGAGCTCAACCCCCGGAACCAGGACAGCTTCGCCAGGTGCCGAGCACATGACGGCATGGAGATGGTCTCTCAGCGTCACCGCGTCCCGACGCAGGTTCTCCTCCAGGAGACTGCGCGCGACAGGGTCAGCGTCACACCGCGCGGTGATGCCCAGCTCGAACACGCGCAGGCCGCGCACAGACAGCAGCGGCGTGACCCATGGCTCCCTCACGTCCAGCCGCAGGCGTTGTCCACCGAGCAGCCAGCCGGCGGTGGTGTTGGTGGCCCTGGTGAAGCGGCCGAGGTCAATGCTGAGATGGAGCTCCTCGAGGCCGCGGCAGGCGGCGACGCGGGCCCAGAAGAGGGCCCAGAGCTGGTCGTTGTGGGTGTGCGCGTAGATGGAGGCCTTGTGCTCCTGGCCGGCCATGGGTTGCCAGATGGGCGTCCACTGGACGGTGAGGCGGCGGATGGCGCGCTGGCGGTGCGGGTCGATGGTCTGGGAGAAGGCCACGAAGGTATGCAGGTCGTCGACGTCGAAGACCGGAGTGGCGTAGGGGAGGTCGGCGGCCTCCGCGTAGACGGCGCGGCATGTGCGCAGGAGGGCGAGCGAGCCGTTGCTCAGCGTGTTGGGGAGGGCCGGGTGGGTGTGCGGGTAGAGCATGCTGTGAGAGTGGCCGTCATGGGTCGCTGTTCCCGCTGGCCAGCGAGCCGGGGTGATTGGGCAGCAGAGTCGGTGGCTGTCGAGGGAGGAGGAGGTGTGCTTGCAGCGCACATGGCGGATCTTGCCCTTCAGCTGGACCAGGTGGACGGCCTCGTCGCCAAAGACGTACTGGTAGATGATCAAGCGGATCTCTGCGGGCAGTTTGCCGAAGAGCGGCGAGGCGGACTGCGGGTTGACGGGACGATCGTAAGGGTCCACTGGTCTGGATGGTGTCGAAGATGGCAAGTCGACCGGGGGAGCACAGATCTTACGTTCCTGAATGAGATCACGGACTATCTCCTGCCATCGTCGTCCGGTCGAGTAGTAGTGCCAGATAGAGTAGGGATCACGAAGCAACCAGGCGTCGAAGTGTCGCATGTCTTCTCTATATCTATGATCTATAGTCTTCTATAGGATTCAGAAAACGGTGTATCTTTCTACCGGAGAAAGATGAGACGTCCACGGCGTGAAGCTAAGTAGGATGGAGATATATAGTTGGAGGAGTCAATTGAGCGAGGATTTGATTCAGAACGGTCGATCTGTATATATACTCAAGCCATATCCGTCTTTTGCATGAATCCGAATGTGAATTGCATACCAGAGGTATCTATACGGAGTATACCCCTCCGACGTGGGATTATCCCCGTGAAACACGCAGCGATCTTCTTCATGAGGCATCAAAATCATCAGATCCTCAATATCTGATTGGTCTTTGGCTGTTTTCTCCGGAGAAGCTTGGATGTCCTTGCCGCTGATTGGCTGAGGCCCTGCACTTCCCGACCCCGGAAGTTTCCGCCTTCCGAATCGGGACTTTTCGGTGGTGACTCCTACCCTATGACGTTTTGCGATTTTGGATATGGACCAATGATGTTTTTGCTGATGGGGCTCTTGTTCGCTTGGTGGCCAATGGGCTTCTGTGTAACAATATGTACGCTTGCGTAGGAGGAGTTAATCGCAACCTGAGGTGTCAACTCTCTTGGACCTGAATGCTGAGTTTCTTACCTTTGAGGATATTATCGAGATGTGTATGGGAAGTATTCTACTAAGACAGTAGGTACAATTGAAGGCATTATTAATGTTCGGAGTAGAAACATGTAAGTTCAGCGCTCCATATATGATCGTCATGAGCGGAGTATATATCCATCTACTCTGGTGCTTTGTTTGGACTGCTTGTCAACTCATGACTGGCGTTTGCTTTCTATATACGGGGTTCTATTATGTATGTTGATCGTATTGACACTTTTACCGCTTCCATAATCTTCACCATCTCTGACCTGCAATCCAGTCCTCCAGCTGCATCCTTGCTGCCAGATCGTCGGCCTACCTTCCTCCTTCGATTTCTCATGCACCGGCATTGACCAATAAGTCGAACAAATATCTCTCTATTCTTTCCAGACTTAAGCATTGACCTCACATGCTTATCCCCCTCTCTCTTTCCCCTCCCCCCAGTCAGAGTTTCAGTGACTTCAAGCCACCGGCTCCCTCCCTTCTTCTGCAGCCTCGTCAACTGCAACTGCAGCAGCAGCATTCTTCTTGCCGTCACGCACTAATGCCACGTACAGTGCACTCCCCACAATCAACGCCGAGCCTGCCCAGCTTAAAGGAGAGAGTGTATTACCCCAGACCACCTTGTCATAAAACAGTGCAAATAACATCTGCGTGTAGATCATGGAAGTGGCACGTGACCCCGAGGAGGTCCTGGCCGGCTTACACTCGCTGCCATCTCCTCCGGAGACCCTCAGAGATCTTCTCGGAGGTGGCGGCGAGTATGACAATCCAGCGGTCAGCAAAAACTGCAGCAAGAATCCACAAACGCCAAGTCCCACAATCAACGTCCATTCCAAGCCGGTTTCGGGCAACTTGAACGGCACGGAAGGCACCAGCAACATAGCCAGGAGCGACATAACGGTAGTGAACAGTGAGAAATACGTGACCGAGACCAAGGGATGGCACCGCTGGCCGATGATCCGGATCGATGTGTACGCACATGTTGATCCGAGGACTCCCACCATCATGGCCAAAATTGCCACGATATGCTGAACTTCGTCCGTGGTGCCGGGCTTGCGCCCTTCCAGCTTTTCCGGGTCGGGAGGCGTTGCTGACGACGAGAAGGGGCGCGCGATCAGCACTACGCCTACCAGGGAGACCACAGCGGCCAGCTGCTGCCTGCGAGTGAATGTCTCGTCGGGAATAAAGAGTGAACAAGCGTAGCAGCAGAGGATGGGTGCCAAAAACGTCAGGACAGTGGCCTCGGAAAGAGGTAGATACTGGACCGCGTAGTAGATACTGTAGACACCGAAGAAACCGCCCATGGCCCGGAAGATCAGCAGGCCCAGCACAGGCCGAGTCCCAAAAGGATGTGGAACCTTGGTATACCACATGTAGAGGTAGCTTGCCACGACCGTGACCGACATGCGGGCAAAGAGGATCTACGCTGGTCAGCGATACGTTGCATCGCGCCCCGCGGGCGTTCCTGGAATAAAACCAACCTGGAAAGGATGTAACCCGCTGTCAAGCTCAAGGATCTGGGTCATGACATTCATGGAAGCACCAAAGAACTGCGCCAACGTCACCAGAATCATGCCCTTACCCTGGAGCCATATCTCTTTTCCTTCCTCGTATACAGCTCGTAGCCATGACTGCGAACCCTCCTTGCTGTTGCCTTCTAGATCTGTCGACGACGAAGAGCCCAGTAATGGTCTGCGGATGCCATCTTCCCAACTATTCAAACCGTTCTCCGATAACGGAGGCGCAGCGATACTCTCGGAATTTTGGAGAGTATTGTACTGGCGTTGAGAGGACGCCATCGTTCAACCTGTAAGAAAATTGATAATCAAAGCCAAAGAACAAATAGAATATTTATATCATAAACAGGCATTAAATCTCGTCAATCATAAATATCATGAAATAGCCCATTCACGCCATGACTTGGAAGAGCTGATCAAGCGACTATATGTATTTGCTTCAGTCAGCTGAGAGGACGAGAATTGCTCCAAACATCGGTATGTTTTTTTGCTCCTTTTTTTTTTTTTTTTTTTTTTTTTTTTGCAGCTACTCCAGAAAGGAGACTAGTATCTCTCATCTGCTTCTTAGTAGCCCTTTTCATTGGACTAAGCAAGAAGTATCACTGTACTAGTGTTGTCTGTGGGGGCTGTGGACGGATGATCGGCTGGCAGGGTTTATGGAATCAAAGACTTGGCATCCTCTGCACTTTCTTCGAGGGCAAATGGGTAGGAAGGACTACTGGAATCTGCCTGCTAACCCTGCTTGTACAGTATCATTGGCCTTGTAGTTGCTTGGTGACACATAGTATAAGGGCTGTCTGACTATCTCGCTCAAACCAAAGACATATACGATGAATGACCCCACCAAATGGGCTCCTATACAAAAGTAAAGGTATCTCCTCCCTTCTCCCGTAACATATTGCCCACTCGTTTCGTCCCCACGATGCGCTCCACCTTCAGCGCATCCCACTTGGAAAACAAGGCCCGCACGCCTCCCTCCGCCGCGTCCACGACGCCCGCCGGATCCAAGCCCAAGAACCCCACAATCTCCCCCAGAAGAGCGGGTTCTCCGGCACACCATACATGACAATCCGCTTCACGCCTCGGATCTGATACCGACGGAAATGGTGCAAACGCTCTGTGTACAGCAGCACCGAATGCCGCCCGTTCATGAAGTGTGTGCGTGCCCGTGTCATCTCCCGGACCTCGCTATATTCCGAGATCGCCCCGAACGAAACGTTGCTGGTTTGCGACGATGTTGCAAAGTAATTGCGCACTCGCACAAAGTCCAAGTACGACGGGATGAAAATCAATGTGCCTCCCGCACTGCTTCTGTCCCGGCTGGAGGTGATGTTTCGCACCAAGGACGAGAGCACAGTGGTGGTGAAGTGCTTGAACCGCGCGTCCGGGTCTTTGGTCGGCGTGAGACTGTCGAACCGCGAGAAGGTCTGCTTGACGGATACTGGGAGGGGCACCTCGGAGATAGCCCCCGCGTACACCGGCGTCACCTTGATCTTTCCTGCGAAGTTCTGCATATGTGTAGAGAATAAGGAGTTGATCTCGGGCGTGATAAATGAAGCAGAGACAATCATCTGGCGGACAAATCGGGCATGGTTGTCCAAGTACCATGTTCGCACACGACTGAAATCACACCCGTGAGCCTCTTTGGGCTGTTGATTGAGATGATCGAGAATGTAGTCCACGTGGTCCCAGTTCTGCATGAGCAGAGCATCGGCGTGGTCAACAATCACGAGTTCGACTGACGACAAGAAGTCGTGGTCTCGCTTTTTTGCGCTGGACGGCAGTCAGCAAGGTAAACTCGTGGAGAATCAAGACTCAGAACTACTTACTCCGCCTGGTCCATGATTGTGCGTAGACCCAGGGGACTCGCCAAGATTATATCCGAATTGTAGAACTGCGAAAAGTACTTCATGGTCTTCCGAGTGAACTTGAGACCCAGCCGGAACATGTCATCGTCGTTGCCGCCGAAGAGCTCCCGGAAATCGTCAGGTTTGTTTTCCCAAGATTTGTCGTCGGCCGCAGAAAATGTGTCCAAGAACCGCTTCTTGTTCTCTTGCTGCTCCGGCTGGAAAAAGCGTGTTATGGACTCGACCGCTCGAACGCAAGCTTGTCTCGTCGGCAAAAGGTAGAGCACCTTCGGCCTGGTAAAGCCCTGGTCCCGAAGGTCCAGGTCTGCGTCCTGTTCTTTGGCAATGCGAGAGTTGTTCTTCAGCACCCGGTCCCGTGTCTTCAGGACGTGGTTGACCGCATGAACGGCTAGAATATCCCGCATCGCGCTGGAATTCGATGTTGTTCGGGCTCCGTATAGAACATCTTGATAGCCGAAGACGTAAGGCGCGAGGTGCTGAGCATCACCGCTGATTGCTGGGATCCGCTCTGTGGCAGGACCATAAAGTTTCTTCTTGAGCTATATGTGACTTAGAAGAGATGATCTCGAAGGTCGATATTAGCTCTATAGACTGGGCCTGTGGCTTACCTTGACGCTTGAGAAGTGCTTCATTGCTGGTAGCAAGGATACATCGCCCTCGCCAACGTCGGGAATAGCGCGTACCAACTTCAGCCCGCCAGCGATTTCCTTCTTCGTGTTTTTCCATTTCTTTTCTTCTGCTGATTTAATCTTGACGGCCAGCTTGCTCTCGTCTACTGCCGAAAAATGAGTCTCAAAAGGGTCGTTTGCTGCACAGCGTTAGAAGTTTAGATACACAGGGGCGGGTTAGGTCGGATAATACCATCTTCTTCGTCGTCGCTCTCAAGTTTGCCGTCCGCTTCCTCTGGGTGACCTTCCTCTTCTTCGTCTGACGGCTCCTGCTCTTGCAAATCATCGTCTCCTAGTAGGGCCGCATCGTCCTCTTCTCCGTTCGCGGCGGGCACGGCATCTCTCTTCTCTCCGTTGTGTTCAACCTTTCTCTTCTTCCTAGCGGGGCCTTTAGACTCCGCATTTACTTGCAGCAATTGAATCAATTCGTTGTACGGACGAGCTGTCTGCAGGTCTTCGTCGTCGCTATCGGACGAGACATCGTCCATTTGGGTTTCGTGGTCCAGTTCATCTCGAGCAGGCTCCTGTTTGAGATGTGATTCGGTATCGGAACGATCCTCCGATCTAATAGATAATTTCTTGTTATTCAGAGCGCGAGACACGCAAAATAAGAAAGGTCTATACTTACTCTACGTCTTCGACTCGCGAGGTGGTGAAGCCATTCCGTCTGTTGGTCTGGCCCCTGGGCCCTTTGCCACGTCCTCTGCCGAATCTACCACCTCTATTGCGTACAGGGGGCATTTTCTGAGTTAGTGAAAAATTCTCCGATAGTCTGCGCTTGAGTTACAGCTCTTGGCAGGCCTGATCAAGTCCTGCTGTTTGTTGAAGCACATATTTTTTTCTTTGCGTCGGGGCTCGGTCTTATCTTATCTTAGCGCGAAATTCCCCTTTGGGCGCACACACAATTTGAGCCTCGAAGAACTCCGCCGAGATTGAGCGGGCGGAAGAATTAGAAAGAAAAAAGATTACAGAGCCATCCCCACCACCGGCGAGGAAGCATTCAAGACTGTGAGAGAAACAGGCTTCGGCATATTTTTCACATATCCAACATGGCTGAAACCAATTCTTTCCTTCACCTTGCTCGCCCTCTGGGCCCAGTGGCAGTGGGGTCTGCACCAACCACCGCCCCTCTGAATGTTGTCATTCAGCCTCAGGTATGTCCTGGATACGCCTGGAGAAACGTTGAGTGATCGGATTTACTCATCACCTTGTAACAGGCAATTTTCTCGATTCTCGACCATTCCCTCCGTCGCAATGCCGATCAGGAACGTGTCATCGGTACCCTGCTTGGAACCAGATCAGAGGATGGATCCGAGGTGGAAATCCGTAGCACCTTTGCTGTTGGACACACAGAGACGACCGACCAGGTCGAGGTGGATATGGAATACCAGAAGCAAATGCTTGCGCTGCACCTCAAAGCCAACCCCAAGGAAGTGCTGGTTGGTTGGTACGCCACGTCGTCCGAGTTGAACACATTCTCCGCCTTGATCCAGAACTTCTACAGCGGCCAGGGCGACGGCACATGGCCTCATCCTGCCGTCCATCTGACAGTGTCTACTGAGCCTGGGAAGGATATTGAGACCCGCGCCTATATCTCTGCACCCGTCGGTGTGACCGCTGAGAGAGCCGCAGACAGCGCTGCTTTCATTCCTGTCCCTTATGAGATTCGCTATGGCGAGGCCGAAAAGAGTGGTCTTGAGACTATTGCTTCTGCCAAAGACGACGAAAGCCGTGCTACAAACATCTTCACTGATATCGAGGCTCTGGAGCGTGCCATCGAGGAGGTTCTTGGAATGATCGACAGAGTCTCCAGATACGTCGAGTCCGTTATTGATGAAGAAGCCCCCGCTTCGACGGCACTTGGCCAGTTCCTCCTCAATGCCCTGGCCTTGGCCCCCAAGGTTGAACCCGCCGACATTGAACGTGACTTGTACGTTTTCTTAGCGGTCTCCCTTTTTGTGTTGTTTTCTTACCTTTCACTAACTATGTTACAGCAACAACCACATCCAGGACGTTCTGGTCGTGTCTTACCTGGCCAACACCATTCGCACACAGATGGAACTGTCCAACCGGCTAGCAACTGCTCAGCTCACTTTGGGCGGAGAGGGTGCCAGCGCCGAGGCTGGCGCTCAGCGTGGCCAGAGAGGCGGCAAGGGCGGCCGTGGCGGACAGCAGCGTACTCAAGAACGGGCCACTGAGGAAGTCCGCGCGTGAGGGGAATAAGAACATATTGTGAAGATACCTGCGTTTTCTCTCATACAGCTGTTCAGTCCTTATGATACTTCTTCCTATCATTATCTTTTTCCCCCTCAGTCTTCTTATTGTTGTGTGTCTGTCTTGTATCTCGCCCTGGGTCTGCTTTGGAAGAATTTTTCAGTACGGTGGCCTGGCTCTATATCTCCATCTTTGTTACGCATGCTGTTGGCAAGTCAAGGCGAGGATCAGACATACGACGAGGCGGCCAAGGGGTTCAACGAAGAAAAGCACGGCGTACAGGAGTCATTCTGGCTTTGCTCAGAGGGATGAATGGGGAGGAAATCGGGGAAATGGATATACACCAATGTACGGGGATCGAGTTTCGCGGCCCTTATTTTCTGGAGCAGGGAGGACCTTGGTCATCTGATAGTTGCGATTGTGTAAGCCAGATGTTTTGAGACGATCACTTTCTCAGCGACGTGTTAGTCATGGCTAAATGGATATATGTGCTAGACACCTTGGATTGCTACGGCGCTTCGTCCAGCACTTTACAACAGGGTACGTACTCGGCGTTTCAGAAAGCGAATCTTCGCGATGGTACAAAAAAGGTGTAAAAAGAAGCAAAAAGATTACGACACCTCTGGGATTCGAACCCAGGCGGGCGAACCCACAGGCTTAGCAGGCCTGCGCCTTAACCACTCGGCCAAAGTGTCAATAGGTAGGAAAATGTGAGTTTCTTAAAATCTACAACCAGACCGACAATGGCGTCTCTACAAGCGCTGGAAATAAAGCGTTGGGAAGAGTCTGAATATAATGTGTGGATCTGGTTGCGATGCGTAGGGCTCTTAGAATGCTGCTCAAATCGTCAAATCTTGACAATCTTGAAGAATCATCGGAGGCCTAGCCACTGTAGCCAGCAAGGGTTAGTCTATTATTTGAGAAAATTAGATAGGAGTAGGAGAAGAGAAGTCGGAGGAAATAAATAGACAGGAGGAGAAAAGAAATTAACAATTTCCTTGGCCAGCCACTTCTGTGGCGTTGGACGTAGAAAATACCTACCGTCAAGGGGCCCACTGCGGGTCCATTTAGGAGCAACGGAAAACGGGGGAAAAAGAATGAGACGACACCTCTGGGATTCGAACCCAGGCGGGCGAACCCACAGGCTTAGCAGGCCTGCGCCTTAACCACTCGGCCAAAGTGTCCGAAGATGGTAATACTACGGTACATAGTGGTACATGGAGCGCCTGGCTGGGCTCTCGCCAATTCCAACACTATAGAACTTCCACAACTGCCTCATGGACGGAGTACTCCTTACTCTGCTGGGCGTGCTGGCCACTTTTGCATTGCTGGCCGGAGCTCCCCGGAAACTTATGTAAAGTATCCAAGGAATTGTGTGAATAGCTATTCGACTGATCTTTTAACCACTGTAGTACCATGATTAAGTGTCCCCGAAAACTCCAATAGCACTGCAAGTATGGCCCCCTACCCCACAGGCTACAAACCGAGGAAAGAGGAAGAAAAGGAAGTAAAGGCAGGGGAATCTGCACAAAAGCTGCGGGCAACAGTTAGATTGCTAAGTATGGATACTGTGGAGGGCTATCTGTTTTATTCGTACTGTTGCATAGAACAAGGGAGTGATTTGGGTATGCACCTGATACAGAAATCTTCCGTTTTTGATCTCTCGAGACATGGCAAATGGCGGCTTCTTCAGAGAGCATTATTTTGGGTGGCAAATTAACTATTAGACACTTTGGCCGAGTGGTTAAGGCGCAGGCCTGCTAAGCCTGTGGGTTCGCCCGCCTGGGTTCGAATCCCAGAGGTGTCGTCTCATTCTTCTTTCTTTTTCCGATATTTTTTTCCAGGCACTGACGCGACTTCTTTCCTGATATTAAAGTTCCATACTTGTGTTGAGGCTCGCTACCATAAGCGGTGATGCGCAGGCGCTACTGAGACAAAGGCACAGGAGTCTGAGAAGCCCTTTCTTGATGATCACTACATACATCCCGAGCGACATACGGCCGGCGACAGTATCAGAGCTGCTTCCAAGCCGTCATAATGGTAAGAAAGAAGCCAAGAAAAGAGGTGATAGACAGGACGGGAGCTCTCTGGTGCGACTACTGATAGACCAAGTTTCACCACTGGTACCCGCTCGGAGCAAGAGCATGTACATTTGGAACTCCCAGCTCCTTCCAATGATCCTTCGAGACAATCATACTCAGATGTTCGTGAGATTTGCGGAGGAAATACCCCTTTCCTGGAGAAGTCCAGCCGAGCTTTCCATCATCTTAGGCAACGTAGAAGGACCGTCGACGGGCAAGATCTTGATCCGGACAAGATCGTAGCAAACCGCCCTGCCTGCTCAGAGCTTCCTCTTCTTCAAAACAGTATCCTCTGTAGCATCCGAATCTCTCCTGGAAGGTCGCTTTCCCTTGCCCTTGCTCTTCTTTCCTGCTGCTCCATCTGCACCCTCACCCAGCTCCTCAAGTCCCTTCTTGCCCGCATCCTTCAGATTTCCGACCTGATCGTCATTCTGATCAAATGCCTTACGAGCCTCTTTCAGCTCGCGCTCCATCCGCAAGAGTTCCTGGACTCGACCGAGTTTATTCGGGTCGCGCCTCAACGCAAAACGAAAGTCGTCGACCTTGATCTTCTGGCGACGGGAGTAGCTAGCATACTGGGCTGCATTGTGGCACATCTCAAGGACAAAGTCGGTGACGATTTCATCGAGAACACGGACGGTCTCGGGAAGCGGCTCAGATGGGAAGGATGGATGAGGGCTAGGATCTCCATATGCCAGAAGGAGAAGACGCACTAGACAACAGCATCTATTAGCTGCAGACGTCCTTTGCACAACGTGACATCAATTCCATAACGAAAAGCACTAAGTAGTCACGTACGCTCCGATGCAAAATTCATCTGACCCTTGTGCCTTGCAGCACGTGCTCTAGGTTCCGCCATGCTGGATGGATTGTTTCGATTCTGCTTTTTCTTTTCCTTGGAATCTCTTTCCGACGCAGAAGCTTCCTGTGCAGCTGGGACTTTTGGTTTGAAGGCTGGAATATATCCGGAGCGTATCAGGGCAGTCTCCTGGGGGTTAAAAGGCCAAGGAGGAGCGAGTTTGCTCGGCACATGGCCAGAACTGCCGAATCGTGCTGGGACTGATGGCCTTGGAGTGCGTTGCTGCGGTCGTGAGGATCTTTCTGCTGTAAGAGACGACGAAGTATGAGGAGCTGCGGAATTACTGATAGTGTTGCCTCTGCGGACATGGCGGTGTCCAAAGCGGTGAGCAGTATTCATTCCGGCAGGACTACCAAGGCGGTCAGAGCTGTTATCACTGTGATCTGCCATCTTGGTGTGTGTGAACACCAGACACAAGACAGTGGGATAGCCGTTCTCAAAAAGCACGAACTGATTGATTGATCAATCGAGTAACTAGGATTTTTGCCAGAGTTGTGTGTAAGGAAGAAGGGTGGTGACTCTCTGCTACAGTCAAGATGGTGAGCTTAAAATGGAGTGAATGCTCTCTACTTGAGGAGCCTCACCATAGCGCACCAGGCCAGAGTAAAGCTAACTGATGTCGCAGTCTGCCTTATTCAACTTCCAGTCACTTCTCCTTGTGTTCCTGCTTATTATTTGCACAAGCACTTATGCGCACTCCATCATGCCAGGAATCATGGACCGCAACCAGCGTGGGTAGGTTCTCAGCAATTCGTCGTTTCACTTGTCCCTACCACAGGTTATCGGGTATGACTGACCTTTGCACCATTCAGGTTCTTCGGGATATTCTGGAAGTGCGCTCGGATTGGAGAACGTCTAAGCCCGTACGTTAGCATTTGCTGCGTACTGATGGCAGTGAGTACACCGCGATTCTGCATCATCATATCCAGCGCATATTAGAGCTAACGCATGGTATCAACTTCAGGTCTCAATCTTCTTTGGTGGCTGAAACATATACCTCAACTCTATGTCTCATGATATCAAATTCCGTGGCTTCCCTGACTTGTCGGCGTTCATTCATTTTTCCCCTTTTACCGGGATATGGAATATCATGCGTAGGGAGTTTGTCAAGATTATTTCTAATGTACATACATCCGGGTTATAATTCACAAGAAATTTGTAGAAACGCTCTATATACCGATAGGAACACCCATGCTTTAGCTGTGACTCCCTGCCTTTGGAAGTCATCCAGTTTTCCAGAACCCGCGCTTCTGATGCAATAACCATAAACAATAAGAAAGACGTCAAAAGATGTAGGGGTATCTTCATAATTTGGGCTTTAGTTTCTCCCTCAACCGTTTGAGCCCTTGATCCAAAAGCTCGTCCCTTGTCTTTTTGTCGCTCTTTGAAGGTGCGAGTTTAGAGTCGGCCAATGTGGTGAGAGAAGGCTGTGATAGCTTGTCCAACTCTTCCAGAGCCACCCAAAGTCGTTCAGGGTCTCGAAGGTAACGAAGAGCCTTCATATTGTAGGAGTCAATGACGTATCCCGCGTCCTCCATAGCTTTGATAGTCTGGGCAAGATCAAAAACTCTTTGTTTGCAGGCGTAACCACTGATGATAATGTTCCAGGTGACCTTATTGAATTCAACATTATGTTCAGCCATCATCTCCTTCACTCTCTCTGCTGCGTGCGGCTGTTTGTTGAAGATAAAGCAACTCATCAAGATTGTCCAGGTTCGAACAGAAGGCAAGGCATGACCACTTGCTTGTTCATGCATCGCCCGGGTATTGCTTGTTAGGGCAGATGTCTGCAGCATGTCTTCAACTACTCGCATAGCTGGCCGCAACCCCCGCGGACTGTCCCGAAACGCCACAAGGAACTCGTTATAGACGTGATCGGTTGCTGCCAGAGGAGCAATCGTGGGGTGTCCCTGCAGCACCAGGGAGCGAAAGTTCGTATAAAGGCGCTGAGCAATAGAGACACGCCTTCGACAGCGTAGATATGTTGCAATCATGAGAAATAAAGCGATCGTGGTCGGTGGCGTATTGTCACCTCCTGGTGGAGGGGTGTATTCGGGTGGTAAGATAGAAAGCTCCTTCAAAGGAGTAATACAATGTAGCTTGTTATACATCTCCAGCATGGAGTAGAACACCGCATCAGGATCGTCATCTGGATTTATATGCTTCGCAGTGAAAACGAAATGAGCATGAAAGATCTTACTCGAGATCCAAGGATTCTTCAGTAGCTCCTCGTTAGATTCGATCTCCCGAATCAATGAGCTAACGCGGTCTCGATTCCCTCGCGCAACAGCATCATTGAGGAGGATCAAATGGGTGTAAGAGTCTGGTTCAAGGCCATTATTTTTCATATACTCCAGCATATCGAGCCCCAACTGCTCGTCACCTGTTTTGAAGGCATTGGACAAAACGACGTTCATCATATCCCGATCTGGTCGAACACCCATTTTGAGTAATTTGGGAAGAATGTAGAAATTTCGCCCTTCCGGCCCTTCTTGAACCGAATCAAGCGTGAGAAGCTTGCAGCAGTGGCGCATCACGCTCTGAGAATCCATCCCAAACTCAACCTGTTTCATTCGCCGCACGTTATCAAGAACGTCAAGTGCCTTATTGACGTCCTTGAACTCGATAAATCGCCACATGAAACAAAGATGGGTCTCCGCTTTTGTATGAATCTTGCGCTCACACACAAGTTTATAAGCATAGTAGATTGCGTCACGATCAGCGCGCTTCACATAAAGTCGAACGATTTTCTGCGGCAAAAAAAGAATTGGCCAATTGCGGGGCCCAAGGCAGCATTGAAGACAGATTGATATGTGTGCGGCCCTTTTCTCCAGTCCTTGAGCCTGTCATAGTAAAAGGAGTCCAAGAAAAGGAAGGCATCTGCGACCATCACAAAGACAGGCCTCTCCTTGCCATGAGTGGTCACTGACAAGAATTCTAAGGCAAGCTCTGGAGACTCCTTCAACAACCATAAGGATAGACTGTGCCAATGAAGGGCTTTGTCCCTCTTGCTTAACGCCTCCCAAGCCTCACGGAAACTGCCCTGACTATCCGTTTTGAGTTTCTCTAGGAGGTCCAGCTCGACGGGGTTCAGCTTCAAGTCTCTCAAGAACTCATTTCGGATCTCTCTTTCGTAGAATTTTGACCTGTACAGATCGCTTTGTGCAATTCTCCATGTGCGTATATTCGCCCCTTCGTGAAAGAAGGTCTGAGATCTGATGCGCTTCTCCAGAGCCACAGTTTTAGGACGGAGAACTCTCTGTCTATCCCTGGGCTGACCCCTAACCATGACCTTGGTTTTGTAGATTATGGCTGGCGCCGGACCTGAGGTGAAGATACTACTCCGCCCTGGGATCGAAAGCAGGCGTTTGGAGCTTGGAAATCTCGGTCGTCGGCCCACATCTCTTCCACCTTGATTAGGAGCAACTAGCTCCTGTTCAGCACCAGGAGAAGGGCCTTCAAGCACTGTGGACGATTGCGACTCAATTAAATCAATCCTGGAGGGTGAATCGGGGCTGGAACTCTTATCGACGATGGACGTTGTAGAGGATAATCTCCGAAGTACATTTTTCCGACAAGGATCTTCGGGAATAGTATAGGGGGTCGTTGTACGGATAATAGCGGTATCAACGGCGGGAGGGAGCTGAGCTCTCGTATTCGACGCATCATTACTGGAATATAACGCTCTCGCGCCTTGAAAGCCCGTCCCTGGTTGATACCATCTGTGGTGCGGATCCCAGGATGGCAGTCCAGCGCTGAAGCGGGAACGAAGGAGACGCTGCGGACAAAATGACATTCAGTACTTCTTGACCGCGTACATTGATGAATTATTCCGAACTGGATACTAGCGAATCCAAGAGGCGATGAGGACGGCGAAGAATCGGCGAGTGACAGTTTCATAAATCATTGCATGGATGGATCAACCCGCAGAAAATGCCCGCCAATTTTGATCCGACACGGATGTGGCTAGTGAAAATTAATTGTGGCGCACCACTGCCGATAAATCGTACGGATGTTATCACACCGCAGAAAGCGATCGGGTACCTCTCTACTTGCACCAAAAACTCAGAGACCTTTTCTTTTGTCGCAAAGTCGCATTGGGGCAAAATTAGCGAACTTATTACCTCTATAATCGCAGCCAGCGGTATTTCTCGGACCCTGGAATACTACTTTCCATTGCTTTTCTGCTACTTCTTTCCCTCTAACACAATGTCACTGAATCACACCTCTCTTGATGCGGCGGCAACAGAACGCAAAGCCCGTCTTGCGAAGCTTGCAGCTCTAAAGAGGAAGCAACCGGAACCGGAGACACTCACAGAGGCGCGTGCTGGAGACCATGAGCCTGAGGATGCCGCTCCCGATGTCACAAGAAAATACCTGTCCGGACGCAATTTCGATGCAGAAACTCGAGGGCCCAAGCTGGGATTTGATCAAGCGCCAACAGAAGGAGCGAAAACACTTGAAGCGCAAGCTGCTGAGATAGCGAAGGCTACGGCGGAGCAGGCGAAGAAGGATGAGGAGAAGGACCAACCGATCGACCTATTCAAGTTGCAGCCAAAGAAGCCTAATTGGGACCTAAAGCGTGACCTTGATGAAAAAATGAAAATTCTTAATGTGAGGACGGAAAATGCAATTGCGAGACTTGTTCGACAGCGCATGGAGAATGCGCAACGAGCAGCGAAGGCGCAGGGAACGACCCGCAACGAAGATGAGCAGGGAGAGGAGGTAGGCATTGAAGGAGACATGCTCGTGGAAGGAATTCACGTCCGCGAGAGGGAAGAGGAAGAAGAAAGAGAAGAGATGGACGAGGATTCATGATACCCATGAGAATTCGCGCAGGTTGATCTATGGCCTTATATGCTTTTTTATCATACAACACTTTACTTTGGCGCTGCAGAGCTGGGACTCGGGGCGGTCAGAAACAGGCGTTAGCGGTCATCTGCATTTTGATTGCATGGATGTTAATGCAATTATGCTCTTCTGTATTACTATAGTACATTACTGGCTGGGGTCAAGAAAGAACAATATTTCCAATTCGGTCGAACGGCCGAGAGGAAAATCTCCAAACTCTGCTTTACTCGACTTAATTGATTCCGACTCAGCGTTCCATGTTCATGGCCTGAGTCAGCGCTAGACGCTTACTGTAAGGACTGAGGCTTCTTTCCTTTCGCGCTGAACCGGACATAGGTCCGCTGAAGGCGTGATTGCGCTGGCGGTCCAGGTGCCTAGACCGGCTCATGTTTCCCCTCGACTCTCTTGTTGGATGGTGCCGTCCCTTCACTGTATCTGGAGTCGCCGACCGCCTTTCTTTGGCAATTTGACTCTGATCCATACTTAGGCTTCGTGTCCTACCCCTCCGGCTGCCGTCTTCAGAGATGTTCCTAGGTCGACCACGCTCTTCAGGGCTAGATTCCCGACGTCTTCGTCTTGTGTTTCTGTCTGTCTCCCATTCCCTCGATCGAGAGCGCTGTCGCCCACCGGAAGAGTAAGAAGAGTCACTATGGTCGGATAATGAGTCACTGTATCGTCTCTTTCTTGAATGTGGTTGAGGCGACGACATTGATTGTGCTCGGTCTCGCCCCCTACTTTCAGTATAAACTTCATGCCGTGGCGGCGAGACTGAATGCGATCGACTGGTCGATATCGTTGAGACGGACGACATTGAGTGGGATGACTCTGATCTACTCCTCTTCGGTGCATGATGACTGTCATCAAATGGATCTGAATCCCCTAGCTCCCTCTTGCGAACCCGTTCCTCTCCTCGTCTTGCTAATATCTCATCGGCGACACCTCTCCTACCACCGGCGTCAGCTAAGTTTTCCACACCCAACAATTCATGCGCCAACTTACGACCCTAACAATTCGTTTGGAACATTAGTCGTCAGCTTCGGTCGCAAATTGGGGTTTTGCAGTTGTTGTGTGCGAGAAGGTCGAGTTGTATATGGCCGTTCCTGTGCAGATACCGTGCATTCATAACTGTAGTGTCGTATAAAAGAGTCAGTCAAAGGTAGAATAGCCACGAAATCTGTGTACTTATCTCGTTTCAAGCATTTCTGACACAGAGTACTGGCAGTCGCCTTGGTAGGGCCTCTGATGCCTGGTGCGTTCCGGTATCGATTCATCTGAATCAAATGATATACCGAGCCGGAAAAAAAAATCGAAAAAATAATAATTGTATGAATGCGAAAGATACAATCTTAGAGATGCCGCAAGAAGTGCTTAAAAAAAGGTATTCAGTCTCTCATCACTTAATTGACGAAGCCCAGTTTTTCGAACACCGCAATCGCGATTCTCCGCGGCTATTCAAGCGGACCTGCCAGACAAGTGGGCCAGGGCGACTTACATACGCGCGCGGTTAAGCGCACCACTGAAAGAGGAGACAAGCGAATCCCAACCTGATCATCGCCTGCCTCGTTCCTTCTCAGCCCAAAGGACGAAAAGAATTCAACCTATTCACCTTCCAGTACTCCATCGACTATCTCAGGCTCTTTCATGACCCTTCATCTTTATTAGCAGGGTAACCGACCTCTCTTGACCCGCTCCGCTCTGGGTTGGACTGGGTTTTTTAGATACCCGTGGTGGGAGAAGTTGTATCTCCCTTTGCCGAAATATTATACCAGAAAATCATGAACCAGTCGTTTTGACCATCGTGTAAGAACAGTCAATAGTCCTGGCCGTTCCTCTTGGCCTCGCTTTCCCTTCTTTCAAAACCTCGATCGTTTACAGGGCACAGCTCATTATGCACGCAATATATCTGACGTTGAACAGCTTTCCATATGGCGAACTCCCCATTTCAGAGATATGTCGTCATTCTTTTTGGGCTTGTGTGAAGTGGGATTTTTGAGTGGCTTCTTCTCAATTCGAAATTCGGTTTCTTCCTGTTGAAAATCAAGCAGAACTCGCAGCATATTGAAGCAGTCCGCAGCCTTTTCCCCGGAGTCTTTCCCGAATCAGTACAACTGTACTTGTTTGAAGCGCACGCCGAAGGAAGACCTCTCGAAAGAAGGGGTTTCTGGCTAGTTTGAGGATTTTAGCATGGTCATGGCCTCGGAAAGTTCTACAGAGGCTGAGCATCGCCTGTCTTTCGCCAAGGTATGCCCTGATCCAGGTGAAGGCGTCACGGCGTATTTGATGGCCTCTGTTTCTCTAATGAGTATAATAGATAGCCGCAATGGCTCCGCCATCGAAACCAGAAGAGCTCGGGTCTGGCGAACGAAATGATGCACAGAACGCGGAAAGGCTTTCATGTCCAGACAGTCTAGCGCGAGCTGTACAAGACGTCCATATAACAGACACTAGCGACAGACAGAGCCCCAGCTTTACTTCAGAAGTCGATGAACACGGAGCTCTCAAACGGGAGGCGTCCTTTGACGATGATCGTACGCATCTCTCAACGTCCTCAACGAAACAGACGAGTTTCGATTCGAAAAGCATGGCCTCAGTTACCACTTTTGCAATGGATGAAAAAGATTCTTTGCGACCCGACGATAGTGCCAGCGTACAGGCTGTTGATGAGGAAGAGTCTCTTTCGGGGCCTGCATCAGGAGCAGCGAACTCACTTACGGGATCCGAATCTGGTGTCCGCATATACAGGGATCATCCGCGAGACATGAGTAGCCAAAAGCCCCGGCCAGTTATGCTTCCTGATGGTGGCCAGCGACCGGATGGGATAATTCACCCGGACTCCGTCGCTAATAATTTTGTCCTGCCTAGTAGTGCAGAAGGCTTCTCAGTTGAACACAGTTTGAATGGTTTCCCTCTCGAGCCGGACGAAAAGCTGATTGAGGCGATGAAATCTCCAAAGGACCGCCTACTGATTCTTCAGCTGGAGGAGAAAGTCCGCAATTTCATTCAAAATTCGAAGTAAGTGGACGGCTTGTTGATCGTTGTGCTGTTCGTTTCGGCATCTGACGTTCTAATATAGGGAGCAATCTCTGGAGCTCCCACCTTCGAATGCCTTCGGAAGACTACTCGCGCACAAGTTGGGTGATTATTATCATTTGACCCATTTCGTGGATAACAACGTTACGTCTGTCCGTCTCCATAGGACACCCTTTTGCCGATTGTATGCAATACTGCGTCTCCTTGATTTTCTTTTACCAATTGAGACTTCGTTCTGACTGTTTAGGCCGACTCCGCTCTCCGTTTTACATGCTGCCATTCGTAGCACCCCACCACCAGCAGTCCCAGCCATGAAAATCATGCGCCGGAATGACGGGGATCGGCCTTCCACCGATGGAAGCACTGCAGCAAGCTCTTCGGTGCCTTCAAAGACCGCATCGGAGGTAGGCGACAGTGGCAACGACGGCGAACGTGGTTCTTCAGCCGGGGCCACACCTGCCAAAGATAGGATGGCCTTAACGCGAGAAGAGCGAGAAGCTAAGTACCAGGAAGCAAGAGAGCGGATTTTCCGCGATTTCCCTGAGACGAAATCCTCGGATATCAGTGACCAGGGGACGAGTATGTCACGCTCGAGCTCAACAAGTGGACGCAAGAAAACACACCGACAGAAGACTCCACATGACGACAGCTTTGAGGCCCGCTCTCAATTCAACGCCTACTACCCGGGAATGCAATATAACAATGGGACGGTTCCCTATAATATGGCACTGAATGATTCCTCATTTTCTAACCAAGCCCCATATATGGTAGGGCCTGGAATGTCTCCTCCGGGTTATGCTCAGGGTGCTCCAAACAGTGCCATGTACTCCAACCACGTCAATCTGAATCCCTTACCTCAATATTCGATACCCGTCTCTCCTCAGATGACATCAACTGGTTCATGGCAGAGCGGCGCTGTACCCCAGCAATCTCCTTTCTCAGGATACACATCTATGAATCAATCACCGGTGATGGTCACCCAGCAATCGTCGGCGAAGTCATCGCCTGCGCTGAACAACTACACCATGCCACAATATGCACAGTCGCCGTCGACTTGGTCTTCGTCCCCGTATGCTGCGAGCTATCAGCCTACACATCGCACCCATCCCACCGCTCATTGGCCGAATTATCCCTCGCAGCCGCCTAACCCGACTTCTTATCCCTTTGCTCAATATCCAGGGCAACAATCACTAAACACAGCGATGCAAGCTCATCCCAACGCGCACCCTCTGCCAGGCAGTTTTGCAAGATCCCCATTCAATCCGCAGACACGCTCATTTGTGCCCGGTGGGACTTCTTTGGCTCGTCACCCGAGCAAGACCAGCCAACACAATATGAACTCGTATCCTCCTATGCAGCCCGGTATTCAGACTCAGTGGAATGGATATCAAGACCCGAATAACAAGGGTCAAGAGGCAAGTGCGATGGCGCAAGGCGTAACGCGCGGTGGCCCTCCCGGTAGCAGAGATTCCATCGCAAAATGGGGGACGCCTTCTCATTTGCCTCCAAAACCACCACCGTCCGAGATCCCCTCTGATTTCGAGTTGAAGCATCGAATCACTCCTGCCCCATCGCACTCCTACAATTCCAACATACCGACCAACTCCAAGAACGGACCTCTTGTCGTTTCGGGAGGGACAAGTCTTCCCAAGGTGAACTAAATTCTGCCGCCCGACGATTTGGTTGCATGCTGGTGCATCGTTCAACCTGTGTTGTCTCTGGCAGATAGTAGTGTGAAATTGGCCGAGAGAATGTTTGCTCGTTCAGATCAACAACATAAAAGGAGAGGAGATGGGAGTCTCGCTAGGAGTACGCCAATAGTACACCTCCTGTCTCGTGGACGGACTGGCTGAGAAGGGCTGGTTAGCCATATTTCGGCTATTGATAGTATCGCCCATTTCAATTGTTGACAAAAAGAAGATGAAAACCTTCCCAGAGACATAAACCATGGCGCTACCAAATGGAAAATGGTGTAGAATTAACGGGTTCACTATGATTGTAGCGACGCCTCCGCGCGGTAATAGCCATCCCTCTCTCAACCGAAATTGATCAGTCAAGCGCTCTTTGGAATCATTGTACCAGGATAGAAAAGAGGAAATGACGATATAGTGACTTCTTCTAGTAAATTACACGAGATCAATACCGACCTAAGTACTTTCGTGAGAATGCGGAATCAACACCCAAATATACAGGCCTTCTGTTCCAATCGATGCCAAGAGAAAAAGGGCATCATATGAAGGACACAAACTATAGCTACAAATACAAAAATCATCAGAGAGCAGTTCCGAACGCACCAGGATCGATAGAGAGAGAAGTACCGATGACCCAGCTAAGCCCCTTGTACCTGAGAAATTCCTCCTGTTGGCCATTGGAACTGGTCCGGCGACAGGGTCTATTGCTTGGACTCCACCTCCTGTTCGCCTTTTTGCGTCGTAGGACCTTTCTTGTGTTCGATTTCTAACCGCTTGATCGCCTGTTCCAGGTCCTCGACACCGCCTTTCCGGAACCTTGTCACCTTGTGAACATTCAGGGTTGTCAGCTCGTTGAGAGCCTCGAGGCCCTGTGCTCGCTGTCTCGCAACGGTCCGAGCTGTCATGGCAAATCGCATATCCTTCGGTCCGTCAACAAGCTCGAGAATGGCGCTAGGGGCTTGATCATCTTTCTTAGGCTCGACCCGCAGAACTCGTGTGTAACCACCAGGACGTTCGGCGTAGCGCTCACGGAGGGTCCCAAATAGTTTTGGAAGAATTTCATGGGGTGTCTGCGATGAAGTTAGCCACGGAGTTTCTCAAAGTCTTCGAGAGAAACCGTTCTGTGGTCCCTCAGACGAGGGAAAACGAAGGTCAATCAGGTTTTCGGTCTCCCCCGAGGACTTTTTGACCAGAATTGACAGAAAGAGTCAGTAGGAGCACATACATAGAAAACAGACAATGCTCTTCTTCGACTAGCCTCTGTATTCTTCTTGCCCAGCGTTATTAACTTCTCGGCCAGCCGTTGAGCCTCCTTCGCTTTGGGCCAGGTTGTTGTGATAGACTCGTGCTTGAAAAGCGATGTGACTAAGTTTCGGAGCAAGGCCTGTCGATGTGACGACTTGCGGCTGAGATGACGGTACTTAGCAGCACCACCGGCCATGGTGACAGCTGTGTTGGGGAATCGTTTATGGTCCTGGTTTCGGTAGTCTCTTTTTTTGTCGTTGAATTGCCCTGAATCCGAGCACAAGAGGAGTTGGGCAGGAGATAAGATCGATATTCGGTTGAGTTTCGAATGGCAGCAACCGGCTGAACAGCAATGGGGGCGTAGAGAGATGAAGACGCAGTGGTTGTACTTTTCTATGAGACGCTCAACGCTGGTCTGTGATGCCGGATGGAAAGATTCAATTCTGGAACGCTGCGGCCAATCGGAGTCGCGCATTCGGTCCCCCATCTTGTCCGCATCGATTGCAGAGGAAAATGCATGACAGTCTATGACCCATATAAAGTAGTCTCTAGCTTGACATTGCTTCTTATTCTTCACACATAGCTTCTAATTTGATATCTATACCTCACACCAGCTGGCATAACGGACTGTCCAGCTGTTGTGATTACGGCCGACATCACGGCTCCCTTGTTCTTTGGAGAGCCACTGGTGGTGTGATCCTCCCCCACCTAATCTCAAGTCCAACATCGGTGATTCTGTGTAATCTGACTGAGAGGACAAGAGCTACATTATGGGCTTCTTTGCTGGGTTTGTAAGTATTTCGCATCAGGCGCGACAGAGAAGATCAGTAGTCTACAGATACTGACGAGAGCGCAGTTCAGCGGGTTTGCGTTGACCTCCACGGTCTTATATCTAACAATTCAAGTTCATCGAGCCAATCGCCTCGAGCAGAGTCATATTATTCGTGAACAACTTAGATCGCTGAATTGGATTGCATCACCAATTGGCGCATATGACCGCCGTCTAGCGCCGAAGGACCAGCCACAGCTTGACCCAGAAAGGTCGCGACTACAACCTACCTTGAAGGACTTTCTTAAGCATCGCTGGAATGAGGAGGTGGAGACACTGGCTAGAAAGGCATATGAGAGTCGGTGGGAGGACGCCAGAGATACTGCAATCGCAGGATGGAAGGCTGCGATGAGGCTTATGAAGAAGGAATAAAAAGTTTGCTGTTCTGTACATGTTTTATCGGTGCTGCTTTCTAGAGGCGCGCAGCTAGGACCAGATACCCTTGGATTTTCTTGAAGAAGCGTAATTGCATTCTATGATCTTGGGTTTCCTACCCTGTTGTACTTGGCTTATCGATTCACGCGTTAGCTTGTGCATTTTGCTCCCTGATCCGTATATCCGGTACCTAGGTATGAACCATTGCGCCAACGCCTTACGAGATACTCCTGTCCTGAGCCGAGCGAAGGGACTGCTACACCTTCCCTACCGGCGGCCCCATAGTCAATGCGCGTGTCAACCTGACTAGCGTCCACCTGCACTCTTTCAGGATAGCTTGGCGAGAATGGATCCATGTTGTACTCTCGAAAAGGCCATCATCCTCCAGTTGCTGGACCGACTGCTGATCCTGTAGGGCAGCAACCACTGAAGACAATGAAAACACCATACACGGGGTTGCTTTGACTCAAATTAGATCTGTCACCACCGTTGAGCGAGTCTTTCAACTGGTGTTTGCCGCCGAATGTGTTGTATCAATGCTCTCATTATCGCTCCAGATGTCTTTGCTCTCTCTCTCAACTGCGCGCATAGCCTGTGCAACTTCTTCAAGTTTGGCAACCACTTCCAAGACACCGTTGTTGACCCGATCGAAGTACCGATCGTTAGCCTCTCGCCTTTCTCGGGCTAACAGGATGTCTCTTTCCGTTTCCTCGTCCATATTCCTATGAACGGAAGCTTCCATCGGGACTCTTTCGCCGGTAGGCCTAACGTTTTGGGACCCTCGCCGCGAAGGAGATATCCCTTTAGACTCCAAACCCTTGGCAGCATCGACTACTTCGTCGGCCTCACTGCGGGCCCAGGCTTGCGCGAGTTTCAGTTGCTTCATACGGAGATCTTCTAGTGCCTCTGAGTGTCTCTCCCCGAATACGTGCTCGCTGGTCACTGCACTGAGCTCGACCTCTGATAGTGCATTTTGCATCTCCTGCCATATGGCTTCGGATCGATCGACTTCACCTTTAGATTGAGCGCGAGAAACAAATGGCGATAAGGAAGCCGCATCGAAAGAGCCCTGGGCTCGAGACGGGCGGTTGCGTTGCAAAGGAACCGTCTGGCTCCCCCCCGGCGAAGATACAGCTGGCAGGGGCGGGTTCAGAGAGAGATTAGATGCATTATGCGAAGGGGGACCCTGAAAGAGAACAGGGGGCGGAAGACGCTGGGAGCTTATCTTCCGTAAGTTTTCCAACTTCGGAGCGGCGTCCATAATGTAGCTGTTATGCAATTGCTTGGACGAAGACGTGCATCTCCTCCACTAACAATGTAATGGTTAATTGGTATTCTTGTACTCAGTAGAGAAGTACTCTGCAGTCTGTTATCAGTCAGTAACGATGATAGCAACTCCCGATGCTTATCGCTTATCGATAACTGACGGCCGATGTTTCTCCGCTCCGGGGCCTCGCTTAGCGGGCCGTTTAGGGCGAAGGCGCACAGGAGAACATTTTCGCCCCGAGGAGACCGCCGGCAGTGAAGGAACATTCGACCTTCGACTTTCGACAACCATCCCATCAGGCCTTTTGGCGATAACTTTTGTTTCCAGTCGGTATGTATAATTTTGCTCCCATTTTTGGTCTTCTGGATCTTCGCAGGAAAACTTGTTTTGCGATCAAAATTGTTCTTCGACCCGCACATCCATTTCTGATAAAAGCCCGATACCGATCCCCCTCGCAACACCAAGCCCACGAACCGTCCGCACAAGGAAGTTTTTTCTAACGCAAAATCTCTCATTTTCTACAGTTGACCGTCCTTCGAACATAATACGCCAAGATGGGTAAGGGAAAGCCCCGTGGTTTGAACGCCGCGCGCAAGCTCGCCAACCACCGCCGTGAGCAGCGCTGGGCCGACTTGCACTACAAGAAGCGCCTTCTCGGTACCGCTTTCAAGTCCTCTCCCTTCGGAGGTGCCTCCCACGCCAAGGGTATCGTCCTCGAAAAGGTCGGAGTTGAGGCCAAGCAGCCCAACTCTGCCATTCGGAAGTGTGTCAAGGTCCAGCTGATCAAGAACGGCAAGAAGGTCACCGCTTTCGGTGGGTAACCCTTTCCTATTCATTATGCACATTCGATGAACTGCTTGGGATGGAAAAGAGATGGAATATGTGATGGATGGCACGACGGATTGGGGGAGTCCAGGATCGGCTTTGGATGGGGAGATGTGGAAGAGAAGCAGAAAATTACCGTGGTACATGTTCAAATGCTGACTCGACGATCTCTACAGTCCCCAACGACGGTTGCTTGAACTTCATCGACGAGAACGACGAGGTTCTCCTTGCTGGTTTCGGTCGTAAGGGCAAGGCCAAGGGTGATATTCCCGGTGTTCGTTTCAAGGTCGTCAAGGTCTCTGGTGTCGGTCTGCTCGCTCTGTGGAAGGAGAAGAAGGAGAAGCCCCGTTCGTAAACAATATGTACGAAAGGAAATGGACGATGCCGTGGGATATTGGTTGCCGGGAAAGGGCCCCATTCCATCGAAGCCTGGGAACATATGGTCTATGGTCTGGAAAATTATGGTTCGGGACGGATGACCCTGCAAATACATTGCAGTCACTATGATTGAGATACTCATAAAACATGGCGCCATGATTTTTTATTTCTTTGGGAAGGGCCCGGAATGTCAAATGTTCAAACAATATCTACTTTCCCCTGTTCCCCACGATATTATGATCCGCCTCTCATGCTCGTAGTTTTTTACAAATGCAGTACCTAATGGTCGAACTTCAACCTGGATCTTTGTAACTTATGTTCCGGCCAATGAAACGGGCCTCGATACGCTAATAGACTGGGTTTACAGGTAAGCTTTATAGACTCCTTTCCGGGGTATCGACCGTTTCTATTCCCAACGCCTCTTATTTCCAAGGACTTTTCATGTGATGATTGAGCGTGATTTACTCTTTTGACCCCACAAATCATAAGCTTCGTATTTCCCCCCCTCTCTTCCTCTCTCAACGAACCATTATCACGCTTCACGAGGACCTAGAAGTTGATATCTTCCTTGCGGTAGTGGTCTGACACGATCCGGTACAGATAAGATGGCGCATGGCCGCCGCTATTGCAGGAAAACTTAGGGTCAGCGTGCTGCTTCTTGTAGGAAATCCAAGGAAGTGACTTACAGATTGGTAATGTAAAGATCAACCAGTTCCGGAGGAACATAGTCGTACAGAGGGTTCTGCACATCGACTTGGTCCATCAAATCCCCGTCCTCATACGGGATGACCTTGCTGGCATCTCCATATTCGATCAAAGACTCGAAGTCAAATGGATACACCGGACTGAGTTTGTATACACCGCTGACGACAACAACGGGGGTCTGATGCACCTTGGCAGCACGAGCAATGACCCGGGTCCCCGCTGCGGCCACCAGCCCGCCGTTGGCAAGGACAGAGTGCGTGCCCAGAATAACCTTGTTGACTCGGGACATGAGAGCAAAGACGGCTGAATCCGGGATTAGAATGACTGTAATGCCCAGGGCGATCAGCGGCTTCTGGAATGAATCGGTGCTGAGAATTTCTTCATCAGTGGAAGTGGCACCGCTAACGGTGGTGTGCGTCGCTTCATGATTGTTGGGGTAGGATTCCGCATGGATCACGGTGAACTTGCGCTTTGCGGCGGCCTTGAGAAGGAACTTCTGAACGGTTGTGGAGGAAGTATGGGTGAGGATTATTTCATTGGAATGGATGTGGTCGAGAGCATAGGCCGCGATTTGGTCGTCCACCTGGCCCAGTTCATCGATGATCTCTCCAATTCCGTCTAGGACTTCGGCGCGAATATCCCTGGTCGGAGCATGTCCCAGCAATCTACCGGATGGAGAAGCCGATGCGGGAGTACCGGGGAGCGATGTTTCAGGTTCCGGATGTGAGAGCAGATTGAACATTGAGATTGGGGTGGTGGCCAGTGAAGTGAAAGGTGGCCTTGAGGACGACCGCTCAGAGCCCTCGTGGCGGAGTGACAACGGATCGGATGGGTCTATTAAGCAGCGTTAGATATGAAAGTGATGATTACTAGTATAGGGCGAACGGCGTTTTACCGACCTTCTGGAACACGAGGCGTTTGAGGCTGACCTTCGGATCCAGCATCACTGAGAGTGAAATCACCATCTCTCTCGTCCTCAGCTTCGTCGCGGATGAGACCAAGTACACGTCGAACGATGTTTCCAACCACCATCTCTCTTGGTTGAGCAGCCACCAATCGCCTCCCCACACTCTGCACCCGTTCAATCAGCTTAGCTGCATCTGTCGTCCTGCAAGCTGAGATGACGCGGAGGAGAAGGTAAGCGGTCGCGGTAGCGCATGACCTGGAATGACGGATCTGTCTCCGCTTGAGAAGCCTGATATAACTGTTAGAACGGTAGCTCCTTGCGCAAAAGGTATGAGACGCCAGAAACGCACGATATCAGGTTGTCAATGGATGTGTCGATTGGAGTGGTCCTGAGAGACTTGAGAAAAGACGCCAGACCAGGCGTCAAAGCCGCGGAGGTAGATGGCATGGTTGTGTATGAAGGATCCGGTTGAGTTACAGTCAAGACTGCTCAGAGCATGGGTAATCGGACAATATCTTAGTGTCTTGATAGTCTCTTGGGCAGTAGTTAGCGGATTGAGTCACTAGGGTCGCACACAGATATTCTAAGACGGGCAATCGAGGGAATGCACTCAAAGAGTGAAGTGATACGAGAAAAGGAAAAGGCGCTTACCAGTGACAAGCCTTGTAATAAGCTCTTAAAGCTAGAAGCTCAACAGAGACTTGGCTCAAAATGACGATGAGGGGAACAATGTGGGATGCGATAGTAATATCTACCTATTGAGAGGGAGTTTTCCGCTCAGATCTGCCGCTCGGCCCAACCAGTGTCACTTCCGACTATGAACTCCGAGCTAAAGTACTACTTGCTACTACTACAACTATCTACCTACTCCACATCCTCGTCGCCATCTGCTGTTATATCGCCGTGTCTTATCCTAATCCTCTCTTCATTTCTTCCTTATTTCTTTCTGATACCCTTTCTCCGCTATATTTCTGGTTTCTTGAACGCATCCTCTGCTAGTTGCTCGCCAATAGGTAGTTCCCTTTATCGACTGCTCCGGCTTCTCCTCTTACTATTCCCAACCCCCCATTGTTGAGGTTGGAAAAGCGGAAGTCGTTCCGAAGCACGGGTCGTCGCCTGGCGCATTGAGGTGAGTACAAGTCGTATGTCATCCTCTTGTTGCCATGTCGCGAAGCCATGAGGTGAAGGGCAATCGAAAGTTCGCTGAGTTCGCCGTCGGTATCCTGTAGATAACTGCGCCAGCCCCGACTCCCGTGGGCCGTGTTGGAAGATGAACTCGTTGAATATCCTATCTTCCCGAGTCATTGGCCAGACATCCAATTCGAGTCGTCTCCGACAAAGGTCGCGCTCGCAAGGAGAAATCGGCCCCGTGGTCCCACCGGAGGATCGATCCAAGCTTCGGTCTTATAGTCACGACAATCTTCATTCGCCTGATGTATTGGAGAAAAGCCATAACAATACTCCCGGAATTTCTTCAGCGGACATAGACTACTCCGAACATATCTTGACTGAGAAGACACCTTTGATACAAAGCATTCAGAGAGATGGACCGCTTGCTACGAGGAGTACCCTGGGACTGATTGCAGAGCGTTTCTTTGACGCCATTGCGGAAACGATCAAGTTTATCTTATCAACTCTGGCTGCTCCGGGCGTGTTTATAGCGCAGTGCTTTCGAGACGATGATGGACATTACTCGCCAACGGCCCCGGTACGAAAGCTGCGGCGGTCAATGGCCGGCGTTTCCGCTTCCCGTAGGTCAACCTCGGCGAAGAAGGAACCCAAACCAACCGGTACAAGACGACGTAGTGGATCCACAAGAAAGCTGAGAAGTCACGTATCGCGAGATTCTATCGCATCGAGCACGTCTGAGTCGGAAGGAGATCGTCGGAGCACCCAGGGCCTCACGGGTACTCGGGCTCGAGCCTCGAAGTCGAAAACCACAGCCCTGGATCCGACTGAAGAAGAGGGTACCCCTCGCCGCTCTATCCGCATCAAGTTACATAATGAAGGTGCGCTGAAGCGAGAGAGGCAGCGCCGGACGCAAAGCGCAGATCTCGGTGCTACGCCGGAAACTGGTGCGGCCGGAGGACAAGGTGCTGTGAGTCCAGACACTCTCAAATCACCCACGTCGCCCTCCGTTCATAAAGTCACCAAATATCCTCATTCTCCGGTGCCTCCTCGGCCGCTGATTCCAGCTCGTCTACCTTCGTACACTGCCGCTCCCCGAAACTCACGCGCCCCTCAAAAGACCCTGGTACTGGACCTAGATGAGACTCTTATTCACTCCCTAGCCAAAGGCGGTCGCATGTCCAGCGGCCACATGGTTGAAGTCAAGCTTGCTACTCCCATGACTACTGCTCTAACCCCGGGTGGACCCCCGACTACATTAGGGCCGCAACATCCCATCCTCTACTACGTTCATAAACGGCCCAATTGCGACGACTTTTTACGAAAAGTATGCAAATGGTATAAGCTGGTTATTTTCACCGCCAGCGTCCAGGAATATGCGGACCCTGTCATCGACTGGCTCGAGCAGGAACGCAAGTACTTCCACGCACGATATTACCGCCAGCATTGCACGTTCCGCAATGGCGCATATATCAAGGACCTCAGTTCTGTGGAGCCTGACCTGAGCAAAGTGATGATCCTGGACAATAGCCCTATGAGTTACCTTTTTCACGAAGGTGCGTCGGTTGGATCCATATTTAATGCCTGTCTTTCGTTCATTCATATTCTGACTTGACCGTGTCTAGATAATGCTATACCAATTGAGGGCTGGATCAATGATCCCACAGACAACGGTTTGCTCAATCTCATCCCTATGCTTGAAGCTTTGCAGTATGTGACCGATGTGCGGGCATTTCTGGCACTGCGAAGAGGGGAAGGAGAAATATAAGCTGGAACAGCAATTAGGAAATGGACGCGGGAACAAACGGAGCAAAATGAAAATTATACAGGATTTTAAAGTTCTGGCACTGATATACTGCATTCTTACTCATTATTCTCATTCTTCCTGTAAAGCGAGCCGATTTCTATCAATGCCCATGATGAATGCCTAGCATTATTCATACCCCCCTGCCTGTGTTGTGCTTTCTTATGATTAAGTTACTTCCTCGTAATAATTAATTTGTCCTGCGTTCTCCTTCTATACTTGTCCTGTCTGCAGTTCGATTCCTTTCCTTTCCTGCGGTCCATGTCGTTCAGCGTTCTGATTCAAGTCTCGATGACGAGGAATATCAACTGTGGTATTTTCGGTATGTAGTACAGGCGGTGAAGAACTCAGTTGCTGTCTCGGCGCAAGAAGACTGGACTTGATCACTTAAGGAGCCCGCGTACGTACTTTACCACAAGGAAAGGAACTATTTACTGCATTGGTAAACTCGATCATTTTCAGGATTCGCCTTGGATAACGTGGTCCGGATCAATCATTCCCTAGTAATGCAAGGTCTAAATGTATCAAAAAGTGTCTATCAACCTTTCCATTTGATTTAGTGTATTGATGTGTAATCTATGAGTAGACAAATCTTGAATGGTCATTTATTCATGCTACAAGAGACAAGGAAGGAAACTGTGACATCGAACCTGATGTATCCTCCTCCATAGTTTACAAGCCCTTAGCCTGTTTAGCCTCTGTGAGGGCTTCCTTGAGCGCCGCGATAGCCTTGTCAATATCGTTGCGCGCAGGGTCTGTCACACTCACACCCATGTGTCCGAATCGGATGTACCTGGTGGCGACCTCCTTGTGCAGGCCGGCTGCGAAGATGACACCACGCTTCAACAGACCGGGAAGCACGTCTGCAGGAGTCAGGCCGTCGGGTAGGTAGATGGCCGTCATGGCGTGAGCCTGGCTCTCCGGCTGGGAGGCCAATTGACGCAGACCGAGCTCGGCAATGGCAGCCTTGACGCGGTCTGAAGCCTGGGCGTGGATAGCAAAGCGCTCGGCCATGGGGCGTGCGGTGATCTGAGACAGAGAAGTGTGCAAAGCGTGAACAAGCTGAGTGGGGGAGTGGCGAAGTAGGAAGGCTTGTTGTTCTCGTAGTTTTGCATGATTGGCATCCAGTTGGCGATTGAGGCAAAGTACGATGAGGGAGGGGTCTTGCGGGACTTGAAACGGTCGATGGCCCGGCCGGAGAGCATCAAGATACTGAGACCGGGAGGGCAGCCGATCGCCTTCTGACTGGCAGTCAGGACCACATCCAGGTCCCAATCATCAAAGGCAATCTCCTCGCATCCGACACTGCAAACTCCATCGACAACCACCAGGGTGTCGGGGCTGACCCGGCGAACAATCTCCGTGACGCGCTTGATGTCGCTGAGCACGCCGGTCGAGGTATCAACATGGGTAATAGTGATTATCTTGTAGGGCTTTTCCTTCAATGATTGCTCGATCTGCTCAAAGGACGGACGGTCGCCAATAGGTGCCTTGAGCTGTGTCGCGTGTGCGCCGTATGTCTCCAAGCAGGCAGCAAAGGAATCGGCAAAGTATCCGGTGTGCAGGACGAGCGCATTCTCGCCCTTCTCGATCAAGTTCGAAGCCACAACATCCCAGCCGAGTGTGCCACTGCCGGAAATGACGAATGGCTGTGCAGAGGGGTTGGTGGACTGGAAGAGTTTCCGAACCAGGGTCAAGGTCTCCCCAAAGACCTTGACGAAGGCGGGGCTGACATGGCTTTCACTAGAAGTATCGAGAGGACAGTTTTAGCAGGGGGATTGACAGCCATGATAGGAATCATGTTTCTCTTCGGTTGAGGCAGACTCCAGGGAGGGGAACTCACGCATAGTGGGACATAGACTGAAGGACAGCATCATCGAACTCGATGGGTCCTGGAATCAACAGGGTGGAGTGAGGGGCTTGGGACGACATTCTGGCAGCCGAGGAAGTGGATTGTGTCTGAGGCGTGGAAGGTAGAGAGGTGCGATCAAGAGGCTTATATTCGAGATCGTCGGGTTGGAGTGAATGTCTCTCGGTCGAGAAGGGAGTGTTAAGCTCAGGCAGCGGGAGACGCTGATCCAGATGTCTGGAGATCAGGCTCAAGCGCTGCGTCGTCTGCTTGGTCGCCAGGGTTCCGATGTCGTTCGGCTCTCGACGGGAGAGCCCGCGGGGTAAAGGATACCGGTTATGGAGGGGCTTTCACAAGCTCAAGCTCGTGGAAGTTGGGACTTTTTTGGGTTCGGGGATCACCGGGTTGGAGAATTGTCTCGCCAGGTATTATTGTTATTATCTGGTAGATATATATACCGGGTGGTAGAATATGACCACAATTGAACGGATTGGATCGCAAGTTTTATATAGGGATATATGAGGTCCCAATCCAGAGACTGTGTGCCCTTTTTTCGCCCTGAGTATTATTGAGCGTCCCAAAGAAATCTTTCTCCTTCTTTGCTCCGTATCGGCCGTAAAATTATTAGGGCATTTCGACTCGTCGATCGGGCGGAGCCTTCCGTCCTGCGATTACCTCCGTGACCCGTCCTGGTACGAAGTAGGTAGTCTAGATGAAGCTATTTTGACTTATATTCATAAACTGGGAGTCACGACATGATGATTGGAGCGTTCAAATCTGTTGAGACACTTGAGGCATAGAATGTCAATGATATTCGCCAGTTCAGGAGGTGCCTAAGGTTGTAAGCTTCGATTGGTACATCAAGGGTAGTTGTATTCAATTTTGGGCATTTTACGACTTATGTGGATGTCACTATTCAACCTTCAACGCAAAAACTACTCGTAGGTTGAGTATTGCCCATGTATCTCGTTCAATAGTATCTACTCTGTATAAAAATTACCCAAGCACAGTGGAATGAGACCACGCGCGGCATCGGCGCCAGGCGTCAAGGCATGGCCGCATATCTAAGCTTTCCCCGCGAAAGTACCTGCCTTAGGCTTACAGGCTTACCTTAACTTTGCCATCCCATCTAGATCTCCGGGTCCATATTATCACAACCCATCATCGATAACAGCCAACCAACTTCTGCCACTCTCTCGTCTTCTCGACCGCGGGTTCTCAACATTTCTTTCTTGTTTTGGAATGGGCCGTTGAACCCTTCGAAACCCCGCAATCCCCTCAATACAGGATGACATCCCGCCTGGTCCTGGTCATTGGTGACCTGTTTATTCCTGATAGAGCTCCGGTAAGTGGCTCCATCCCTCCCCCAATGATTAATTAGACATTGCGCTTACTTGCAATCGCTGCTGGATAGGATCTCCCAGCCAAGGTACACACTGTCGCTTTCACTCTACTTGATCATTGTCTTGGTTGACACAATTGCAGTTCCGGAAGCTTCTAACACCGGGGAAGATCGGTCAGATCCTATGTCTAGGCAACCTTACCGATAGGGAAACCTTTGAGTTTCTGCGCCAGGTTGCCCCCGACTTACAATTGGTCAAAGGCGATTTCGATGTCGATTCTCCTAACCTGCCCCTCTCCAAGGTGGTGACTCACGGTAGCCTCCGCATTGGCTTTACTCATGGCCATACCATCATTCCGCCGGGCGATGCCGATGCCCTCCTGATCGCGGCCCGCCAAATGGACGTAGATATCTTGCTGTGGGGAGGCACACATCGGTTCGAAGCCTTTGAAATGGAAGGCAGGTTCTTTGTGAATCCTGGAAGTGCCACAGGTGCTATGAGCACGGGTTACTGGCCAGAAGGCGAAGAACCCGTACCCAGCTTCTGTTTGATGGATGTGAGTATCCCGACCTTGCGTATACATATGCGCCGCTCATGGCCCTACCCGACGATTACTGATGAGGAGCAGATCCAAGGAGACGTATTGGTGTTGTATGTTTACCAGCTGAAGACGGATGCGAATGGGGTCGAGACTGTTGCGGTCGAGAAGGTTTCATTCCGCAAGAACAATATCCCATCCTCATGAGTCGACGTTTCACTTCTTAATGCGCTTGTATATATCCCATAGACATCCCTGATTACTACGCCCTTGTTCCACTTCATTGTCAGCTCTCTAGCGCTCCATAATCTGTTCTCTAATGCTGAAGCTAGCGTGAAAATACCTCAGTCAATGATCACTGAGATATGCTCTTTATGACTTTTACATTTGCTAGTATGGGTTGTCAGGGTGGACTATTACGGTCTATAGAGCTGTCGAACCTTGCGATCCTGGTTCACTACAAGTGATACTGCTGATTGATGCGACTTGGTACATCATAGGCGATGGATTCCCCTGTAAAATCTGACGTCTATACAGTGCTCTTCTGATCCGCAGATCTCTAGGAATTGATCAGAGGTCAAAAGATGCAAGATATATGATAAAAACCACACAAAATGAATATATAACCATGATCGTGACTCAGATGATGAGTAGCCAATGATTATCGTGGCTGCATATATTCCATGGTCTGAAGGCATTTTCAACCTGCCTCTCCGAACTATATCAGTATATGTCCAGAGCTTCTATCATTGAGGTTGGCTTCTTGAAGTTCACGGATGCTCAGATGGCAAATGCCGCTAAGCCGGAAAGAGCAGCGTCGCATTAACCCGGGTGCCGATCAACGAAGACATCACATTCGTTGGCTATTGCTCTGCTTGAGTGACAACCATTATAACAGTTTTGTTGTTGTGCGAAGGCTCTTTCTTTAACGGGACCAGGACTCTCCTGTGCTTCTGAATTCTTTCGTTCTCTATTTCTGGTCGGGTACTTTGTTCTTCCAAATTTCGACTTGCGGGCACTAGGCCAGACAAGTGGAACATCGTCATTGCTATCGACTTTTACTTTTTTGCGTTGTCAAAAGCGGAGGAAATCGGTTACCGCGACAAACCACTCAATATGGCTACGGAAGAGCAGGAGGTTAAGGATGAGCGTCTGGAAACTCATGAGGAAGGAGGGGACGATGAGGTAAGTCGAGCTGGAGCTGGAGATGGAGCTGGAGATGGAGCTGGAGATGGAGCTGGAGATGGAGCTTGACACCGACATCCCAGTTCTACACTACCCCTCTGATGGTCCATGTTCTCGTGGCATCGTCGCACATATGTGGTGTCCCTTGTCTCTTTCAAGCCATCCAGAGAAGCTAATTCAGCCGCTCCGAAATGTAGGAAGAGATTGCGGCAATGAAGAGACGGGTAGCCGAGATGGAATCCGAAGCAGCAAAGTTGCGGGAAATGCAAGCCACTCTTGATCAACAGTCCGAGAGTCTACGCGAGGACAAAGAGGAGATCGATGCTCGGAGTATTTTTGTTGGAAATGTGGATTACGGCGCTTCGCCCGAGGAAATCCAGGCGCATTTCCAGAGCTGCGGCTCCATCAATCGCGTTACCATCCTTCTGGATAAATTCACAGGCCAACCCAAGGGGTGCGTTATGCCTATCTCTCCGGGGAAAGATGGCAGCTGCCTGCGTCGCTGTCTTCTCTCTTGGATACCGACTCCTAAAATATGTAACATGGCTGCTGACTGCTGGTCCCTTCCTACAGATACGCCTACGTAGAATTCGCGGAGCCTAGTCTGGTCGCCCAGGCCCTTGTTCTGAACGAGAGTGTGTTCCGTGGCCGCAACTTGAAGGTCAGTGTCTACCTCCGTACATACCATCTTTTGTACGTTCTTTGCACGTTAGCTAACAATCATGATTAGGTTGTTCCCAAACGGACCAATCTGCCTGGTATGAGCAGCCGAGGCCGGGGACGCGGTGGCTTCCGTGGCGGCCGTGGCTTCTACCGCGGCGGGTTCCCTCCTCGCGGAGGCTATCGCGGCGGCGGTCGCGGTCGCGGTCGAGGCTATGCGCCATACTAGATGCGAGCAGACTGCTCCATTACCGTATAATGTCAAAACGACATTTGTTGTTGGGACGAGCTCCCCAGTGTGCAAGACTACTGAACTGCGGAATGGGGAATGAATGCATCAGAGGAGGCCGCTGTGGTACACTGGATTTTACGTGGGGATGGAACTCGCTCTCTGGTTTCAGGGTAGGGATCTCTTGGAGTTAGGGATTGGGATGCACTGTACGATAACCATCAACATACCACCATCGATGGAGGGATCTGATGGGTGGATCACCAAGATGGCTTCAATTTCTTTCTCGTTATTTTCTGTGATATCATTATATCGGATTATTGTCATGATCAGCCATTCGGGTCTATTTCAAAGTTTGGAGTCAACCAGCATATTTCCATTTCTGGGTCGTTGGCTCTGTCACCGAGATTGCTCTGATTCTGGTTGAACAATTATCTATGCGAATATGTGCTAGGGGTACAGCCATTGTTGGCAGGTGTCTAGATTTGCGTTGGACGCAGCACATAGACAGTGACTGCTGTCACTTGTCAGATGGCGCTATCTGTCGGAACGATGGGGCAAACCGGATGAGTAGTCTAGATAGGGATCATAATAGAGTCGGTGGACTGCCCCGCTGTTAAGAACGATCGGTGTCATGTCATACGTAAGGAAGTCCATATCAAGTCAAGATGCATGGCATAACTGGGAAATCTCATGGCAGAGTTTGGACCACATCTACCTACATAAATAAGCCGTGAATGGGATCGAAGTGTGGTGAATTCTTCACTGTTTCCGACTTTCTTCTGGAAAAACACAGGAGATTGGACCAGATAATTACCATTAAGGTATTATTATTGCTGTCAGTGGCCAGAGGAGATGTACTCATATACCTAAGTACTGACATTTGAGATTCGACCTGAGTAAGTAGATAGCCGCCCAAGCGATCTCCCCTGGTCATTCGGGGAGCCGATCTTGGAAGTCTCGAATGACTTTAAATAGAATCAGCTTGCTTGAGGATGAAGCAATGATCCCATATCTAGACAAGTGAAATAGAATCGAGTCATGACAGGAAGAATTTTCCAGACTAGTGCTCTCGGGCGCTCCTCTTTCTTTGCCACAGTATGTCCAAGAGTACAGCGTTGTCAACCGATCAAACCTATGTAATGATAATGGTGCTACCTAGAGACCAAGACTAGATGGGTATCAAGTATCTAGACTAGTTCACGAAGCATCAAATATCGGAATCGAATATCGACCAAGACAGCCGACCAAGCCAGCTCCGCTCACACCCGCCCAAAACCACTGGCTCAGTTCCATCACTTTCAATATTGATTCCATGTTCCCTTGAAAGTTGAAAGTTGCACCTCCCGCCGACCCCTCGCTACGTTTATTATTGGTTCCCAGACGCCAACGTCAGGACCGTTTAGTGCTTGCTCAGCCCCAAATTACTTAATACACGACGAGACAGGTACACCTAAGGAAGAGTGGAAAGTCCATCGCTGCGGGACCCAGAGAACTTGCCCGCGCCTCCATTCCAGCCTTAGTCTCTTCTTACTCTCGCTATCATCGAACTTTCGACCTCCTCTCCTCTGTCATCGCTTCAATAGAGCCTCTAAAGAAGAGGAACGTTGCGACTCTCGTTTCCCCCTTCTCCCTTCCCACTCCCATCCCACTCGTCGTCCTCCCCCTCCCTCCTCCGTCCCACGAACCTCCGCCCACTTTTCCACCACACGCGACCGCCAATCCCGCATCCATCGACGTCTGAGCTCGGTCCGGAAGAATCAAGTGCTAGTCATAAGGTCGTCCTGTGTGTGCCAAGCGGTGGATGCTCGCCGCGGATCTCTCTTTCGGCTCGCCCTGATCGGCCTTTTGCTTCCCAGAGGCGTTGAACTACCAGCACAGCATGGGTTCCAACCTGCCTGCGTAAGTTTCGCCCCTCCCTGCTTCGACTGGCATCCGAGAAGCGGATCGGCCTGCGTTGATTGTTCGCGAGGACGAGATACTAACGAGTAGATGCATTTATAGCCAGCCAAACCTTCGGCTCACAAGTAAGCTGCAACACAGTTCTTGCCCTGCATCATCCCGACTCTGTCGGAGTTGCATCCAAGGTGTTTTGCGATGGAAACTGACCTTGACTCTCGACAGTTATCGCGGCGGATGGGTTATACAAGCGCGATGTGTTCCGTATGTCTTGCATTCTTGCATTCTTGCAATATTGCTTGTGGTCCGAATATTAACTCGTGGTGCTTTCGCAGGATTCCCTGATCCGTTCGCTGTAGCCACAGTCGGTGGTGAGCAAACCCATACGACATCGGTGATCAAGAAGACACTGAACCCCTATTGGAATGAGATGTTTGATCTGTACGTCGCCTTGCATCTGCTGTTCAGATTGTAGCCGGTGCTGATTATCTTTATCCAGACGGGTCAACGAAGACAGTATACTCGCAATCCAGATTTTCGACCAGAAAAAATTCAAGAAGAAGGATCAGGGGTTCCTCGGTGTGATCAATGTGCGAATTGGAGATGTGATCGATTTACAGATGGGTGGTGATGGTGAGTCACTTCCAATTCGGCACACCTGCGACATCAATCGGCTAACCTTTCGTCTCTACTCCTCGAAACAGAAATGCTCACTCGGGATCTCAAGAAATCCAATGACAATCTGGTCGTACACGGCAAATTGATCATCAACCTATCTACGAACTTAAGCTCGCCGAATACCAATCAAGCTAATGGCCTGCATCGGTCACATGTTCAGTCATCAACATCCAGCGGCCTCGTCCCGCAAGTGGCCCTGTCGTCTTCGCATCCCGCCGCCAGTGGTACAGCTCCAGTCGATCCGTCCGCGTCGAATCCATCTCTTAATCCCCAGCGTGTTCCTTCCACTACCCGGCCATCAAGCACCGCCGCTCCCGCCACCGCAGCTGGGGCAGCCGCCAACAATAGCCATGGATCTCGCACCAATCTCAGCTCGTTCGAAGATAGTCAAGGTCGACTGCCAGCCGGCTGGGAGAGGCGAGAAGACAACTTGGGACGAACCTATTATGTGGACCACAACACAAGAACCACCACTTGGACGAGGCCGTCATCGAATTACAATGAGCATGCGCAACGGTCCCAGCGCGAAGCTAATATGCAACTTGAACGGAGAGCCCACCAAAGTCGAATGCTACCGGAGGATCGTACTGGCGCCAACTCACCTAATCTGCCGGAGAGCTCGCAGCAGGCCCACACCCCGCCGGCCGGGGGCAGCGCCAATGCTGTTTCTATGATGGCAACAGGAGCCACCACTGCAGGCACTGGCGAGCTTCCTCCCGGATGGGAGCAGCGGACGACCCCCGAGGGGCGACCATACTTTGTGGATCACAACACCCGTACCACGACATGGGTGGATCCGCGACGGCAGCAGTACATCCGGATGTATGGACAGAATGCCAATGGCACGAATACTACGATCCAACAGCAGCCGGTATCACAGCTGGGACCCCTGCCCAGTGGTTGGGAGATGCGGTTGACCAACACAGCGCGAGTGTACTTTGTCGACCACAACACCAAGACGACGACGTGGGACGACCCCCGCCTGCCATCGTCTCTGGACCAGGGTGTACCACAGTATAAGCGTGACTTCCGGCGCAAGCTGATTTACTTCCGTTCTCAGCCCGCTTTGCGGATCATGTCCGGACAGTGCCACGTCAAGGTGCGCCGGAACAATATCTTCGAGGACTCGTACGCCGAAATCATGCGGCAGAGTGCATCAGACTTGAAGAAGCGCTTGATGATCAAGTTTGATGGTGAAGACGGTCTCGACTACGGTGGTCTTTCTCGGTATGCACATTGTCTCGTGCTCGTGACTGATATGACCTGCATTTGCTGACGATTAACCTAGTGAATTCTTCTTCCTTCTCTCCCACGAAATGTTTAATCCGTTTTATTGCCTTTTCGAATACTCCGCACACGATAATTACACCCTACAGATTAATCCCCATTCGGGTGTGAACCCCGAGCATCTCAACTATTTCAAGTTCATTGGACGAGTCGTCGGACTTGCTATCTTCCACCGCCGTTTCCTCGATTCCTTCTTCATTGGTGCGTTCTACAAGATGATGCTTCGGAAGAAGGTTTCTCTCCAAGACATGGAGGGTGTTGACGAAGATCTCCACCGTAATCTCACATGGACTTTGTAAGTTATTCCGCCGGTATTCGGGGTGGTTCAGGGTTTCTAACAATCTACAGGGATAATGATATTGAAGGTGTTCTGGAGCTCACCTTCTCCGTTGATGACGAAAAGTTTGGTGAGCGTCGCACGATCGATCTCAAGCCCGGTGGCCGAGATATTCCTGTCACAAACGAGAACAAGGCAGAATATGTCGAGTAAGTTGCTATCTTCCATTGCCTCTGAATGCGGAGGACCATCAGGATAGAATCCACTAACGTGGTCTTTAGGCTGGTCACTGAGTGGAAGATTGTCAAGCGCGTTGAGGAGCAGTTCAACGCCTTCATGTCCGGCTTTAACGAGCTGATTCCCGCGGATCTGGTCAACGTTTTTGACGAACGTGAATTGGAGCTGTTGATCGGAGGTATTGCCGATATCGACGTCGATGACTGGAAGAAGCACACAGACTACCGTGGCTACCAGGAGTCAGACGAAGTCATCCAGAACTTCTGGAAGGTTGTCCGAAGCTGGGATGCTGAGCAGAAGTCGCGTCTTCTCCAATTCACCACTGGTACATCTCGTATTCCGGTCAACGGGTTCAAGGACCTCCAAGGCTCTGACGGGCCGAGACGGTTCACCATTGAAAAGTCTGGTGATCCGGCAGCATTACCCAAGTCCCACACATGGTATGTGAAATACCCGCTATCAACCCTCTTGTGATTTTTCTGTGTTCGCGAGCTGACGGCACTAGCTTCAATCGTCTTGACCTTCCTCCGTACAAATCGTACGAAACACTCGAACACAAGATGTCCATTGCCGTAGAGGAAACATTGGGTTTTGGACAGGAGTAGTCGCTTTCGATTTCGAACAAGACAAGCATTTCATCAAGAAACAGGATTATCCATGCATCCCTTGTTTTAGCATTGTGTCGCTCGCCTTGGGGTATGCGGCGTGATTCCAAGCGAGGCCAAAAATTGGGCGGGAAGTTTCCCATTCTTTGCATATGCAGATGCTGCAGGGTGTTTCCTTCACTACTATTCCTATCGCTCTTTGTCAAGCCATCGGTGCTATCTCGATTCCCTCCAATCGCTATTCTCTCGCTCGTTTCGTCTTCATATTCCCCATCTCCGCCTGACGAAGGTTTTTGTCTCATACAATGTGCTTGCTTGGAGAAGAACGTTATACCGTGGATTTGCACGCGGCTTCGGATTTTTTTCCCCCATACGAAACATGTTTTTTTTTCTTTTGCCGGCGCACCGTGTATATACTTGTGTATTATTTTGACTTATGGATACCGTGAAGCCAGAGACCATCCCTCGTCATTAAAAGGAACATGGTGCATTTGTCCGACAGTGTAGTAGATTAAAGCAGAATGCTCAAATGCGTAGCAACAGCTTTGCATCGGGATCCGTGGAACCGGTCGATGTGACCGGTCATGGTTAATCTGCCCGATTGGCACGCCTGGAAATGAGACCATTGAAGCTTCCACAGCAGATCACAGACAAGGGGACGTTCAAGAATAGTCCTCTTTGATCTATGAGGCTTGCAACCTAGATTTTTCACGCAACGATAGACTAGTCGCCCCTGAAACGACACAACACAACTACAAGCAGACACCATTCTCTGTCCGAGTCAAGCAGGCCTATCAGCTCCTTTGCCAAGGACTCTAGTGATTCCGCTTAGCATCGTATCGATGGCCCTAGGCCAGCCACACCCTTCAAAAGCTGGTAATGCTTACTGTGGCATTCTGAGACCTATGAAGCGCAACCCCAATCCATCACAATGTGACGCTTTGATATCTCCGGCTCATAGACTAGTCTGTCAATAGTGTCTCTGCTTCGCGGCTGTCATTGGTTGATCTCTTGTCCTGATGCACTGGTATTCTCCTGATTAGGGTGTGTAGGCGGATATTGAAACTTGCTGGTGAGGACCCTGAATCTGCTTCTTGTTGTACTGTGCTTATTTCTCTGTTCAACCTCGAATGATACTATATTTGATCGGTAGATTGGGGAATTGGGCCGACGTATCACAGGATGAGCGCACGCTGCATGTCTTAGGGATCTCTTCCTGCCGAGAGTTCTGGCAGGTGCTAGCTAGTATGTTGGATACTTAGACTACTCCATGTACAGTTTCACCCTTGCAGGGTCTGTTGCCCAATTTAGTCGTTCTGCACAAGCCGTGTGACCTGACCATGTCTTCTATTAAGTTCCTTACCTAGAACTTCTCACTACTCCCTTCTCTCTGTCTGTTGTTCCTCTGTCCGCTCTCTTCATCCTCCTTACGCTACCACTCACACTTCACAAGTGTCTGCCTCACCTTCCCCCTAATCCAGGATACTTGCACTGCTCAAGATGCGTTACTCCACCTCCGCAATCACTCTCCTCATCGCCTTCACCGGCTCCACTCTAGCGCAGCAGACGACTGCAGCAGCAGGCACTGGCTCTTCCTCCACGAAGCAATGCGCAGCCCAAAAGTACGTTCCATCAATCCTAGGCCAATTCCAAAACATACTAAGAAAACTACAGCATCGTCGACGCCTGTCTTGAGTCCATGAAGCCCCAGCTCGACGCCTGCGGCCCCAACGATTGGCAATGCCTCTGTGACCAGAGCATCAATGTCCTGACGTGAGTATATTCTTTATTTTCAGGGGTCTACACGACTAACGCAATTATAATGCAAAAGATGCTACAACAACTGCCCCGGCCACCCCGACAGCTTCGGCGCCGAACAGACCAAAACGTCCTACTGCAATGCGGCCCAGGCTTACTCCACTTCGAGCTCTTCGACGGCCACCGGTACGGCTACCAAGACGTCGTCTGCGACCCAGACGGCGGAGACGGCGGCTACCACGACTACCACTCCGTCTGGATTCTCGCCTACCCCGTCCACGGGTGCTGCGGCGGGGTTGGCTGTTGAGGGTGGAGGTTTGTTGGCTGCTGTCTTGGCTGGGTTTATTGCCTTGTAAGCTGGTACATCGCTAGCTGGGGATTGAGAGATGGGAAGCGCAACTAGGGGGTGGAGGGACTGGCAGAAAGTGGAATTTAATGGGTCATTGATAGGGAGCGATGCTGAGGAGCATGTACTATATTTGATCTCATTGAAGTAATCTGTAATATGCCATTTCTTTCAGAGAGAGAACATACGCAATTCACTCTGCATTAATCAGACTTACAAGTACATGAATTTCCATATCCCGGCATTATCATCCTCAAAAAGCGAAATAAAAGCTCATCGTCTTCTTTTCGAGCTTCTTTCCTCCCCCGCTTGAACATCCTGGTCAGACTTCCGTTTCGTCTCCTCAACTCCCTGAGCAGAAGCAGGGCCATCCTCAACGGAATAACCAGAGACATCATAATGCCTCAGCACAAACGCCACTTTCTCAACATCCGCACAGGAAACCCCCTCTGAAGACTGCGCAGCCAGTCTAGCCCGCAGCCGCCGCACAGCCTCCCAGAGCTGCCGGTACTCCTGCATGTTATACTTGACGTTGAGTTCGCCGTTCGGACGTATCCGCCTGGATACTCCGCCCTTCTTTGGCCCATCATCCTCGGCGGCGGCGTCAGCAGAAGAGGGAAACACACCACAGCAAAGCCAAAGAAAGACATCATCGCTGTAGAACGGCGCCACCGCCGTCGCGACAGACAGGATCAGCGAAGCCGTTGCGGGACCCACGCCGCGCAGCGGAGCGGTCAATGTCTCTAGGCTTTGTTTGGGGAATGCGCTGTCCGACTCCGACTCCTCCGCCTCTTCCTCTGCCTCTGTGACGTCCGCAGACACCAGATCGGCCATTGGATCTGATGCCGGGACAGTAGCGAACGCAGAGGCCGTCGTCCGGCGGACGAGAGCAGCCTGGTTCGAGCAGACCAGGCCGAGGAGCGTGGGACGGTAGACACCGTGTTTTCTATCACTGTCAATATCGCATGACAACATACGTCAAAAAGCTGAACTGATGCACATACAGCTTCCACTCCATCAACTGCACCAACTCATCTTTCTCTAGGTATCCGGAGACATTTGTCTTGGATTCTTTCCCTTCTGTAGCTGTAGCCTCAGCGGCAGCGGTGGCTCTCTCCCGCACCCGCGCTGGTAGTGTCTTGTACCGCAACTCGTCCAGAGCCAGGTACGCCCGGACTTGGTTGTCTATATACTTTTCCTCATCGGGTGTCAGAGTAGGCTGCGAGGCAGCAGAATCTGCTGCGTGTTTCTTTTCCTTTCTTCTCGTCTTCTTCTCTCGGGCTGTGGCTGCTTTGATGGCCCTTGCCGTCTCCTTGCGTCTTATCACCGTTTCTACGGTGGTAGGGTAGCGTGCAAGGAGATCACTGAACGTGTCAATGGTGATGAGTGAAGGAGAGAACTCGGCAAGTTCCTCTGTTTGGCCTTGGGGCTCTGTTTCTGCGTCACTTGGTGAGTTTTCACGTTCTGAGAGCGCCATGTTGCTGTTGTTGTCGTCAGGTAACAAAGTGTGGGGTTTACAAAAATATGTTTCAACCGCACAATCTCCCAACATCACAACGCGATTTCAATCCAATTCTTTTCCTCAAGTGCGACTCTACTGCTGTATTGATCCCAGAATATTGGTTTACCAGATTGATTTCCTAACTTCGCAATGGCTGGACTAACTAACCTACGCAGTGGTGACCAGAGCAAACTGTCTTCCTCTATTGATTCAAGATCCATCTGCTAAAGCATACTATAATCGTATCACCACACCAGAAAGGCTGAGAGACATTAAAACACAGGCACATGTTGCTAAAGACATGATTGTTGAAACCATCCGGCATCAGGCATCACCAGGACCGTAGTAGTGCTCTTAGAGAAGATCAACTTCAACGAAGAGATCGCAAGGCGATCCCGTACCACTTGAACTGACACATACGCCCGCACTCATCACAGAGAAGGAGAACACGCCATGGCAGAGAAAAAGAAAGAGGAGAGAGTTACACGATTACAAACACGCGAGGGTATCCGCTCCTTCTCATTTCTAGAACGGGGAAAAGCAAAAGAAGAGGAGAGAGGAAAAAGAGACCCGCACATGTCTAATGCTTGCGTCCACTGGATTTCTTCGAGGCATTTCTTTTGCCTTTAGCGGATCTGCTGTTCGGACTGACGAAGCTCACCCGCTTCTCATCTTTGCTCCGTTTCACGGGGCAATCGAAGCGGACATGACTCGGTCCTTCTTCTTCGTGCTACTTCGTCGGAGAGACCTCGACAAGGATTTCGAAGGATGGGCCGCACCGCTGCCCATGTCGGGATCTGACTTGGGCCCCGTGGTTGCCGGCGAGGCCGCAGCATCTTCGTCGTCTTCTACATCGATGTGGCTAAACTCTTCATCTTGGTCACCGGCCTCGGATGAGCTCGGCTCCGGGCTGTCAGATTCTGAGGCTGCTCCGTAGTCATCATCGTCGCTCACCAGACTTGGGGCTTGATTTGACTCCAAAGTGGTTGGACTCAATTCTTCCCGCAAGTCCTCCATGGCAGTTGACCTAGACACGGAAGACGCCGGTCCATAGGAAGACTGAAAGTATCCATGCAGAGATGGAGAGTGGTGATTTGTATTATCAAATCCCTTGCGGCTTCCGGGCCGCTGGGATGCGGTTTTAGATCCCGTCGTTCGCATCGACTGCCTAACTGCGCGATTCCCAAGGGGTTTCTGAGCTTGTGTCGCAGCGTCTACAGATGTCTCCGCTGGGTCATCTTCTGACTCGGCCTCCGAAGAATAAGCTTCGAGATCCATCGTCGTCTTCGCTTCGCCCACTAATTTATCCAGGTCTACCCCTACACCCCTGCGTTGCATAAGAGAGGAAAGATGTGGGGTATCAGGTGACCCGGTGAACGAGTTGCGATGGGAGGCTATCCCCCCTGCGGACGTAGTTCGCTTGCCTGCTTGGGAATGCATAGTCGGTGTCTCTACCGCAGACGATGCCCGTCGGCTGGCGACAGAGTGTCTTCGCGGGTTCGTAGTGTCACCGGAACCTTCCGGAACCGATGAGGGCGTCTTGGTTGATGGCTCGATTACATGCGCGGATCGAATAAGCGGGTGGACGAAGCCAGCCGCAGTTGCGCTGGGAGTTTCGTTCTTTCCAGGGACAACGGCACCTGCCTCATCTACCTCGACCGGCTCGCCTGAGGCCATCGCGGCGGCGTCGTGACTGGCAAAATTCCGGTTATGAGCGATGCGACAGTGGTTGATGAAGCCCTGAGTGCTCGAGAAATTGTCCCTCCGACAATCCAAGCAGATAAGCTTGACAAGCACACCGTCCGACTTTCGCCGGATAATCATAGGACCAGCCTTTTCTTTGGGTGTGGGATATCCACTGGGGAGGGATTGCAATCTGGCTCCGGCTGAGCCTCTTTGGGGACGAGATTTGCTGGAGAGATAGCCTCCATCGACAGGATTGCCACGAGTCGAACGACCCTCAGCCAGCGGAGTGCCGAGAGCGCCCGGAGTCAGGGGAGTCCCTGACTCGAGTTCGCCTCCGTCAAAGCGCGGATCGGGAATGAGCCATCGCGCATAATGTCGTGTATAAGGACCGTCTGTGACACCCCATGGAGCCGGGGATATCGGCGCCACACCATTTCCAGGAGCACGTACTGCCATACCTGTGCCGTTACTCACAGACTGCGACACGCCAGCGACGTGAGATCCGGGATATGGTATCTCGGCGCACCGGCGCAGTTGTTCCAGCGCAATCTGGCATTTTGCGATCTCCTGGTCGATCAAGCGCAGTTCATTGTGTTTTAACAGCACCTCCAAGCTCAGCTGCGCCTCTAATGTCTCTCGTAGCGTGTCCACGTCAATCTTGCGCGGAGCGGCCGTTTTATCGGCAGTGATGGAACTGGACGATGTCGAACTCTGGCGACGATGGGGCGACTTGGATGACTTTGATATGGAACTGTTGGAAGTACCATCTCCGAGGGATGCCGAATTTCGCGACACCGCAGGTTCGCCGTTTACCGTCGAAGAAAGGGTCTTCTTGCCGGAAAGCGAATTACTCGACGCGTCATCGGATCGTAACTTTGTCGCGACAGGAGCATCTTCGACAGCGGCCGCATCACTGGAATCGGACCGTTTGCGCTTCAGTTGGGGCAGTCCGATACTGTTGAGGCCCGGGGAAGCGCAGTGTGGCGAAATCGCAAGCATCTTGAGCTCCTCCGCCATCACCTTATTTCCTCCGAGAGCAGAGGACCAAGGAAGCAGCCGAAACATGCCATGCGAAATATGGTCGGATGCCAGGGTATTGATATGTCAGGTTGAGTGGCGGAAACTTTGCGACACGTCCAAAGTAGAAGCCACGGTAGTGATAGGAGGGGAAAAGGAAAGAAGAAAGGGGAGGAACCGCAAGAATAATATTAGACTAAACAAGAATAGACAGAATAGAAGAAGAGGAAAATAGGTGTAAATTTAGTAGTCTGCTGCGCGTTGAGGCCATGCACCGGTGCAGGCGAACGCAATCTAGATAGATAAGAGGGAACAAGGTAAAAGTGAATGGAGATGGGGTGGACGGATGTTGCGGATCAAAGGGATAAGAGGAATGGTTCTTGATTTTAGGACGTCGATTGGCGTTTGCGACCGTCAGAGCTTAGAGAGGAGCAGAGCAGACAAGCAAGGGGGGAAATCGGAAAGTGAGACGGGAAACCAGAGGAGAGCCCCGGGGAATAGGGACAAAGAAGGATAATAATTTAGGTAAATTACCAGAGATAAGAATCAAGTGTCAATCAAAGGACCTGTCAGGTTCTCAGCGACTCACATGCAGGACGAGAAAGGCGAGAAAACAGGCAGAAGGGGTAAGCTGAACTCAACCACGGCTTGAGATGAGGGAATACGGGGAATGATGACGCTGAAGGATGGACGATGGGTGGATGGATGGAGTGGGTTGAGGGTGGCGTAATCTATGATTAATAATAACAACAACAATGATATAACATCAAGAGCAATAATAAGAAGAGTAGAAACAAACAGCAACAAATAACTCAGAAATTCAGGAGTACTAGCTGCAGTATTGCAATTAGGACAGGGACCAGGAACAGACTCGAGCAACGGTCGGTTGGGTGACTTAGGTTGCAGTGTGATAAGAGTGACGAGAGTTACGATGGTTGATGGATAGATAGGCTGTCCAGGTACGGAATAGTTCCACTGACTGATGAGGAGAGAGTTTCAGACAAGAGGGAAGCCCCAGACTATTTCATAGAGTCGTAATAGTCGAAGACGGAATCGTGCTTCCAGAGTGACGGAAGGGAAGGGAGATGGCTGTGTAGTCTAAGAGATCTGTTGGGCTCTTGGGAGAAGAGGGGGAGGACCAGGAATGCGAATGGGAAATTGAGAAAGGGAATGGAGATCAGCTTAGCCGATTGATTGATTGATTGATTGATTGATTCAGATGGAACATGGAAGCACAAATACACAGCAGAGTACGGAGTAATAGCGCGGAGTCTGGAGTTTAGTGATCAGTTAGACTAGGCAGTTACAGTTATCTAGTCGTCCTCTTAGCAGTCAATAATAATAAAAATAAACCTACCTCAGAAGACAGACTTCAACCTGAGACATTATTATTGCTAACGTACCCAAAGAAAGTACGGAAAAACTCCGTAATTATTATTACTACTATTATTATTATTATCACACTTGTCACCCAGCTACCCAGTCGTCTCATCTTGTCTTTCACTGACAGCATCTTATGCCCAGATGCCTAGGTACAGGTAGCCACATATCTATTGTACAGCCTAACAGCCTAGATAGATAACAGGCGGTTGACTTGTTCCATAGTTCCCCGGGCAGGCTACAGCAGTCAGAAATAGTGACCTGTCAAATCAGATTACTTATAGTCCGATTTAGGGAAACAGGATACATTCCCAGTGGATCCTCTGATGTGATCCGAGGCCTGGACTGGCCCATATTATTCGACGCTGCTGCGCGGTCCAGCTTGGCTTCGGCTCATGAACTGGGTTAAAAGTACGGATTCAGGTTTGCTGACGGGCGACTCTTACTGGATATCAAGCAGTCGCATTCTGGAACAAAAGACTCGGCCTTTGTGTACCTTTACTTTACTGGAACCATGAGATAGACTACTCCATACTTACTTATCCGAGTACTATGTAGCTATCTACCTAGTAGGTAGAGAGGTAGAAAGCTTAGGTAGTCACTACTAAGGTGCCTCTTTATCTAAGGTACACTACAGCCTTACCCAGGCATGGTCAATCATAACGTAGGGATGCATCGCCACCGCAATCGCAACGAATCAAATTGCCGCCATGTCTACTACCTATCACAAATACCTTACTAGGATCTGATTTCATCTATGCATGTGCTGACAACGGCCATGGATGTATCTAATAAATTTGCTAGAGGCTCATTGGTTTGGCTTTGGGACTATATTTACCTGTCTACTGTATTAAAGTACCCTAAGAGGTCCATCACCAGATAGAGGAATATGAACACTAAGGTAACATTAACCGACTCAAAACTCTCCAGAGACGCAGATACTTGCTCGTGTCTGTGAACTCTGGAATGTTTCTCAGTGATAAGATTATCTCATAGTGCATAGATCGACCCCCGCATTACCATGATGTCTTTCCACCAGCTATTGCAGATCAGGCCCATATAAGCGAAGCAAGACACCCAAAGGCAACCAGACACTTCTCAAACAAGTGCTCGAGAATCCTGAGTACTCGAGCCGGTTCCAAGCGACTCTTCAGTCAAGAGATCGGTCTAATCCCAAGCTTGCACCATGATTATTGGATAGACGATGAAGCCGGCGTCCTTGCAACTCCGCATCCCACGCTCCACTGTCTACTATGCTCGACTACGCCAGCCAGATTCGTCTGAATATCTGCAGTGCACAACCGACATGTTTACAACAGAAGAAGTATCGAGGCTCAGTGATGAGGGTCAATGTTGCTCCATCACATCAGACGATGTGCCTAATCCTTCCACTGTACCGACCTCCGAACTCCGAACAGAATTTGCTTCAAAATGCTCATCAATTTCCAATTCCCACGGGCCAACTGGATGATCACCCGCTTCTGATGACAGGAAAATTCAGCCGGGGTCCTGGACGTTCTGGGAATTGCCGCCACATATGCAGCCTGGACAAGGCATGCTTGGAGGGCTGCCACTGGACGACAAAGTACAGAGACAATGAAACTGCTAATGCGCAGGGAAATAGGAAGATCACTTGAACCTCGAGACATCCCTTTAGGGAGAATATCTGAAGCGGACGAGCGAGAATCGTTTATGACACTGGACAAAGATTTCATGTAACAGACAATGTGCTTTCATCTCAAGAGACCTGCCACCTGAAGCCTCGACCATTCAGCGCACCCTCATTCGGAGTCCTTTGGCCGAAGCGGACATAGAAGGCGAGATCGAACCTCCAAGTTGAACATAAGATACATGCGGCGTAAAAACCAAAATCCTAGACAAGAAAATCTATAAAAGAGCTGGCCCACAGCTCTTGGCACATAAGGAGAAGTCGTCATCGTCCAGTTTGCTTGAACTTTTGTTGCAGTGTTATACAAAAACCAAGCGCGGAAGCATAGTTGGCTTATCGGTTGACCCAAAGAGGATGCGATGGGGGGACATTTACGGGCAGGAAAGAAAGATCGACCGGCACAAACCCGCAAGACGATCTTCAGTCCACCTTCATACGGAGGATGAAGTTGACCACGACAGCCGCCAGAAGCGACAATGCCAGAACAGTGGGACCGTACCGGTCGTCAATTCCACTCTGCCCACGTCGCCGAATACTCTGCGCCCGCCAGTGAAATGTGAAAAGAGCGTATAACATGGCTGCCATTGCGATGATCGTGAACAATCCGGCGGAGATGCGACCGACGCGGTCGCCAAAGTTGAGCAGGCCAACGGCTAGTCCGCCCAGGATCACCGTGAAGTTGAGCCACGAGAGAAAGGTACGTTCATTGGCGAAGAAGACCTTGGGTTCGACCCGGGTTGGCAGGGCGATTCGCTTGCCTGTATCGACGGGTGATGGGTAAGTACTAGGCGAACCAAAGTGATGACCCAGTTGCTACCATGACACATACCTGGAGCAGTCTGCAGTAGAGGTTGGCTCGACATTATCGGTGAATGTGAAAAGTTGCTAATAAATGGGAGAATGAAGGCAGATGGGAGTGCCAAGAGAGCTACCAAGGAAGGATTCAACGAGGAATAATTGATCAATGGTTGACAATATGTGTGTACGTGATCACTGATATCCTGCAGCTTATATGGTAGAATACAACTAGAAGAAAAGAATCGGTAAAAGAGGAAGACCGCACTGCCCGAAGGAAGCTATAATAATGGTCGCAAGCAGATAATATATGGGCGCTGGCTGGACTGATGTAACTAAGACAACTACGACAACTAAGAGGGCTGGACTGAGACTAATCGGGAGAAATACCCCTCCCGGGGTAGCACAAGCGGTCAAATGCTAGCTAAAAGGAGACTAGTGCGTGGCGCTGATGAAGCTTCTGCCCAATTCGACCGCCCAGGAGTCCCCACGTGCTCCATCTCTTTGCTGTGCTTTGATTGCCTGAGGCCTCGACATGGAATATCGTTCTGCCGTGTCCTTGTGGCGGTGACGGTTTGAGATAAAGTAGAGGCTAAGCTGTTTAAGGAATAGCTTGGCACAATTCATTGTCCAATCATCAACCGCCAAGCCACACCCATGATGCCACAGACTCCGATGTGGTCTCGTCCCCCAAACATCCATAGCAGAAAGCACAGCGGCTGTGACCTCCTAACCTTTTCACTTCTCCCTTTTTCTGCAGTGCTATCCATATCTGGTTATCTAAGTTTCCTGCGTATCTCTACCCCACCTGGTAAGCTTAAACTGGACCTGGATCCTGTCGATTGATTTGCTCGACTAGCTCCGACAGCGGTCTCATTCCCCCCGCAATCGCACCTCCAGCACTCGTCGTTACGCCGCATTCCTCGACCTGCACCGCGGTTTATAGGCTCCCGAAGTGATATACCTGCTGACTATAGCGCTTTAGCTCAGGTATCGCGATTGTGAACGCCTTCTACACGAAACTCATATACAATGGCTGTCGAGAAGGGACCTGTTTCTGTGCGTGACCGACCCTATCTATCTTAGCAGCAGCATCTGCGACGCTCCGCATCGAATTTATCTTCCATTCGAATATTAAACTTTTAGTCGCTGATACTGACTGTCATTTTCTCTATCTTTTAGCCCATACCCATCTCGGAGCTCACCAAGATCGCCACAGATGTACGTTGGTTGCCTCTTCCACTCCGTCAATAGTAGCCATTGTGATCGACTTGCATACCTTACGTTAGCGAAGATCTCAACTTGCGCATTATACTTGTACTGACAGGTCGATCCAAGGCTTGTGATGCGGCCCTGAAGAGCGCCGAGGGTTACGAGCACGCCAAGGTTGGCGAATGGAATTCCCAGATCATTGTGAGTATCAACCTGCGGCAAATGATGTGCCTTCAGGCACGTTGACTACCAAAAGCATGTCTGATTTATAATCCTTTGATTCGATAGAGCACTATCCTCAAGGCCCTCATTGCAGCTACCGCACCAGAGTCTCCCGCGACATCACCTCCATACCGGTTCACCGTCAACAGCACCATCGTTCAACAAGGCTTGATCGATAAGTCTTCCGCAGCAGACGGGGCCGTCAGCAATGCCGGTAAGCGTGGTATGCACTCTGCCTCAGGCGCCTTCTGGGACGTCAACCGTGATGGAATGTGGACATTCAAGTACCCCGGGGCTGAAGAGCGGGGCCTCGATGTCGTTGTCAGTGTGACATGGTTTGCTCTGGGCTAGTCTCATTCAGATCAAGAAATTTATAAAATGAAAGAAAGGAAGACCCCAATTTTGTTTGAAGCTTTTGAAAGCTCAACGTTTTGTTCTGATGTGACTTCCATTTCATCTTTATTTCTTCTACGACTGTGCGGTTGTGTTCGCATGCCTTCGCCTGTTATATGTTCCCAGAGGCTTGATGTACAAGAACAATGTTGATTACGATATCCCTTAGTTCAAGAATTGCCGCAATTTGTATCAGCACTTCAGGTGCCGAGACCTGTAGAAGTTAACTCTCCAACACGCTAGGGTGGAAGAAGTCTCGAGAGACAAGCAAAGAGGTTAAAAAGGTTGCACCAGCGAATGCATTCAACCAATCGTGTCTTCAAATTCAATGCCAGTTAAAAACCGCCCAGTTTCATGAGTAAATAATGAAGAAGGCCGAGGAAAGATAATTAGAATGGATAAGCTAAGGGGGACAACCGAACACCGTACGTAGCGGTAGTAAAAGCTTTCCTTCTCCCAAGACCAGGCGCCATGCTAACCAAGGAACAAGTGAATCAATCGAGACAAAAGACAAAACAGATCATGAACATGGACATGTAGTGACATGCATGCGAATCCCGGAATTTCCTGGGCTACTCTACCCAACCTCAACGGGGCTCCGAATAGTCGTTCAGTGCGACACATACCGCCCCGCGGTGATGCCCGCTGTATTGACGAATGATTTGACCCGAAGCCAGCTCCCACAGACGCGCATAGTGATCACTCGAAACTGTGACAAGATAGGCGGAATCTGCAGAGAACGCGCAATCCCACACCCAGCGCTGATGATTGGCTAATGTGGTCTCTAGAAACGGCGTCCCGGTAGTCATATCCATGGGAGGTCCATCCGGTTGCACCGGGAAAGTCTGCTGCGGCTCCGGATTCGCAGGAGCATTTCCCCTGATGTAGGTAATCGGGTTCAACTCCCCGCTTCTTCCCAGGTCAGCGCCAACGTGAAGGTCCTGGACTTTGGGCGATGTCGGGGAGGCAACGGGATCTTTCGCTACAGGCTCTTTGGCTTCCGGCGCAGGCGACTCATTGCCGTTGGCTCTGGCCTTGGCTGCTGTTATCGCTGCCATCTTGGCGGGGGGGAAGTCCGGATCGAGATTCCAGACCTTAGCGGTATGGTCGGCGGAGCAAGTCGCCAAATGCTTGACGTCAGGAGAAAGGAGAACCCGTGTGAGATAGTCTTTGTGAGCTTGGAAGGTGCAGATTGGGACGATACGAGTCAATTCGGCGTCCTGGATCATGCGCCAGATGTAGACATTGCCCTAGAGCCAAGTGCTCATTAGCTAACGACGCTAAGAACCACCAAGTTCAGCGCGTTACCTTTTTATTCCCTGCACAAAGAAGAGAGCCATCGCTTGCGACACTAACACTCTGCACAGCAACGTCCTCCTCAGGAATGAGTTGATGTGTGCAGACGCTCTCCCCCAGATCCCAAACCCTGACGATACCCGCTCGGTCACCGCTAATTAGCTCACCCTGATTGGGGTGGATCACCACGTCATTGACTGGAGATTTATGTGCATAATTGCGCTGCAAGCTTCCAGTACGAGTGTCCCATACTTTCACCGTCCCGTCCTCAGAGCTGGTAACCATCCACTTCCCCTCACAATGGAATGCGACCCCCGTGATGTTGTTCGTGTGACCGTCAAATGTCATGACTGGATTCGGATTGGTTGATTTGATATCATAGAGCTTGACATTGTTGTGTCCCGCGGCCGCTAGGTAGCGCTTGTCGGGAGTGATGCAGAGACGATTAACCTGAGAGTCAGGGTGCTGAATTGTTCGCGAACATATTCCTGAGAGGGCCTCCCAAAATCTATTCCGAACAGATCAGCGCACAATTTCCCAAAGAACCAGGCAGCACCAGAAAGTATTCGCGTCGCCTACCGAATAGTATGATCATAACCCGCTACAACATCCCACAACAACTACGTCAGTCATGCAGCTTCGACAGAGAGTGAGATTGACATCTTCCCAAGCCATACTTACCAGTACAAAGAATGACGCTCATTATGAGTAAGATACAACAATGTGAGACTCTAAATTCTTCGAGGATGTTGGATGATTGAGAGTCCTCGTTGGGTAGTTGCGGGTGAGGGGAGAAGTAAAGTATTGGGATGTTAAGAGATACCTAGACTAGGTACTCTTCCTGCCGGCCTATACCCACCGATTGCAATCCTGATTGGGGTTAGTGCAACAGCTCATGGAGAGCGCACGTGAGCGGTTGTATAGGCGGTGAACAAGGCGGAACGCCATTACCAGATTGGAAAAAAGCAGTGATTGTTCTGTTGCAGCTTCACTTTTACAACATCTTTCCGCCTCCATATTGTCGTATATCCCTCCAGGTTTCTTAACCCTATTCGATCTATGCGAAGGACTGCGGCCTCTTTTACCTTGCTTCTGCGCATACCGAACTCTGCTTGCCCTGGTTGCCGTTTATTACACGCCCAAAATGACCCTGGCTCTCCTTGCTTGATTGTCAGAGTCTGATTTAGTTGAGTCGACTTCATCGGACTCGAACTCACCTGATCGTTCTATCCCGAGTATCGCTTGTTTTCTCGTTCTCTACTAGCAGTACCTTGCATATCTCGCTAGATGGTCCTTGTCTTACCAGTCAGCTGTTGTATGATCGAGCAGTGCCCTCTGGCATAGTCATCCGTGTTTAGCTGTGCACAACAAGAGTGGCACAAGCGGCTGAACACCACAGACTACGGCTACCCGGCGTGAGCGTACGCATCTGGTCTCTGTTCAACAGTAGCCTTCATCAGTTCTTATGTGGTACGGTGTTCTCTGTTCTTTTTCTGTTCATTTTGCTTTGCTCGCCACATCACTTACGCCTCGGCGACGTCAGTGCCTCGCAACTTCAATATCCGCCGCATGAAACCAACGGATAAGTTTTGAGATACCGCTCCAGCAGCTCATACCTGTGGTATTCCGTGCTACCCTGGTTTTGACTTCCGGTTGTCTTGGGCTTTCTGAGGTCGAGATGGAAGGAAGCGTGGCTGAAGGTATTTATACCTCTCTCCCGACCTGCCCTCTATTTTCGCAACCATATGACTCTCAGAGCCTTTTTGCTCCTGAGGATCTGCCAACTCCCCCATCTTACCATGATATGCATGTGAATGATCTGGGGCTTACACCTCCCCCTGGGTCGCAGCTGCTACAACCTACCAATGTCACTCGACCGGACCCCTTGCATGACGAGCACGGTTCATCCAACGGAGATGCGAGGATATCTATGGCCGGTCAGCCCGCAGGGTCGAACCACGATGATCAGACGAGAGGCTCACGCAAGGGCACGCCCGACGACCCGTCTCTGTTGAGACAGGGACGTTCATCGAACAACGAAGTTGGGCCATCTTTTCCTGATAGCCCAGCCGCCAGTCCAGTCAGGTCGATTGAGGTTGCCACAAATGCCGCAGCGCAGACCAGACCTCCACAGCCCTTGAACTCGAACATTACGCCAAATGCAGACGATCTGCTCTACGATCCTCTCTTTGGTCCCGACTTTGTGTTGCCCAATTTCGACGCGAATTCTTCTTTGAAACGAACCGCCGACGAAGCCTTGGCTGATGATTTCCAATTGTGGCACAGGCCTGAAAAACAACTGATGCCGGATTCACTACAAGGCTCCAGTGCTCCTTCTCTGAATGCAACGCCGTCTCTCTCCTCGCCTGACACTATTCAGTTGGATCATTTTGAAACAGTGCCCAATACGCCAGGCGGTATTGCAGACTCGCAAATACCCGCGCCTCATTTTGATCTTTTTGATCCTCTATTTGAAGATCCTGCCTTCCACATTCCACCGGACCTGTCGGGAATTGAGTTTTCTTCTGAGAATAGACCAGCACCTTACTCTGCAGACGCGGAGCCTTCGTATGATGCGTCTCGTCGCCCGAGCTTCAATGTCCAGGTGCAAGCCGCTGACCCTGTGACTTTCGATCACGAGACTGAGGTCGTATCGCTTCCCACAAGTGAATTGACCAAGCGACAGTTCTCTCTGGATACCCAAGATGTTCTTGCCAACGCCGACCGTGAGACTCTGCAGCGAGTTGATCATGTACCTAAATACACATCTCCATATCCGACGTACCATGGGCCTTTGGGGTATCTTCCCTCAGCTCCGGGAATTCACGTCAAGTGCATTCAGGTCGCCAACGACCAAGTCAACGCCCGTTTTTCGCACCTTAGATACAAAGTCCAACAACTCAAATACGAAAGAGACAAATACAGGGATGCGTGGTCTAAATGGACAGCGCTGGAAGCATCAACAGGGAAGTCAAGGGCACAGATACTCGAGGAGGAAAACGCGACGCTGCGGCGCGTGTCCACCCAACACCAAAGAAGAGCGGAGCAGTACAAGCAAGAAATAGAGGTCTGGAAAGGCAGACTGCATGATCTCAGTGTTATATACAACAACCTCCTCTACGAGATCCAGATTCAGAAGAGAATGCCTGCCGTGGCCCCCATTCCGCGCGAGTACCGGCCCCGGTATCCACCACAGGCTGCTACACATCCGCAATATGTTGCACCCGGTGAGCAGCTTGCGAGCACTCCTTATATCCCGGTGCCTCATCAAAATCCGCCTCCCACCAATTCTCCGCCTAGTGGCATCACACCTGGATCAGTGCAACACCCCGCTCCGGCAGAGCCACAGCCAGAAACGGTGACTATTGATCTTACTGACGAAGCGCCCAACATCACACCCAATCCAGCTTCGATAGCTCCATTGAAGCCCGCGGAGGAAAGCGGGGAGCTTCTTCAATCATTGCAGAAAAAGAAGTACAACTGGCTCGAAACAGCGAGATCAGGTTCCGCACAGCCTGCGGTAGCTCGAGCAGGACCTCGACCTCCGCTACGCTCGGAATCCGCGCCTCGAGCCTCCCGCGCCACGCTCAAGTAGCAATCAGCCGCCCAGCATACCTCCTCCCGAGATTCAGGCGGCAAGCAGTACTAATCATGACGATGAAATGGATGTCGAGGACGATCTACTTCACGAGATGGAGGAGGAGCTGGCGCGAGGCTGAACAATTGTACGTTTCAATACCCATGTCATTGTTACGGTGACACTGCATATTTGATCTTCTGTCGAAGCGTTCATGCGATACACCATGTCCAACAGATCTTGGAGGGTCCTCATGCATAGCCCAGATCAGAGTTACACTTGCATATTGTAGACTAGTCAGTACTTGATGAATTAAAGGGACATCAGCACATCGTTGCTAGAATAATTCTATTCCGAAATTAAAGTCTAATAATCTATCAACTCGGCTCAAAATGCAGAGATATCTATGGGCAAGACAAACAATCCCCTTTTGGATCTGGTAACTAAGCAATTATGCCAATCGTTATGCGGCCGTAAGATTCATGAATGTTCAGCAAAAAGTTAAATCCAAAATCGGTACCCGCTCCAGAAAATAGAGAATAGATCACCATTTATATATCGCCTAAAGATGTGACACATGGTCTTTGTGTGCTCGTGGGGATTGTCCGGGCCTGACGCGCTCGTTGCAACGAATAGTCCATATCTCACCGTAGCTGATCAGGATGGCGTACATAACGGCTCGAGATAATGATGATGTGTAAGGTAAAAAGGTCTCGTATATGTACAAGGTATCGAGTCGATTATTGACACTTGTTGGAGCATCTCACTGCCAGTTTGGACCGGGAAATTGGTGAATGAACGAATCGACCGGCTGAGGTGCTCTCCGCTTATAACCCCGCGCTGACCGACACAAAGGCCGAATCAGAGAGAGATATTCCGTTCCCAGTAAGGTCCAAGCGAGAAACCTAGGAGGAAGCGACGAAGGTTTTAACCCCGACGTGAAAGAGCTAAGGGGAGAGTCCCAGTTCAACCTGTTACGGTCGTCGCAGGACTATGGGGGCTGTCCTTCTCGTTTAAAGCCCCTCCTTCTGTCTTCTTAATGGACTTGAGCTCTTTCCGGGCCTTGCGGCCGCCGCAACAAGCAGCACAGCATGAACCAAGCTCAAAGATGAAACCCAGGAGATTGAATGCCGACGCAATCCACATGAACGCCATCATCCGGGAACCCAATTCGGCACCTATGTTGAGATCGTATCCAGACGATGTGAAGACGTTCTTGAAGATGCTGAACATGACCGTGGCAACGACTGATGCAACAATGGTGAAGAGAGCGGCGAGGAAAGTAAGAATGAGAAAAGGAAAGGCCCGAAGGAAAACGAAGGTGCGCCGCCGGTGCGGAGGGTGCAATTCGTTGACATTAGGATCAGGCGAGATTGCCTGAGGAGGACGAGAGGAGACCGCAAATGGAGCGAGGAATATCAGGATGAAGGTCAGGACAGTGGCTGTGATGAAGAGACCAAACATCCAGTGAGAAGCGAGGCGAGCGATTTTGAGGGCATCGGTGATATCACTTGGGAGCGCAACTATGGGCGAGAGGAGGAGAAACTGACGTTAACATTGCATATTCGATAAATAACAGTTTGAGATGGAGAGGGATGACCTACTGGTAGCCCCCGCTAACAGCTCACTCAGGATGATCTTGACAGGGTTGAACCAATATAGGGCTTTTGGATTGGAGCAGCGTGTGATCCCGGAGTCCATATATCCTTCGCAGAAACCCCATAGTCCCACCTGGTAGAAGTCATGAAGACCGATAGTTCTGGCAATACTGTTTATGAGAACGGCGTTTGGGACGGACAAAGGAACGATGTTTGATAGATCGATCTTGAGAAAGTAGATCTGTCGGAGAACCGGTTTGTCGGAAACATTGCCAATGACGACCAGAAGCAAGAAAACCCAGGCTATCAGATAGAATAAAGAGCGTATGATCCGATGCCAACGCACCGTCGACCGGGACCGGCCGTACACCGGCCGTTCTGATCGTCTCTGGAACGTTGGTAGCTTTGCCATGGAATGAGTATAGAGCTTTGGGGAAGACGGATCAAGCGGGTGATTGCTAGGAGTCCTGAGGATCGGGATTGAGAAGAATATATCAAAGCAACTTTAACGCGGATGGGAATAATAATCAGAAATATCTATATGATTGTAGAAGCCCAATGATGGCAGAGCTAGTCCAGGGACGTAGGATGAATGACGTTAGACATCGATAGAGACAGGCGATAAGTAGTAGTCAATACGGAGTGTCCGGATCCCCAGAAGGCAAGGAAACAATCAAGGAGAACGAGAATGATGCTGAGTGGAAGATTGATAGTAAAGAGATACTGTGTAGTCTAGGAGAGAATAAGAATTGAGACGGAGACGGAGGGATAGTAGATTTTCAGCATCGATCTCAAGAGAAGGGAACTTGACGGATGAAGAGCGTCAAGGCGACCACGGAGTAGGGAGTTGACCCACTTGAGACATCAGTTTGCCATCAGTCTAGTCTGGTAGATCGATACCGGGCAGTTAAGCCAGGAAAGCCTTAATGTCTCGTACGCACTACGTCGTGACTCGTAACTCGGTGGAAAGGGTGCAGGCAGGGAGGTTTCAGAGTGGGTAGGTAAAAAAGAAAAAGAGGCCATGAGGGAGGCTGTGGCAGTGGATAGGTAGCTATATTGGTTTAGACCAATAATATTATGAAGTACTACTGTCTATCTGTCAATCAATATCCCTTTTTCTGAGCTGAGAAATTCCACTTCGTCAGCGATCTTCAAATTACCGCCAGTGATCAAAGTCAATTGGCACGGCCCGGTAGTTACGCTATGCTATCATCATGGATCTGTTGATCGCACTGACAAGAGGAGTGGCGCCATCCAGACAGGATAACCCGAATAACTCCTACATCGGATATAGCTGAACATTCCCTTAATGCCTCTGTGTTGGGCCTCTAAGTAAGGTAGGGTCTACTCTGCACTCCAGAGTAAGCGGTCAAAATCTCAAAATCTCAGTAATTGGATATGACGGTCTGGACTGTTGAGCAACATGACTGGCACACCAATGCAAGTACCCTTTATTCGTTTGTAATTGTTCATTGGCCCAAGAAATGCAATCAACGTCATTGAGCTCCGAAGAGCCCCACTACATGGATCCTGTTTTCCAGTTGCCTAATGCAGAACCATCTATGATTGGGTACTATTTCAATATATCCACTAAGTAGCGCCACGATCTGCCTGGGATCAGCCACTGATTATCCAGTGGCTTGCAAGTGGGTCCTTCCTCATTAATGCTCCTTTAGGCTTCGGATGCCTGGTTTAGCTTTTTTAAAATAACGGATATCTAGTCCCAGGCATCTCTCGGTACTGGTAGGGTAAGGCACCTTGACACTACGTCAACCTCTGGATGTTCGTTACAGGTATGATACCTACCTAAACTTACCTTACCACACCCTCTCTTTCTCTCCCTGCTTCTCCTGTTGACCTCTCAAACCGTCGACTGACGGATTCTGGGGGCCGGACTCTGAAGAGCTCATTCATTCGGTAGGGCGATACAACGAGTTGATTGCAAACTCAGTTTATAGCCTTTAACACTGAGATAGAACGACCTATATGATCTGATTTCAGTTTCCAGCCTGTCCGAACCACATCGTCCCTCGCAGCAACAATGCAGTTGTTAACTTGTTGGCTGCCACTGTTGGTGGCAGCAGCCATTCCTCTGACGCTGGCTGCAAAAGATACCTCTGCTACTAGCACCACAACAGCGACCAATGCTCTCTTCACCATCACAGGAACAATCACAGACCATGTCAGCGATGCAACTTTGCCTACCGGCACTTATCTCTCCTATACTTCCACTCTCACTCTTTCCACCGACAGCGATGGCAAAGTCCTCTCCTCGACCGCTGCGATTAACGCTACCGCTGTTGGTAATTCGACCATTCATACCACTTCCACAGATACAATGACGAGATTGGTCGGCAATGCCACGGCGAATGCCACTATGACTGCGTCGGCGTCGGCTTCGGCATCTCCCGTTGTCAACACTCAGCCTTGCAATGGCCATCCCGAATTCTGCGCTCGCAAGTACTCAAACATCACCATGGTGGCCGCTCACAACAGTCCCTTTGTGAAACCAGGCAATGCTGCTGCGAACCAAGCGTTGGAGGTGGTCAGTCAATTGAACGACGGTATCCGAATGCGTACGTACTCTTGAAGAACATGTCCTTGGCGAGAGACCGACTGCTAACCTGATACACGGGACCCGTGCAGTGCAATTTCAGACTCACTATGAAAACGGCACCATGTATCTCTGTCATACCAGTTGTGATCTACTCTACGCGGGCACCCTGACTGAGTATCTCACTGAGGTCACCCAATGGATACGACAGCATCCGTACGACGTGGTCACCATTCTGATTGGGAACTACGACTATGCCGCACCGGGAAATTTCTCCAAGCCGATCGAGGACTCGGGCCTGTTAGATCTGGTCTATACGCCTCCGAAGATTCCCATGGCCCTGGACGACTGGCCAACCTTGTCGACCATGATCCTGTCCGGCAAGAGAGCCGTCGTGCTTATGGACTATCAAGCCAACCAAACTGCTCTTCCGTGGCTTATGGACGAATTTTCCCAAATGTGGGAGACGCCCTTCTCGCCAACCGACCCGACTTTCCCCTGCACCGTTCAGCGTCCCCCCGGTCTCTCAAATGAGGATTCTCATAATCGCCTGTACATGGCCAACCACAACTTGAACGTCCAGATCAACGTTGCAAATATCGATCTGCTCATCCCCAACACTGCGGAATTGAACCAGACGAATGCCGTGTCCGGACCGGGTAGTCTTGGACGGATGGCCGAGAACTGCACTAGTAAGTTCTTCTCATGCTTGTCAAGTCGCTACAAGGAAAAGATGTCCGTCTCTAACCTGTTAATAGCCATGTGGAATCGACCCCCCAACTTCCTCCTCGTCGACTACTACAACTATGGCAACTTCAATGGCTCTGTTTTCGAAGTAGCAGCCCAGATGAACAACGTTACCTACAACGGCGAATGCTGTGGATCCACTTCAGCTGCTCCTAGCTTGATGCCGGCAGGGAGCCTGTGGAGCGCGCTGTTAGTTGTTGCAGGTGTTCATTTGTTCGCCTCGATCTTCTAACTTGAGGTTTGGACTTCACTGTATTCACCATCACCACATAGACTTCGGCTTTTTGTCTACTTGAGTGCGTCTGGAGTTGTGGGTTGCCATTTACATTGAGCATTATCTTTCATGATGATATGACTGCATCGATACATTCGACATTGTACATATGTTTGTTCATATAGCATCCTTCCTCTACACAGGAGTATATTTAGGCATAGAAATAGGGATTGTTTTGCATCATGATCCTCAAGATGGATCTGACTGCTATATGAGAACAATGGGAATGGGTCATCTGCACATATGTTTGAGTGAACTTCATATACATTCGCCTGAACAATAGAGGGCGCTATGTGTTGTCGGAAACGGATCTGTTGATGCATATCCATTGGCTGTTCGAGTAGGGTTTAGCGCGCTCCAACCACATGATTTCCGGTTCTCAGTCATCATTATCAGTCTGCCATTGTTCCAGCTCCGCACCCATTCAAGCCCAATTTCCATTCGGTCAAAGGCAGGCAGTCCCAATTGGCCTCTATATAACTGCCAGATCGCTTGAAATTCGGCCAGAGTACCCGGAACCTCCCGTACACCACCAACATCCGAAACCCGCAGCAAACCAAGCCGAAATCGAAAATGGTCGACATCGTCCCCCTCTCGTCCTACCCCTCGTACATCGACCTCCTCCCCTCCATCCAAACCTGCAACATCACCAACCTCCCCGAAAACTACTTTCTGAAATACTACCTCTACCATGCCCTGACCTGGCCGCAACTGAGCTTCGTGGCCGTCGTGCGGCCCCGCAATGGCTACTCGAAACACAAGGGCGGTGCCGCAGGCACATCAGGCACAGGCACAGGCACCGCCGACCTCTCCGGGCAGTATCCCAAGGTGGTCGGGTACGTGCTTGCGAAGATGGAGGAGGAGCCGACGGACGGGGTGCAGCACGGGCATATCACGAGTTTGAGTGTGATGCGGACGCATCGCCGGTTGGGTATTGCCGAGAGATTGATGAGGATGAGTCGTATGTTTCCCCCTGCCCCGTGCTTTCGTTCTCCCCCTTTCAAGTTTCATGTTCATGACTGACGGCGTTTGATTGGGAATAAAGAACGCGCTATGGCCGAGTCTCATCGCGCCAGTTACGTTTCGCTGCATGTGCGTGTCTCCAACACTGCCGCCCTGCGTCTGTACCGGGATACCCTCGGCTTCAAGGTCGAGTCCGTCGAGAGAAAGTACTACGCCGATGGGGAGGATGCTTACGCCATGCGCCTGGACCTTACCGATCAATGGCTGGACTGGAAGGAGATTGAGCGCCTGGACAGAGAGCGCGCCAAGAGTGACGAAAAGGATGCCGATGAGGGCGACGAGGTTGGAAGTTTGGGCAAGAAGGAAGAAAAGACCGTTCGCGTCAAGGTCGGTCGGAGTTTGGGTGTCGGCGATCTGGTGGAGAGGAATGAAGCCAACCCTTCGCAACAAAGTGTCAGCTCGTAGGACCGAGTCGTGATATATACCTCTGAGAGCTAGCCTCTTGGACAACTTACACGAAATCCTCGGCAAAACGTGCTCGGTCTACGGAATACCTATGCAGTGATATGTTCATTGAACAGGGCTATTGAAATGAGATCCGAGTATCAACATTTTAGACCAGAATACGTCCATGAAATATGTACTAAAAAATGCCAAGTCATAATATCATAAAAGAACCCAGGTACACGAGGATCCTTTACCAGCGAAGTACCCTCTTGTATAGGGCTGGTATTTTCCATGCACTCGTGGCGGTGACAGCGGCCATCACGATGCATCGTTTGAGCCAGCACCTTTGTCTTTCTTCGGCGGAGAATTATTAGTTCCTCTCAAGGACTCGCCTTGCTTCTGCTCTTTGCTTTCTTCTGTGTGCGCCGGATCTACGCCTTCGCGGTGACTGCCGCTATCGGACCCAGTGCCTGGTGTGTTTATTGAGCTAATCCGACTGGCCTCAGAACTCATAGATCGGCGTGGGGACGCATGTGATGTGCCTGTGCGAACCATTGTCCCACTGTCCTGGCTATTGCTCAGTTCTAGATTCTGCAGCTGCTGCTCCAGAGGAATTTCGGGAGGATGCTCGTTCTCCCTTGATGTTTGGCGGAATCGTCGTTCCTGACGCCAGCGGTTTCGCTTGATCCGCCGTCGTTCCCGTTGTTCATCCTTGGCACGACGGAACACATCCTTGAATGCTTTCTTGGTGGCTCTCACCTCCTCCTTCAGGGCACGTCTCTCAGCAGAGCTCCGCTGCTGCTCCTGCGGTGATTCCCACCGGCCCCAGCTGCCACGACAGTGCCCTTGCTGCCCATTTCTCCAATTGCCTCTTCCAGAAATACGAGCTTGGCGGCGGGAATCGCGCAAAACATCGAGCTGACGCCGAAGACCAACTGCCGCTTCGTACAGCTCTCGGTCGTGATGGTTATTAAGTGATTGAAGCTGCGCTCGAACAGTCGCCAAATCGGTCGAACTGAGGTCAGACGTCGTCGATATCGAATCGATCGACGAAAAAGATGACTCAGATGAAACAGAGCCGACTGATGTTCTACGAGCAGGCTGAGTAGGCTGAGTTATCGGTGGGGTCACGGGTTGAGTTGACACTACATTGACTGGCGGGTAACCGTAGCCATGGGCGTAAAAGCCTTGCGCTTGCGGATTGTTCGTAGGATATTCCACACGGGGCGGGCTGGAGAGGCCGCCAAATACGTCCTCAAGCTTTCGGCTGTGAAGTCCGGCCTTCTCCTCTATCCAGCGTCCATGAGCCATGGCTTGCTCTTCGACCTGCCTTCCATAATGTTGCGCTTGCTCCGTAATGCGCTCACTGTACTTCTGCGCATGCGATGCCAGCGATGATAACCAGCCAAGAGGACCACCTTTGGAGGTGCTCGAGTACTGGTACTGCGGACCATACGGAGGATTGTTCCAGCCCCACGAGGGAGGCTGCTGATATTGTGAAGGCGGTTGAGGAGGGTAAGGATATGCATGAGGGGCAGGAGGAGGCGGAGGAGTATTAGGAGCCATACCAGGGGAAAAGAAGGCAGGAGGACCATATGGTGGGTAGGGAGCAGGAGGCATCTGCGGAGTTGGGTACGGGAACATTCCAGGTGCGTATGCACCGCTTGTTGGTGGTGCTGTCAGTTGCCCTGCGACGGTTGGCAACATACCCGGGGGGACGGATGAGGGATTTTCCCCAGCTTCTTGTGCCTGCGCTGACCGGTTCGCCCGTGTTGCCCTAGTCGCGGCAGGGTAACAACGAGGACATAATGGAGAGACAGGCGCATTCTCCGATTCCGTCACATAAACGAATTCGATGCGAGTTGCACGAGGCTCAAAAAAGCATTCGTTCCATTCCTCAATCACAGCTGCGATGCGCAGCCTGCGTTGCTCATCGGTTTCTTGGGGGCGATCTTTTCGATCCCTTTGTATCTCGGCTCTCAGCTGCCGAGGCAAGTGAGCTGACGATGCTGCAAGGCCCAGATGCGGAGGAAAGAGATATTTCAGAAACATGTCCCAGTCCTGCTGGGTAATCTCCGCCGTCCGAGGGCTCCAGCACCGAGGACGCCGGGGAAAGTCTTTAGATTGGCTCCGAGGGTAGATGGTGAGAAGGTGCGAGAGAGTAGGCCGTTCCTCGCCAAAATTAGTAGGAGGTCGCTCTATGAAGTAGGCCGTAGCGGATGCGAAGTTGGCTGGGAGGGCCAAAGACGCTGAGGAACCATCAACGGAAGCCGCGGAGCCATCCCTGGATGCGATATCGCTCAAGGACGCTTCACCTCCGCGAAGACGAAGAAAGGTACGAGCTGTCTCCGCCGACCCATTGTTATTTCTATTACTGACTGTCGGCGCGAGTAAGGGATCGACGGCGGAGTATGGAGGAGGAGCCTCGTCGGAATCCATCACAAGATTGTCCAATGATTGTCAACCGCAATGTTGGAAGCGACTCTACTGAAAACAATAGACAGGCTGATTAATGATCAGGCATCGCGCATTTGACTGATTATCGGAAAAGTCCAAATCTCCCCGCAAACAGTGATGACGGCACGGCTGGAGACCGGGTGAGTACTGCGAAGGCAGCAGAATTAACGAAAGTCTGTCGAAGAAAACAGTCAGCTCCTTGTGCATGGGTTACACCTTACTACTAATTGACTGATCCCGCCTCCTAACTCACAAATGTGCAAAAATGTTCGGTAATATAAGTCCCATAAGCAGGACTCTGATGATGAAGCCGAAGCTCACACCGAGTACTGCCCGAAAAAGCGGCGAAGAAGCAGAAAGACAGCGCGCTGATCACGGGATCGGCAGCATGTGATTAGTTGATAAGCATCATCCCATTCATATCGATAAGGCAGGACTGACTCCCCAGTATAATACGGACAATACAAACTCAGCGGGATTGGTAGTCTATCATCATGTTACAATATGTGCTTGGTATCTTAAAGCTATCCAATGTTCCAAAACTCCATGGCTTGCAATGCGGAATATCCAAGAGAAACTTGAGAGATCAACCAGCCGTATCTATTGCGTTAATCCCAGGCGTCACCCCAACCGTCATCTTCGCCCTCATCCTTAGGCTTCGTATCAATTTTTTTGGTGGGGCTACCACCGTCTTTGGTTTGGAAAGGTTGGTATGACTGGATGTTCGAGTACCGATTGTGGTTGCGGCGGGCTTGCTCAAACCCTTGGGCAAGGGTTTCTTCGCTTTGGCCACGGATTGTGCGGCCAACCACCCGGCAAAATCAGGCTCACCTCCATCGTCGAAAGGAACAGTCGCGGACTTTGGTGCCGGGGAGCTGGTGACAATTGGGCCGCTGAACGGGTCGTCGTCTTTCAATCCATTCTCCTCCTCATCGTCATCAATAGCACCCCAAGCTTCGTAGACATCGTCCGTTCCGTTCGCTGTTACGGAGCTTGAAACTGGCTGATCTGATAGAGATCGTCCTAGAGGTTGAGCTTCGGCACGTAATACTTTCTTAGGTAGGTCCAGCTGCGTGGAGGGTGATGATCTTGCGGGGCGAGGTACGGATGCTGAGCGAGTTGCCTCCGTCTCGGCCAGTTTACTAGTACCCGTAGTTGGCTGTATCTCGCCGTTCGCTGTCGTAAGTTTGTTGGTAAACGAGGAGATTGCCCACCCGGCCCAGGACTTGTCATTTGATGTTCCAATTCGTGCAGCATCCTTGGGTGCTTCTGCGCTAGCAGTGGCTGGTACTGCCGTATCGGCCATTGAGCTGCTGAAATTGCGAATGCGCTGTAGATACAAGTCCAGAGTTTTGTTCGCTTGGTCTCTCACCAGCCTAGGATATTCTGTTAGTGCCGACAATCAGGGCCGAAAAAAGGGATTGAAAACCGAGGACTCACTTCTCTTTATCTAGCAAAGAGGGACAAATAGCGGGAAGAACCTTCCCTGCGCAATCCTCCTCGGTGAAAAACTCGATTGTCGCAGCCAGCGCGAGCAAACCGGCATTCCGGGCATGGACGAAGGGATCTCGCAGCGATCGGGTGAAGGCGGCAATGAGAACCTTTGACCGTGACTGCAGACGAGTTTTAGTACTTTTCAGCGTGCCAGAATAAATGGGGATTTTCCACTTACGCCTTGTCCGAGATGTTTCGCGATTTTACCCAAACAGATGGTCGTGTTGGTCCGAATACCTGGCTGTTCATCGTTTGCGGTTCGTGCGAGGAACTTCAGCAGGTCTCCATTAATAGTTCGGTCACTGAGTTTATTGACGACCGATAACACAGCTTTGACGGTCTGTTCTCGAACAACAGGTGCCACGTCTGTGAATCCTGACGTCTAGAAGATCAACGTCAGTCCCTGTCCGAGATAATGGAGTCTCCGATCAAGCTCACCATCTGCGGGAAGATTTTGTCGTTTACGATTTTCTGTGGTAGGTTGTCAATCATTAATGGTAGGTTGTCGAGTAGACAGACCCGAAGAGCCCTATCAGGGTTGCCGAACAAGCGAACAATGACAGGCGTCAACTTGGAGCTGTATTCATCTGGTGACAGTTTCGTCCCGATCTTCAAAATAGCGCTCAAGACCTTCGGGCCACCGCCCCCAAATTCGACTGACTTGAGCAATTCCGGCAGGACCTTCATCTTGAAGAATTCCTGGGGAAAGTCGTCCGAAAGCTCATCAAGCTCACTTGCCAAGTCAGCTCACAACGTCTTACCGCAGTAGGATACGCGACGTGCTTTGGACATACTTGATAAATTCCTCCCGCTCAGCATCGTTCTTAAGGCCCAGGCTCTCTATGTCGTCCGTCAACCGGATCAACGGTGTCTGAAAGAAGCCACCGGTTTTCTTCCCTTGCTCAACGAAATGCGCAGCGCTCAACCGCAGTTTAGGATTGGCTGTGCAGAGACGCTTGTAGCTTTGATGCATGCTGGGTGGAATATTCGTCGTTTTGCCGACTTGGTCACCTCCCGCGAAACTGCCATTGAACACCTCGTATATCAGAATGCCAAGCCCATAAGCATCAACTGCTGCCAAGGGATGTCTCTTAATTATATCCCAGCCGCCCTTGACAACTTCGGGCGGAGTGTACCGAGCCGCGTCTGGTACAAGGCTACCGTATGTCTGTAGTTGCGTCAGGGCAAGTTCAAAGATCCCTCAGACTTGGCCGGCAGTGGTCGACTCACATATATCACCGCATTCTCGTCGTTCA